CCCGACGCACTATGGCCGGACCCTGTATAATAAATAACTATTACTTATATTTTAAACTAAAGAATCGCAAAACTAATTCCTTTATAAAATATCCCGATATTACAACACGTTATCGCCCTCTTTTGCATAAAGGAAAAGCCGAAGCGAAGACAATGTACCCGTCAAATATTATTAATGTCTTTATACTACCAAGAAATATTAATATAAAACGAACGCTAAACCAACACCCACCCTCCTATTCCTTAGGATATCCTTTTTGCGCCACGCAATCACAATCCTAAAGAGAAATCAGTTACCTAACCGTATAATTTCTTCGGCCTACGTCTGGCCGTGCCACGGTCATTAATATTTGCCGAATAGAAAAAAGGAGAATTGCTAAAAAGCCGAAGAATCGCTGCTTCGCTGTGGAGTTCGCCAACGAGCCAATTAACGTGAAAAAAGTCCGATGGCGATCGTGATTTGAACGTTAAATGTATAACGTAAAAAAGCATCATACAAAGAGTATAATACTTATTTGTGGACAGAGATGCAGTGCTGCAGAGCTCCAAAAAATAATAGAATAATTTCGGGTAATATGGAATAGACCGGGTAATATGGAATACCTTATATTTCGAAAACAATATGCGCCATCAATGTTCTAATAGTTAAAATAGCCAATATCTCAGTCGTTCATAAAACTGAAAATTACAGGCGTTGGTTAAATTTTAATTGTGTAGTAATTTTCATAGTTGTTTCTTTGGTCAGGTGCTAATCAAAGTATACAGTACCTATTTGTTTACCATGTATTTAGTTAATACCTTCGGGTTAATGTTTAACAATATTCTGTTGTTTCTGAAACATGTTTTGCGGGTAATATGGAATATTTCATATTACATGACATGTGAGTATTCCATATCGCTCGACCATAATCATCGAAGGGTGAATAGTTTATAGGATCTTTTTAATAGAACTATTTTTAATGCTTCTAGTTGGGGGTTGGAACCTTTGGTTTTACAACAGCAAAATAAAACACTAATTCACACATTTTAGCATCATCAGCACATGATTAAAACTAAACTATATTCTACATTTTGAGCATTTATATAGGCACTCTGTTGGTACTGACCAAGCGTGACAAAATGAGCCAAAAGCGAGTCAAAATCTATCTCGTGTAAAAATTAATTACCTTCCATTGTCTAAGTCGTTTTCTGTCAAAGTTTTTACAAATGCCGAGACGAAAATACCTATTTGTGTGCAATTTTTGTACATAAAACAACTAGTAGTAGTAAATTTTGTTTACCGTTTATATATAATTATTTATCCTATCCCATATTACCCGCCATACCTATTCCATATTACCCGCCACTTTTTTTTGGCTACACAAAAGTTCACATTTCTCTATATTCTTTTGTAACTTCATAATCTTTCTAGATATCTAATTTTTACAGGAGACTCTTTTAAACAACATTACTAGCTATTTATTTTCAAAATTTGAGATTAAAAAAAACAGTATTATTGAATTTATATAGAAAAATAAAAATGGTAAATATTCCATATTATCCGAAATTACTCTAGAATTAATACATGAGCCTCTCGTTTAACACAAAGCGTTACACTCAAATTGTGTGTGCACTATGTGCGCATATTTGAAATAAAACTTCTTACTAACTGGTATATGACTTAAATCAGCCATGGCCACCCTATATAGATTGAAATTTGAAATAGTATTTTATTAAAAGAAAATGTCAAAAGTTGCAGTATAATAGCTTTTGTTCGGGTTCTTATTATTACCGATTCTGAACCGTCCTAGAACTAGGCAGCGCATGCACAAATTTAATAATTTCTTTACATGTCCATCTGCGCATGAGTATCATAGTTCTAGGACGGTTCAGAATCGGTAATAAAAAAAACCCGAAGTAAGCTAATATGTCATTCTATTAAGAACGTCACTTTCTATCAAATAAACTCACAACACTCTATCAAATAAAATTAAAAAATATCGAGGCTAATTGAATAGTAGTCAATAAAACCTGATTTATGTCATATACTAACATGCCAAATCTCGTATTTTTTTCTGAAAAAATAAAAGTTGTAATTATGGGTGAATCACTTTTGAAAAACACCCAATATGTATATATTTGTATTGTACAACTATTGGTAAATGACACCATATTGCTTAATTGTTACGGCCGCAATATTGTTTGTTTCATGTTATATGTAACAATACACCTATATGAAAGTGGCAACATTTTTTAGATCAAATTAATTTTTTGAATCTGATTAAAGTATATTTTGATAAATAATTCGAAGACAGAAATAATTACGCATTAAAAGAAATATATTTTCAAAATATAAAAAAGTAAAATCAAAATGCTGCCTATAGTGTTATAAAGTAATATAAAAATAAAAAGAAATATTGTGCATCTGAATTCGTATCAAAAAGAAAGTTTTCTATAAAAGTACAAGAGAAAGCAAAACAGAAATCGCAGGTTGCAGTTCCAGATAAGACAACAGGTGAAATTAAACTGTACTGATGTTGAAAACTGGTGATCCTGTCTCCTCTCTAGGGCAAATTGGCAGTAACAACAAAATAAAAGTGAAATAGACATGAAAAACACGACGTAGAACACGAATGAAGAAAATATCAAAAAATTTGGGATTATCATTAATCTCTGTTAAGTATCTACCTAAAAATTTGGTATACAGTCAGATATGCAAAAAAACGAAATGGAGAATTTTTTCTTCAAGTTTAAAGTTTTTATTTTTTTTTTGCTTTTAGCCCTATTTTCATGAATTTTTTAGTAAACTGTATATAAATCTATTAACTTTAATACACAACTTTAGTATTTGACTTATTATACAGGGTTAATTGAAGGGGTGTCTTTGCCCTTACTTTAAAACACCCTGTGCAATAATTTCGTAAGTAACTTTTCCTAAATTATTATTTTTCGATCAGAACCATGTGTCTTGAACATTTTCTTTTTTGATTCATGCCTTGGTTAATTTTTAAGAGCGAAATTAACTTGCCACCAACAATTTGCAATTTGTTCAACTACCATTTCTTTATGATATTATTTCTTAATATCACGAGGTGGCTCTGGTGACTATTGTCGTAATACCATATCGACACTGATTAGAACTCTATATTAAAATTTAAAAAAAGTTAAAAAGTAAAGATACGACAGGCTTTTGGTTTTAATAAATATTAGTAACACTATAACTAAACTAAGGATATTAAAAAAAATAACTGTAATAACTTTGTAAAAATACTCTAATACTTTGTATTGCCTTCAGCTGCAAATATGTTGTGTTATATTTTCCCATTTTTCTTCAAGAACCAAGCGAATATTCATAATTTCGGCCATCTTCAACAAGATTAATGACTTTTGCACAATATTCGACTCTAAGAACCATATTCAATCGCACACAACAATAATCACCAAAGCCACCCATCATTATGACGAAAAACATCAAAAAGTAACGATAATTGAAAACATTGCAAAATTGTTTGTAGCAAGTTTATCTTGCTCTTAAAAATTAACCAAGGCGTGTGTTGACATGAGTCAAAAAACAAAATATTCTTCTGTCCGAAAAATAATCTTTTAGAAAAATTTGCTCACGAAATTATGGCATAGGGTGTTTTAAAGATAGAGTAAAAAACAACTCTTCGATTAACCCTTTATAATAAGTCAAATAATAAAGTTTATAAAAAAGTGAGTTTACGAATTAATGTTGATATATTTATATACAGCTTGCTAAAAAAAATCAAGGAAATAGGGCTTAAAATAAAAAAAATATAAAACATTTTAAACTTGACCAAAGATTTTTCCGTTGCGTTTTTTTTGCATCTGAGTGTGTAATAATTAATGACGTAAAATTTCCAGAAATATATTTCGGAAATATTTCCTGAAACATTGGAAATATATGGAAATATTGGAAATATATGAAATATTTTAAAAAATAAGAAAAACTGAAATATTTATTTATAAAAATGATAACAAAACATCGCAAAACACAAAATGCTAATACATAAACACAAATAAAGAGTTATTCTTCAAATTAAAAAATAAATTATGGTTAAATTTGTACAAAAAAAATATTCTTGACACACTAGTCGAGCAAGAGGCATATCTTTATCGCTGTCATCAGCATCACACGCAAAAAAACTGATCTATTGCCGTTTCCTATTTTCTTCAGCAAGTTTTCATTGCGGGATACATAGAGTAGCTTAGCGGCTCTATCATTAGTAAGCCTGTTTCTCTTTTTTGAATGAATATGACTATAAACTCTAAAACTGCGTTCCGTGGCAGCCAAAGATGCTGGCATCATCAACATTCGTGAAGCTACTTGTGATAATGAAGATGAAGAACACAGTCCTTTCCACCAGGAGACTGGGTTATCAAAACTACTTTTCCATATAAAGTTATTTCCAAATAACTTGCCACTTCTACAACGGTAATCTGCTATTTCATCTATTATTTCTTGCTCCTTTATATTGAGTTTATTTTTTGATATATTAAGTATGCTGCATTCTATGGTAGAAAGAATTTGGGTTTCATCAAGTTCAGAACCTTGTGATTTTGGATTTAGTAATTCTGCAGCATAATGCATTTAATAGCAAATTTTTCTCTTTTGTCAACAAACTCCAACAATTCGGATTTTTCTTTGTCGTCAAGTGAGGACAATGCAAGATTATTCTGAATTACCCTTTTAATATCACAAAATGCTTTTACAGAAAAATGAATAGTGCTATACTCTCCTTCTACAATTTTTAACCATTTGCCAATAGCTTTGCCAAAGATATATTAATAAACATCGAGTTTGAATCGTTAATGACAAGATTTAAGTATTTTTTAAAATATTTCCATTATTCCCAATATTTCCGAGACACGTTTGAAAATTTCCAATATTTCCATTTACAACACTAGTAATGATAATCGATTGTCAAATAAAAAAAAATACGGTGAACATAGATCTGAAATTTTGGAAAATAATCAGGCTACACCTGTAACCGTACCTACCTGTCAATGCAAAAATTCGTGACTCCGTATCCTGGCCTCAATAAACAAGTCTCTAAATCACTGTTATTACGCTAAGTCAATTCAAACTCGAAACGTCAGTCAATCGAGTCTGAAGTCAGTCAGTCGAGCAAAAGGGCAGCGCGCGGTGACACGACGTGACACATCCACACTGACCCACTACGACCGGACGCGTGAACGCGAAAGACGGCGGAAAAATGCGGCAAAGACGCGAAACCTCGCGGAGACCGTTTACCTGTGCCGCGCTCTGTGCGAAATCGTCGGCAAACTGACGACTGGCCGGACCTGTGAGAAGTACCGAAGTACCACCGGGCGGCGTGGAGTCGCCCACGGCGTAAGCGCTCACTTGTTTTTCGGGGCGAAGCACGGTGGGGTACCGCCGCGGCCGCAGCTCGAGAACCCGGCCGTAAATCTGAATTATACAGGGCTGAGCGCTTAAACGCGGCTGGAAGAGAATCCGTTTCGAAATCTGTGGTTTTCGAGCAAAAAAAATGCAAACATCTCTCTTCACCTTTACCGATATATATTTTCTTTTAAAAAAAGAACGAAATTATTGGGCAAAACCTACAATAAGATTAGCCATGAAAACCTGACTAAAATATGACTACCCGCAAACACTTACTGTTTCTGCCTTCCGGCTTCATCATTACGGGAGGAATCAACAACGATAAACTAGTGATCCTGAAAAAAGAAAAATGGAAGCAAACGAGGCACCATTTACAACCTGGTAAAGCAGTAGCTCACAATTGGTGAACGTTATTATCACCGAAAAACCGCTGCGGAGGTACTCGGTACTATGTTTTCATGGCTAATCTTACTGTAGGTTTTGCCCAATAATTTCGTTCTTTTTTATTACTACCACAGATTATACAGATTATAATCTTTGTTTTTTCTTTATTGTTTTTCGTGGTTCCAATTTTCGGAATCGGGCACTAGTTAGGTGACTAGTTTGCGCATATAGCACGCCCACTTATGGCCTCTAAAATTGTGCACAGCGCCTGACCGGCACAGTTATTAGAGAGATATCGGAAAACCGAATAGCGTCATCCAGTATTTACGCGTACCTTATCATGATTACGATATGCGCGAGTCAATTTTTAACGCAACACCCGCTAATAACGTTACCGCCTGACGTAATTTCCGGATCAATTACACCAAGCGCTCTTTCTAAATAACCTCTGATAACGTTTAAAAATTGCTTAAATGGGCATGTGCGGGTATTTGACAACCGGAGCCGGCCGGCGAGATCTTTTATTTTAGGTTATGTTTGAATTGTTTTGAATTATTGGCTTTAGTTTTATTAGGTAATTTGATATTTAAGTAGCTGGGATTAGTTTTAATTAAATAAATATGGCCCAAAATATGGATTCCACCTCTTCCAATACTAAAGAACCTATAAAGAGTCTTAGGTTTACAGCAGATGACGACTTAACCCTTCTAAGAAAATTTGTTGCTTGTTGCCCTAAACCCACTGGCAGACGTTGAACAAGCACTGGAAATAAGCACGTTAGCCCTTTAGTTTTAAAATACCTAGTAAACAAAACAATTTCAAAGTTTTAAATTCAAAGTTAGGTTAAGTTTAAATAGCGGACGCGACGCGATCACAATTCTTTCCGATCCGATAACTATAAAGGAAGAGAGCAAGGGAAGAGAGTTATACCACCTCACGTAAAGGAAATAACTCCTGGCCTTATTAACGTCCATGCACGCTATTCGGTTTAGCGATATCTCTCTATTACGCTGTTTATTGTTATTTTACACGAGTTTATTTTTGCGCACAGGAAATTTGACTCGTTTGCACATCGTCATAAAAAACAATTTTCGTACCACGAATTAGAGACAAGATTTTTATCTGTATACTTATAGGATACCTAATCTGTGTTACTACAGTCCCCACGTTAACATCCTTTGTTTAATATTTTCTTTTATTTTTTATTAGATATTATTGAATTAATAATAAATTATGGTGTAGTCTCCCTTGCATATTTATACCGTATGATCTCATAATCATGATAAAAAAGGCGTCAAAGACAGCTGGCGAATGACAATCGATGATAATTTTGGCGAGGTTAATCTCTAGGCGTTGTTTACTAAAATTTTACATAAAACTGGTCAAAAATTAACCCTAATAATAGAAAGATTAAAAAAGGACTTCCAGACACATATATCTAACTAGCGTGTACCCGCGACTTCGTTCGCGTCGAATTAATCATTTGTAATGGTGATGATAAAGCAAAGCAAGAATTTCCATTAACATACAAACTGGATAAAATTTTCTCACATTTATGTCAGCATGAAAAAAAACAATATGGCGATATTATTATATAACTTGGTAATATTTGAGGGGTAGTTTCATCTCGTTGGAATTTTACTTTCGAAAAATCCGTTTGCCAAAAATAAGCTTTTTACGTCAAGCAGTTTAAGCAAAATCGTGGTTAAGAAATTACCCAACTTTTTGGAACACCCTGTATAATTTTTTTAAAAAATTCAAAATATGTAAAAAACAAAATAAATTTTGCGTGTCCAAGCGTTTTCCCGAAAGACTAACCGTTTTTTAAATAACAAAATATTGTAATATTTGAGGGGTGTTTTCATCCTCTTCGAATTTGAGATTCGAGAAACCCCTCCTTATCGAAACTCTACACCCCACAGTCAATCCGTTTGCCAAAAAGCAGCTTCAAACGTCAAGCAGTTTAAGCAGAATCGTGATTACTCAATGGTCATATTTTATGAAACACCCTGTATAAATTTTTAAAAATCTTAAAATATGTAAAACAACAAAATAAAATATACGTGTTTAAGAGTTTTTCCGAAAAACTCACCGGTTTTTAAATAAAAAATATTCTAATATTTGAGGGGCGGTTTCACCCCCTTAGAATTCTAGTTTCGAAAAATTCCTTCTTATCGAATCCGTTCTTATCGAAGCAGCTTTTTACGTCAAGCGCTTTAAGCAGGATCGTGAATAATCATTATCCAGATTTTTCGAACAAACATCCTGTATACATTTTTAAAAAATCTTAAAATATGTAAAAAAACAAAATAAAATATACGTGTATAAGCGTTTTTTTTTCCGAAATTTGACCGTTTTTTTAAATAAAAATATTGTAATATTTGAGGGGTGGTTTCACCCCTTTGGAACTGGAATTTCGGAAAATCCCTTCTTATCGAACCTCTACACCTAGAATCAACCTGTATGCCAAAATTGAGCTTCTTACGTTGAGTGGTTTGAGCAGGATCGTGATTAATCAGTGAGTTAGTCACTTAAGGATACTATATATTAGTATAGATTAGATGTTAAATAATTATCATCAATCCCAGCTTATTGAACTATTTCCAATTATGGTGTAGTCTCCCTTACATACCGTATGATCGAAAAAAAAGGCGTCAAAGACGACTGGTGAATGACAATCGATGATAATTTTGACGAGGCCAATCTCTAGGCGTTGTTAACTAAAATTTGACATAAAACTTCTTGTCAAAAATTAACCCTAATTATAGAAAATTAAAAAAGGACTTCCAGACACATGAACCTATTTCCAAAAAATTATTCAGAGACTTACTTAGAATGAACCTGCAGTACCTACTAAAAATTTTTTTTTCCAAATTTCCGGAAAGTGTCAAGGAATACATAAAATTTCGTTATTTTTTCGACGAAAAATCTTCATAAAATATATTCGATACCAATACCAATTAAACTTTTAAAAAGGTCAAGTTGCCACATTTATTTATTTATTTACTGACATTGTCATTCGTTTTGACATTTTAGTTTGGTATTACGAGTTTTTGGCTCAAGCCTAGCAGGCCTAACAGTCGAACATTGTTCTTATTAGAACCTCTTTTAGTGCGAAGTGTACAAGATAGCTTATTAATAGCCGTAAAAACTCATCGCAACTTTATTAGATTATTTTGAAAGGGAAAGCGGTAGTAATTGCCATTTATGTCCCTTAAGTGCTGCTAAAGAGGTGTGTTTCGTTGATGTAAATAATTACTCTTTATAAGTTGATAATTAGTTTATTTTCATAAAAATATTTTGATTAAAAGAAAATATGTAAAAGTTGGCAACGCTGTATCGGTCAAGCTTAATCACGTGACTAAAAGTTTATTTGATATGAACTATACAAGGTGTCCCAGAAATAAGTGCAAGTATTTTAACTGGTATATATACCGTATGATCGAGAAAAAACGGCGTCAACGATGGCTATGAAATGAAGATCGCTGTCATTTTATATGTAAATTTATATGGGAAATGTCATCGATCGTCATTTCCCAGCCAACTGGACGCCATTTTTTTTCGATCATACGGTATAACATAGTATAGTTGAGGTTTTTTAGCGAAAATATTTTTTTGGAAAATTCGGAATTTTTTGAAAAATTTTTTGGATTTTGTTTAGTATTTAGTTAAAAAACATAATTCCTTGATAATATGGCAACTTAGGTGGTAGATTAAATTTACAAGAAAGAAAATCCAGAAAAGATCCAGTGGTTCTCAAAATTTGAGCAAAAAATATTTTTTTTTGGAAATGTTCAAAGTAAAATAACTCAGTTATTTTGGACTTATTTGAAAAACCATAATGAGAAAATATGTTTCTTTTACCGAAATCTACCACCACCCCGGTATGTAAAATTTTCCTAAAAATATCAAGAATAGTATTTTGAACTAAAAGCAAATGTAATGGAAAGCAGGTTTGTAAAGTGTATTATTATAATAAATAAAACAATAAGTTCAATAAATATCCATTTATTTAGAAAAAAAAAACAATATACACAGCACTGGCTGGCTTCAAACAATGACAACTTTCATAAATCGACACACCTACGCCAATGTCTAATATACACGTTCAAAAATTTATATACCATCTTAATGATACATTCAGTAATAATTAGTTTTTGTTATAAAATTTCGTAGTATTTTCTTCTGTATTATACAATCACAAATATACAGTCAATCATGCAAAATATAGTATATTAAAACCTTTAAGCACCCGTTATAATTATTTCATTCGCTATAGTATCAAAAAGAAAAAGTTCTCTGCCGTTGAAAAAAAAACGACGTCACAGTGATCTGCAAAACGACAATATATGGTAATTTCATCGTGGCGATCCATATGAGTCATATACAGGAAATTTGACGTAAAAAACTTGTCAAAAATTAATACTTACATTGAAAAAAAGAGTTTTTCCCAAATAGATATGTCTGAAAACTATTTTCTTCATTTTTAAATTAAATATTAATTTTAGACAAAATGTGATATGAATGTATTTAAAAAAATACTTAAAGGAGCCAACCCAACAGAAATGATCATCGATTGTTATTTTAATGAACACTGTGACGCCTTTTTTTTAATTATACGAGGAGTGCCAAAAAGTTAGCAAAAAATGGGGAATTTTTTTATTATTGGGTTTTTAAAAAATTTCTGATGAATTTCTTCCGCATATTCAATAACAAAAAATAATTTTGACATATGTATGTCATGCGGAAAACAACTTTCATAGAGGCAAATTACAAAAATCCTCTTTAAATACTTTCAACACATAAAATCCACAGAGAAAAATTGTTCAAAATATGATTTGAGTTTCAAAAAATATTGCTAAAAAAATTGTAAACTTGCACAAAAAAACCCATTTTGAAAAAAAGTAAATTCAACCAGAATAAAATCAAATATTTTTTTTCTATACTGTTATTGTTAATCCTACGAAATATAATACTACTTTTATTATTTTTTTTGTATTCTGTATAGTTATGAAACTTAGCACCCTTAAGTACCCTAGACCTAAAATCAAACCCTCCTCTCTGACATTTTTCGATATTTTGTCACCTAACCCCACTTTTAGCATAAGTATAGAAGATTTTTGAAATTTGCGGCCATTTACAGTTGACATGACATTGTAATGTCAAAACGATTGTAATTGGATATTTTAAAGAAATTCCGTATAAACATTCTTGCAATATTTTTTCCATTTTTTTGCGAACGTTTTAGCACACCCTGTAGAAAGTTCTAGAGAAAAAAGCATCTATAAACGCATATAATAACATCTTTACAACATGTGCCTTCACAGCTTTATTTCTTACCAGTTTCCATGTAGCTATAAAAAATAATATTTACAACAACAATAGCTTTAACAGAATGTGTAGAAAAATAATATTATCTGTCAAAGACAAGATTAGTATACCAAAAAAAAATAAAGCGAGAGAGACCATTCAACCTGCGTGCATTATATTTCAATGAAAGTGTAACGTGGGTAGTATAAGTCAAAGTTTAATCAGATTAATAATTGAAGACAGGGATGCCTGTATAAATGATGATGTGCCTTGAAGGCTAGCTATATAGTTTTAAACAAATAAAATTACGAAAGGAGTATTGTATGTACGTTGGAGATTGAATTTTCGCTCTCTGTCTATATCAACTTAATTGTTAACAAACATTATTAAAGCATTTTGGAACTATTTTCAGGTTTCTTTTCAATACTGGGCGGCGGTATGACTGGCTGCTGACTGTCCAATTTGGGGCTGGAAGGTGGTACCGGGCTTTGGAGGCTGGCCGTCTTCTGTTTGCTGTCTTCGTTTTTGCTTAACTCTTCCTTGGAAAAAAATATAATAAATTATCACTTAAGCAATAAAATCTTTGAATAAAAATATTACGGAAGGTTATGAAAAATCTTAGATCTACCGCGACAGGTTTTACGGTAGTCCGTAGATCCGTTCTTCAAACAGGGTCCATTAGACTATATTTCTACTAGGTACATTATTTTTTTTAAAAATTAAGAGTAAAAGTAACTTAAATTTTAAATACTGTAAACTTTACTTTTCTTTTTTACTATCTTTTTCGATAAATCGCAATAGTGTCACTGTTAATTTAAGTTCTGCTACAATTTCCTTCTAGATTTACTGCCTTTAAACAACTATCAGTAGAAGAATAAATAATAAATAACATAAAATAAGCTCAGTAAACACTGACAAATCTACAAAATTTCAAATCAAATTGAAACGTGTCAAATGAATCGTCAAACAGAACTGTCAAGGATCTCCACCCTAGAGCCATGGATACCATTATACTCCTTCCTTAATATTGTTATTCAAAGAATAGAATGAATATTTAAGGTTACGTTTTACATTTTTATATTTAAATAAAAAGATTAAAGGTTGATTTTCATGCATGCGTTGTCCGACGATACGATGATACGATATTAATTTTATTGGTTGAATTTAAAGACCTCGATTGGTTAGAAACGGTTAACCAATCGAAGCCTTTAGATTCAACCAATAAAATTAATATCGTATCATAGTATCGTCGGACAAAGGATACATGAAAATCAAGCTTAAGTAAGGAATACAACGCTATCCATAGAGCCCGTAATGTCGACGAAGTAAACATCATGAGGACCCCATGATTGACAGTCCTATTTGACGTTTAAATTGGCACATTTGAATCTGATTTAACATTTAATCATTATTAATTAATGAATTACAATTCAATAAATAACAATTTATAATTTAATAAATTATGAATTGTAACATTTTGGGGGTACCAAAATATTACAGACAAAAAGACTTTTAAGCTAAATGGCAACTGTCACTAATGTCATAGTCGTCAAACCACATATCGATTAGTAGAGAGGTTATTTTATGTGATATATAAACCAATTTCGAGTCCTGGACGATGAGACAGTCAGAAATGAAAAAAATTGACGCAACTGAAATGTACTGTTGGCGACGTATGCTCAGAATTCCCTGGACTGCCCGCCGAACCAATGAATCCATAATCCAAGAACTGAACATCACAGAACGCCTCTCAACTTCTATACGGTCACGTATACTTAAATATTTTGGTCACGTTATGAGGAGGGATACTGACTGTATGGAAAAACTCATTATACTGTCCATACCGTCGGCAAGGTTCCGGGAAGAAGACCAAGAGGCCGCTCGCCCTCCCGATGGATAGACCAGCTATCAAAGATCACTCACAAGCCACTGCACACGCTTGAACATGAAGCTCAAGACAGGGAATTATGGAGACAAACCTCACACATCACCTGACCACTACATTCCTCTTGTAGGAATAAAGATAGAGAGAGAGAGAGAGAGAGAGAGAGAGAGAGAGAGAGAGAGAGAGAGATAAACCAATTATGAAAAATTATAACCATTTCTATGGTTACTTACGTAATAACTATGTAACTGATTATATACAAAGTGTTAAATATGTAATTACCTTTTTATCTCCGCTATCCTCTACGTCCTGCTGCTTTTCCTGAACAGCCGTTTTCTCCTTCAAATTCTCTATCAATTTCGCTTCCAAGTTCTTCGCCAGAGCCTTCTCGATTTTGTCCTCCACTTCCAAGATCTCCTCCTTGTCGATGAGTTCTATCAATTCATCCACTTGCTTACTGCTCAGTTTCACGTTTTCTTTACCAATAATCTCAATGACCTGAAATTAAAATAAAAATCTGCAAAAGCTGACACATTCTAACGAGACCGCTAAATGCAATTTCATCACTCTGAATTTGCAAGTATAGTATCTATTTATACCTAAGTGGAGTAGTTGTTTGAACACCCTGTATATGACATACAGAAATAAGAATGTTATCTAAAAACAAACATGATTTGACTAGTGCCATTCACCAACTAAATTTCAATTGTTTCCAAATAAAAACAGTCCCAAACAAAAAAAACAAGATTAAATTTCTATATTATGACAGCTTTTATGTAGTCTCAATATAGAATATCTTAGCTACACAGAAGCGATAAACGATAATAAAATAAACGATAAACCCAATTCTGAGTAATGACTAAGTATGTGACCCAAATTTTATAACCACAAAGTCTCATATTTTGACAATTAAACTCAATTATACGCTGAAAAATTGTCTAGAATTTTATGTTTGTTCCCACATGTCACCAATACCCGCCTTTTTACTCGAATATTTAAGACCTTAGTTAGGTAATTCTATGCTGAAAATCAGGGTTGGGTAGGTAGAAAATTTTCTACCGTATTTTCTACACGTAGAAAATTAATTTTCTACACCAACCAATTTTCTAGATTTTTTTACATGTCCAGATGTAGAAAATTAGTTTTGTATATTGTAAGCATTTTTTGAGTTTGATATTTATTTCAAATACTTCAATCACAACGATTAGTACAAGAAATAAACTAATATATATAACGATATCTCTAATTGTTATTTATTATATAACAAATGGATAGTATAGAATATAGTATGTCAAAAAAAGCTGAACTATTAACTTCTATATTATTTTAAATTGATATGCACAACGGAAGGATGCGTAGCAGGTAGCAGTGGTTGTTGTGTCATTATAATTCGCAGGCATATCGTCATTTTCTGGATGCCATCTGTCGAAATTTTCCTTGATTTGTTCCCAACTCTGCTGAAAATATAAAAGAACAAAATTCGGAAACAAAATCTTACCTTCAAAACATCGTCAATCTTTAACGACCCATCATGATCGTCGTCCATCTTCCTCAGCACCTTCACTATCTTCTCCAAACGGCTCTGATCAGGAACATCCTTAATCTTATTGATAGCCGCTATGATATCGTCGATCTTCAACAATTCCTCCTTCTTCTTATCACTAGCTTCTTCCTCCAGATCTTTCTTCAATTGAGCCTCCTTCTTCTCCAACTCGACCAAAACCTTGTCCATTTTGCCGATCATCCTGTTCACGCTCTTGTACAGTCTCTTGGCAGCCTTTGTTTCTTGGATGTCCGGTTTGGGAGTGTCAGCCAAGGCTTTACCCAAGTCCTCCACGTCTTCCTCGTAGTCGGCCATTTCCGCTTTGAGCTCTTGGATTTCTTCCTTCTCGACGATAAGTTTCTTCTCTTTGGAAACGGTGTCGATGGCGTGCTCGATGATCTGGATGTCTTTGGTGTGGATGGTTTCTTCCTTCTCTTTCAGTTTTTCCTAGAAAATTAAAAATGATATCAAATAAAAATTAAGTTACATAATTGAGGGCGCGATTTTTAAATTAATTGATGTCAACCATGGACATATTCGGCGCCGTGCTGACTAACTGGAATTTAAATTTTCCGCTGGCGATATAGGTAGTAGCTCTGCTGAAAAAATGTCGAATTGCCACATTTATTTATTTATTTACTCACTTTTTGATCCGTTTGGACAGTTTAGTTTTGTATTATTACGAGTTTTTGGTTAAAGTGAATTGTGTGATGATATTTTAACCCCCTTAAATTTTTTTTACACACAAACCTTAGAATCGAAAATTATTCTTTTCATAATGTGTAGTTTTTATTTTCAGACGCTCCGGACTTAAGTATGTCCATTCTGTGTGCTGTTTCAAAGGCAGTCAAAAAGAAGACCCTTGTCTTTTTAACTTACATAAAAGTGTTAAAGTATGTATAATTGTAAATACATGGTGTTTTATAAATGGAGTGTTGTATCTTCCCTTTAGTTAGATGATTTTGAGCTATACCTACCTTCTTTTCTAATTTCTCAGTAGATATCCTAAGAGCGGTATCTTCCAATATAGGAGTCGTACTAGCGGAAATGGTAGGAGCTTTGTCCACCAACAATTCTTTGTCTTTTTCTTCCAATTTTCGTTTCTCTTCTCTGTAAAAAAAACAGTGTAACTCACCCAGCCATAATACAGTTGGTACATAAATAAAAATATATACAGGATGTTCCTTAATGATATGCTAATATTTAAGGGCGTGATTACCTATTCTAAGAGAAAAACTTTTGACGAAAAAAGTGATACACCACTGACTTCTCTTAAAATAAAAATTATTTTCAAAATCTCCATTCATTTCATTTTTTGTCTTTTTCGTCGGACGCATAGTTTTTGTTTAAAAAATTAAAGTCAGTTTATTTCAGGATCAAATCGCTGAAAATATGATGCGGTGACTTGTGTGGAAATCATTTGTGCGTCGGCTGAAAGGAAATTAAGAAATGAAACATTTTTTTGTATATCAAAATAAGCATTCTGGTGCATGGAAGACGTGTATCAAATATACCATCAGAGATATTTTGATGAGATTATTTGTATCTAAAAAGTTAAGATGTTTAAAAAGTGAAGAATAGCCTCCTTAAATATTAGCATGTCATTAAGGAACACCCTGTATAGAGAAATCAATAAAATTTGCCGTGCACGTCATCAAAGACGTCGAAACCATTACCAAATTAAATTTCTAAGAGATAAAAATTCGTTTGACACTTAAAGCGTAGGTACTTTTTTTTCATGTACTCGCTATTTAAACCCGTGAATTTGTTTAATCGACTGTTAACGGTATTCTCCGATGGTGGCAGCACCGTCGGAGAATGCGCCAAGCCCTATAGCTTCTACGTACTCATATACTGGGTGGCCCATCGAAAACGTTCCGCAAGGCATAACGGCCAGGGTAATTTTTTTTCAGAAAATTCAAAAACACGTCGATTTTGTTTGTGAGGGGGACAACTTTTACCCCAAAAATGATTGCAAAATCTTCAACCCTCTAAGCGGGGGTGTCATCCCCCAACTTTTTTCAAATGGGAAGGGAGGTCAAGTGGTACCGCAATGAAAAGGGCTTTTTATTCTCTATACTTTCCCGCTTCGTTTTTGAAAATCGGTCGAGTCATTGAGAAAATATAAAGGATTGAAATTTGAAAAGTGGTGTTGAAGTTCTTCTCAATATCGTTAAACTTTTTAACAATTATGGTGTACTCACTTGCAGAAAAAGTGGAAATAATCGAACTTTATTTTAAAAATAATGAATGTAGCAATCGGGTTCCGCAGATATTCAATGATTGCCATCCTGAAAAACACCTTTATGGCAAAATTGTTCGCGAGTTAGTAATAAAATTTCGCGAAACTGGTTCCAATATGAATAAAAAGAGGCAGAAGGAAAACCCTGTAGTAAATGAAGCTATGGAGGTATTCGTATTGGGCTAAGTTGCCTTGGATAGTACGCTGAGTACAAGAAAATTAATCAATGCAAAATTAGCCGGCGTGAATCGTACAAGTGTCCAAAGGATATTAAAAAAAAACAAGTTCCACCCGTACAAAATTCAGTTGGTACAAGAACTCAACGAAGACAATTCTGATCGTCGCTTGCAGTTTTGTGAAACTGTGACTGAACGAGTGGCGAATGATAATAATTTCCTATTTAATGTGTGTTTTTCGGATGAGTGTACTTTCTTTTTGAACGGTGTAGTTAATCGGCATAACTGTCGGTACTGGGCTGAGGACAACCCCAGGGTTTTTCACGAGGTGCACACACAAAACCCTCAGAAATTGAACGTGTGGGCTGGTATTTTTGGAAATTCTATTGTAGGCCAGTTTAACGATATTGAGAAGAACTTCAACGCACAAGTCACAGAACAGCTATCTAGCAACTGCCGCACCTGATCGTTCACCCTTGTGGCAAGTGAAAAAATGCGTAAACATCTAGAAATAATAAGAAAAACAACAAATTGGTCGAAGGAATTTATCCTTATCATTTACTCAGATAAATGTTTAAATAAACTTTTCAAATTTCAATCCTTCATATTTTCTCAATGACTCGACCGATTTTCAAAAACGAAGCGGGAAAGTATAGAGAATAAAAAGCCCTTTTCATTGCGGACCACTTGACCCCCCTTCCCATTTGAAAAAAGTTGGGGGATGACACCCCCGTTTAGAGTGTTGAAGATTTTGCAATCATTTTTGGGGCAAAAGTTGTCCCCCTCACAAACAAAATTAACGTGTTTTTGGATTTTTTGAAAAAAAAAATATCCCGGTCGTTATGCCTTGCGAAACGTTTTCGATGGGCCACCCTGTATATGTTACAGTTAAAGTCCGATGTCCGGTAAATGTCGACATTAACATGTTAATGTTTGGGTTAGGTTATCTTTTTGGTTGTTTTGTTGTGTGTTATTCTCGAGATTAACCGGGTAATGTAGACATTAACCGGACATCGGACCTTAACCGTAACATATATACACTATATCGCTAGTCAGGAATAGAAATTGAAACCAAATTTTTTAAATAGAGCTATACAAAATCCACACACTTTTCGTTCAACAGCTTAGAACCACGCAAGCGTGTGAAGTGCTTCTCGATTAGTTGATTTATTTCATACTAACCAATAGAAGTAGTTTTCTAAGTTTCAATCTACCAAGTAAATCAATTTAGCGTCTGACTATTCGCACCTTTACTTATAGATTTAAATTTAATCTCTGAAATATTTAATCAAAAACAATAAACAGATAGATATGATAAATATCTAAAATAACAGGTTGAAATAATTCCATTACCAATAAAAAAATAATATATTATACAATATTAATATTTAGAGTTTAAAATAGTGCGCGGGCAGGTGACAGCGTTCAGCGATGAAGTAGACGAATCAGATCGTTTTATTTGGTGCGTGCGCACGAAAATCCTGTTGAACGAAAATGATAAACTTATGCAAGATTGATATTCCTATTTCTTTTCTTTGGCTTCACTTTCCACTCGTTGTGTAAATGCGGTACTAGCAATATATTCTTATAATACATTTGTACGTACTTGTGTTCCTTTCTCTCTTCCTTGATCTTCTTCTCCTCCTCCTTAAGTATCTCCGCCCTAATCTTGTTGTCGATTTTACCCTCTTTCTCTCCGATAGCCGCCTGGGTCTGTTTGACAATCGTTTCCGGTAGACTCGATATCGTCGCCTTGAGTTTATCCGTGGTGGGAATGGTTTCCGGCAGCAAGAGAGCTCTGGACAGGAGCAGCAGCGAGGGGGGTACCTTTTCGTTTAGACTCAGGTCGAGCCACTGGTTTAACTGGGATCTTAACCGTTCCTCGGACACGCCGTAAGCTCTCATGCCTCTGGCGCGGCAAGCTTGTTGCACCTCGCCTAGGGTGAGGGAATGGACGCCCTCTTTTTGGATCATCTTGTCGTCTGCGGCTAACTGTCTCAGTTTCATCCTCAGTTGAAATCTGAAAAGATATTTTCAATATCTTAAGTGTTAAAAAATTAATTAATGTTATAAAATTATAATGAAAGAAGGAATAGAAGAGGTTTTTTAATACATCTAATAAAAATAAATGTATTGCTCATGCATCTGTAGATGTTAGTAATGTATGGCAATCGCTTCTTTGATTTTAAAGAACATAAAAAGTTTGAAGCTTTTTGGTTTTACCTTATTAAGTAATTGTTATCTGTAACTGTAGTCTGTAATTGTTAGTAACTGTTAATTTTGAAGTTTAACTTGATATAATGTCATTTTAACAGAACGTCAACGGTTTTTGTAAACGTGTTCTCGAATAGTTGTATTTAAATATGTATTTTAAATATTTTTTTTCTTTATTCTTTGTATTTTTTTTTTGCTTCCGACGACAGAAAGAGATAAACCACAAAGAATATTTTATCAGTTGGCTCACTCTTCGCCCGTATCAAAATTCCTCCCGCCACTCCCCGCCTGTCTTGTAGACTTGGGTCAGTCTACAGCCGTTGCTCGACGTGTACACAGCGTTCCAAGTTTATATTAGTTTTGTTTTCGGTCCGACGCATAGGGTGAACCAAAAATAGTGTTTTAGTTGTTTTGTTCGAATTGTGAATACAATGTCTACTAGAAATATTTGTGCAGTGGATGGTTGTGAAAGTAGAATGACAGGCAATATATCGTTCTTTAGGTGCCCAAAAGATGAAGGAAGGTATATGTTTATATAGTATAGGATATTAAGTATATAATAATTAAAGTATTAGACATATTAAGTATAATTATGGAAACCCAATTATGAATAAATTGTTTTAAAAATATACATATAAATTAAGAAAATATTTGACTCGAAATATGCACAAAATATTTATTTTTTACAATTAGTTTATTATTTTAGTAGATATATTAGAGTAGTAGTAGATACTTTACTATTATGTTTTGGATTTTTCAGTATTTACCGGTTGGCAAAGTGCATATTAAATTATTTTTTAAGATACTTGCATTTTTTTAAATAGCATGTTTTGCTTTTTAGATGTTTGTATTTAACTTTAACTACCTACCTGGAAAGTCTGGAAAAATTAATAATAATACCCCTATTTACAATTCCATATACCAAAGAATTAGGATAGAATAATATATCTAATATTTTAATATTAATGTATTCACCATAATATGTACAGGTAGAGTCTGATAAGGAAAATAACTTGTAGGTGTGGAGCCTGGAAAAGTGCCTTAGGAGTTATAGGATCCCACAGATATGAAAATTATACACCAGAACAATATCACGGGCCGCCTTTGAAATCAAAATAACAATAGAATTCCTTAGAGTGAACCAACTGTATATGTATATTCTTTAAACTGTGGATAAACTTTCCGAAACGTTAAGCATTTTTTGTCCGTTATGCAAATTTGTTCATTAGTAAGCATTCATTTTAACGCACCAGTGTTTACAAAAAATAATTATTTTATTTTGTAGATTTTCTTGCAGTGGCGAAATACTCATATAGGATTTTTTTGGAGATATAAATGTTAGCACATAAAAAATCAAAATAAAATAGTAATTCACCACAATACACCAAAACTTTTTTTTTAAAACGTTTAGCTAATCATGTTAGCATCATCAGCAGATGATTAAAACTAAACTAATATCTACAATAAAATTAAATATATAAAAATATAAAAAATTGTGTGTGCACTATGTGCACATATTTGAAGTAAAACTTCTTACTAACAGCTATTAAATTGGAGGATTTGAAGGACATATTTGAAAAAATGAGATATAATGCTGTTTTAATATAAATGTTATTTTCAATTTATTTCTGTAATCTGCACATTTTCAATTTCCTCAATAGCCTGCAAATTTTATGACATACCACCCAAAATACACATTTTTATGCAAATGCCTAATAATGTTAACGCTTAAATTTATTTAAGAAGAGAAAAAATTTTGAATCAAACCAACAATTCGTGTGTTTACAATAATTTTGTTAAATTATATGTATATTCTCGTTGATTATTGGTTTGAAATAGATATGACAATGTCCTCCAATGAAAATGTGAGTTGCTCAACACTAATTCTGAGTTAGCAAATGAGCTAAATGATTTACCTAGACTGTTATGCAGGGCATTCCCCATATAATTTTACATATAAAATGACAGCGATCTTCATTTCATAGCCGTCGCTGACGCCGTTTTTATTCAATCATATGGTATAACTTCTTTGCGGAGGGGGTTAATCTTTTTTTGATATAATATAACAACAAAAGATTAACACCCTCCGCATGGAAGTTGTAACCCATGCAATCAAAACTCTTTCGTGCAACTTTGTGATTATAAATATAATAAATATAACAAAAAAAAACGATTAACCTCCTCCGCATTGGCAAAAGTCCAGTGCAAAAGTAAAGTGTGTGCATTGTGGTAAATTAGTGTTTTATTTTGCTGTTGTAACACCAAAAGTTCCAACCCCCAACTGTAATATAACATAAGAAATGTTGAAGTAAAATAAGTTTTACATAGGTTTATTCAAATATCCTATTAGACGTTTACGGTAAATCATAGCTTATTATTTAGCCTAAATCAAAAAATACCTTAAGAAATTGTTAGTGCCCAAAGTATGGACGTCCAATACCCTACACAGCGCGATCAATTGACTTTGTTATTTTGTTAAGAAAAGCGTTTTTCAGTAAAATTTTGGACATTTTTCTATCCCTAATCAAGTGTAGCTTTTAGATAAACAATAATATAATAAAAATATAGTGAAATTATTACTTTATAGGGCCGAAATAAAGAAAAACTCAATGTTGAAATAATTTTCCGTTTTTCTGAAAAACGGAAAGAGATCGCCAAGAAAAAAGTTTAGATTCGTAATCTACGACCTCAAAATAGTGTGTATACCAATTTTGGTGAAAATCGGACGATTTCCAGTTTTCCCAATAATTACCAAAAAATATAATCCATTTGTATATATTAGTTTAGTTTTAATGATCTGCTGATGCTAACATGGTTTGGCAAAAGTCCAGTGCAAAAGTAAAGTGTTTTGGTGCATTGTGGTAAATTAGTGTTTTATTTTGCTGTTGTATGAATGAATTTTATAAGCGATGGGAACTATCGAATGAATTAGACTATCGAATGGTTACTGAATGAATGATTTCAACTATCGAATGGTTTTATTCGAATAAAATCATTCATTCATTTGTATACTAAAGCATATGTGACAACCTCGCCGTGCGACTAAATGGTTATCGTTGAGCCACGACTATCGAATGCTTTTGATAAATGAAATTTAGTATTTGTTTGATTTTTGTGTGCGTCAGTGCATTAGTAGTTCTTCCAAATTTTTATAACTTCGCCTTATAAATACTGACTTATAAATATTTTTGCGTTTATTAAAATATTTAAAATACTAAAATAGTAGTTTTTTTTAATTGACGATTGTGGGCGTGTGCAGGTGTCAACATTTTCCGAAAATTTGTGTGATTTTCCGTAGCCCGATCTTTCAATTATTTAATTTTATATGGTATATGGTCTATTTTTTATTGGGTAATTTTGAGAAGTAGCAATTTTTAAGAGAGATGAGATGAACTTACAATTAATTTTAAAAATACATATTTGTATTTTAGATGTTTTAATTTTTAATAATATGAATTAGTTGAACTTAATAATCATATTTAAGTAATGTGGTTAAGTAAATGATTATCGAACTCAAACTATGGGGTGAGAAAATTAAATTGAAAGTTTTACACGTGCCAATTAAAAAAAAAGTTAACGATGTTTGTATTTTGTTTATGCTAATTCTCTTACATGTAGTTTTTTGCGAAGAAATATTTCATTTATTTTTTAAAGTAAATGCCAGTAAAAGTAAATATATTATTTTTAAATAGTAATATAAAGCACCTAATATAAATAATTTTGATTTCTAATTTTTTATTTATATTTTCCTTCCATTACACTGCATGCTTAGAAAATTAATAAATGTTGATATTTCATGATTTTAAAATTTGTTGTTAATATAACAAATTAGTTCTGTAATTATTATTATTTATAAACCAACGTTGCCACACAAAAAATTTAGAGACTATATTATTTTTAAATAGGATCTAATATAAATAATTTTGACATCTAATTTGTTGTTTATATTTTGCTACTACTTAAAAAATGTTTATATTAAATGATTTTAAATTTTGTTGTTAATAGGTATAACAAATTATTACTGTTATTATTATTTATTAAACCAGTCTTTGCTTAAAAACATTAAAAATCATTTTCCTACATCCAAAATAACAAGTATTATTGCAGTGTAACAACAGAATATTAATAAAAAGAATGCAAAATATATAGACATACTATCCCTAACTAACTAAAGCCAAACAATAATATTCTTTGCTAATATCAACTAATACCAATATATGGCAACAGCGCCCTTCATAATATATTTTCTGTGTAAATACTAGCACCTCAATAAAAAAATAATGTGTCCTTATCTTTATCTGACTCCACAAAAAAATCAAAGATGCCGCCTTCTTTCATGGCATTGCTACCGACCGCTGTCGGGTTTCTCGGAAAAAAAACCTACGTCGCCGGGCGACAACTAAAATCCAGTTAATATTTTATTATAATCGATCCTGACCAATAAATGAATTTCATAAATGAATGAATTTTATAAATGAATGAATTTTACAAATGAATGGTTTTTGCTGCCGAATTACTAGAATAAAATATTTCAAGGCAGATGACGCATCTATTCGATAATTTTTATTCGAATAGTTTTCAACGAATTTTTTCTTACTAGCTATCGAATTATTCGAATGAATTGCAACTATCGAATGTTTCGATAGTATTCATTCGATAGTTCCCACTACTAGTTGTAACACCAAAAGTCCCAACCCCCAATTGTAATATAACATAAGAAATGTTGAAGTAAAATAAGTTTTACATAGGTTTATTCAAATATCCTATTAGACGTTTACGGTAAATCATAGCTTATTATTTAGCCTAAATCAAAAAATACCTTAAGAAATTGTTAGTGCCCAAAGTATGGACGTCCAATACCCTACACAGCGCGATCAATTGACTTCTGGATAACGAATCCAACGTGATTTCATCTTCGAACAGCTTCGAGAACTTCATGATGTCTTCGTTCGAGACTTGTTCGCCTGAGGTCCTGATTTTATTGAACCATTCCACAAATTCTTTAGCCCTTTCGGAATAACGGTCCTTGTGCTGCACCGACATGTCGTCTAGGGTACCCTAAAGATTCGGAGAGTTTAAACAAAGAATATTATAACTAGAGTACAATATTCTTTGGTTTATTATATGCTATACTAGCAGTGTCGCCAACTTTCTGAAATTTCCCACAAAGACGAGTGTCATTTTCTATCGAATAAAGTAAAAAAATACCGAGGGTGTCATTTAAAAATCGAAAATTTTAGTCATTTCCGGTGAAACAGGAAGTGATCAAAACAATTGAATATGTCAATGAATCCTAAGTTATGTCATAATATACCGTATGATCGAAAAAAAAAGCGGCGTCCAGTTGGCTTGGAAATGACGATCGATGACATTTCCCATATAATTTTATATACCGGGTGCGTCTGAAAAGTGGCTCACCCCCTATAACTTTTTTATTTTTTCAGATAAAAAAACGAGATTTGGTATGTTAGTATATGACATAAATTAGAATTGATTGACGTATTCAATTGTTTTCGGCCACTTCCTGTTTCACCGTAAATGACTACAACTTCTGATTTTTAAAGGCATCCTCGGAATTTTTTTTACTTTATTCAAAAGAAAATGACATTCTGAATAGAATTACATATCGTATGTCAACTTTTGACATTCTCGCTTAATAAAAAATCGTAATTTAAAATTCAATCTAGAGGGCAATGGCTATTTTAAAAATACTAATTCTTAATCAAGGAGCCTTGGAAAAATAGATTTGATCGTCTAATGTTTTTAGTGTCTTTTCCTGGCCAGTTATATAGAAAATGCTGAAATCGTATTTTTAATCATATCTCAATTTTTTCAAATGGAACGAGGGTGGCTCATTAGCATATTTGGAAAAAGCATTTTTTTACGAATAATTTGATACCACACACTTGGTATTTCGAGTCAAATTTTCGTTACGAACCGCAAGTTATAATTTCAAATAAACCAAATGCGAAAATGTCAAAAGTTGACATATGATATGTCATTCTATTCAGAGCGTTATTAGCTTTGTTCGGGTTCTTGTTATTGCGGATTCTGAACCGTCCTAGAACTCTGCAGCGCATGCGCAAAAATAAAATAATGTCTTCATATTTCCTTCTGCGCATACGCATCACAGTTCTAGGACGGTTCAGAATCGGTAATAAGAGAAACCCGAAGTAAGCTATTTTCTATCGAATAAAGTACAAAAATACCGAGGGTGCCATTTAAAAATCAAAAGTTGTAGTCATTTCCGGTGAAACAGGAAGTGATCGAAAATGATTGAATACGTCAATCAATCCTAATTAATGTGATATACTAACATACCAAATATCATTTTTTAACTAAAAAAAAAATAAAAAAGTTATGAGCTACTTTTGAGCCTCTTTTGAGACGCACCCGGTATAAAATGACAGCGATCTTCATTTCATAGCCATCGTTGACGCTGTTTTTATTCGATCATACGGTACTAACATACCATACATACTTTTGAGACGCACCCGGTATAGTTAGATATCTTTAAAAAATAAAATAGTTGTTAAATCTGAATTATACAATAAATCCATTTGTTTAATTTCAATTATTTTTTTAAAGATATTTTACACTCAAACTCAAAGTCCGCTTTAACTCAAAAAATACTATATTTCTATGACGTGTATTTGTTTTCAGCCACCTACTATGTAAACAAACATAAATCAACGGTCTTATAATTACTATACACGATATAAACTCATGTACGAAAAATTATCATCATTAATAGTGTCTTGACCTTGATTAAAAAAACAGTTAGATTATCGAAAACCCATAAAAAGAAAATTAAGAACAATGTTTTAATTTCAACAAAAAAAAACAGTACAGTTATTTAGATAATCACCAGACACTATCTTTTGTCAACTTTTTATGTCAAATAAGTTTAAAAATATTTTTCTAGGAAATCTAATTAGGTACATCAGATAGGTGAAAATAAATTATGTCTATATTATATATTTTGCTTTTTTCCTCTCAATGAAAAGTCAATAACCTGACAGAAAAATATTATTTGGTTGGATTCCAAGTTTCAAAATAGCAATTAGCAACAACTGACTAATAAATACTGTTTAGATCGCCCATCTTATAACTTTATTTCTTTTTTCATTAATCCAAAGTTTAAACTGGAGATTTAAACACATTTAAAACAAGTGTTTAAAAGTTTTTAACACCAATACTAGATGTTGGGTATGTTTTTAAACAATAAAAAAAACGTTTACTTTAAAAATATTAAATAGCTGTTTTCTTTCAACCATGAAATAAACCATCTTACCTGTAAAAACTTGGCCATTTCCAATTTCACTTTTAAACTCTGCTTAATTTTGTCTTCTCTTTCTGAAGTTGTTTGAAACGTACTTGGCAACATACCAGGAAACAGCTTAATAAACACTGGCAGTAGTAATTCCATGAATGGAACAATGATAAACACAGAAAATGGTACTAAACGAAACAAATCTCCTACGGTTCTCGTAAGAAGACGGTATTCCCTTCTGGTTAAGGTTTTGCCTTGCAAAATTCGCCATACCAGTCCCGCTGATATTTTTACGTCTATGAAGAGCAGTCGAAATCCATGGTAATAATGTACAATTTCGTCGACAACTTTCTGTTTTAATGATTTTTTAACTGGCGCTTTTGCTACTTGTGTGTCTTGCTGTACCTTGGTAATTTCCTCTTTTTGTTTTTTCAACTCTTGAACTGTCACTTCAACTTTCGAAGAGGGTTTGAGGGGCTCTTTTTCTAAATGTGCAGCTGACAGTGATATATACCTAGAACTGCCATATTTGTTTAATGTTTCATTAAATATAATACCAATAAGCTACCTAATCAACTCGTAATTATCCGTATGGGATTTTCTGTTGTTAAAATTCAATAAACTAGGATTTGTTGTCAAAGAATATAACCTTCTTGGCTCAATAAATCCTATATTTGCAAAGTGACAATTCAAACTACATACAGCAGGATTGCCTATGGAGATATTTCGACAACCTACAATTAAGACAACTTTGTATAATAGTAAATAAAACAATTAAGGCCGATTATTAAAATTATATAAGTAAATCCATCGCCTGTTGTGGAGCTACCTAACCTGAAAACAGAAGTAAAAACTTACATTTCATCAATTTAGAACGAGTGTTTCTTATGTGGGGGGAGCGCAAAACAACGTACATCTTATAAGGTGTTTGTAGAATTTAATGACAAGTTCACAATTTTCGATTTTGGTGTAAAATGTTCCATAAATTACTGTCGTTCGAATATAATTATTGTTCTCATATGGCTGACTTCAAAATTTTCCATTTAAAAATAAAAATGACAGAAGTAGACATTTGGTAATTGTAGCCAACATAAAAATAAAAATTTAGAAGTTTTTCTTAAAATCCCTAGTTTTAAAAAATGGAGGTAAAAAATATTTTTAAAATGCCTGAACGAATAATATAAATTATAATAAAAAGAAGTAATTAAAATACCTGTTTTGGTGATTTCTAGAAATATTGTTCATTTTAATATTTATTCAAGGGAATATAACTAAACAATGTAGCAATATAACATGCTATGTTTATTTTTTTTCATTCAAAATGAAAATTTAATTTTAAATGTTTTAAATAAATACTTATATAATTCCTATACGATTACTTCTCTAAAATGGTAATATTTTTCATATACTTTTTAAATTTAACTGTAGATTTATCATCTAATCTCCAATTTAACTTTTACCTGTATAAATTACCATCAATTTTTACCTATTTGCAGACAATTTCTTGGAAATCAACATAACATGCAACAATAATGCTGTTTATAATTATGTTATTATTTAATGAGAATTATTGTTATTGTAAATGGGGTAAATAGTTTTAGAATATTTTATTTTAGTCAATAGCGGTCGAAAAATAGTATTAAATAAATTGATATTTCAGATGGATGTTGTAAGATTGGTTCGTATTTTCACAGTTTATACTGTGGTATTTGTTTTTTAGCGATATAATTATATATTACCGATCATTTCCCGATTGTATAAATTGTATTTGATTGTATTGCTTAATTTCAGGGAAAGTCGATAAAATTATTAGTCCACACAGGCGCAAATCGAGCGCAAACATTTTAGTTGGCATTTTCGCACGTGCGCATATCCAGGAGAATAATCGCTGTTGTCAGTTTGCACAGAAATTATTGTAATTTCGGATATTACAATGAGAGTTTTTTTTCTAAAATGAAAATGAAATGAAATAGGTAGATTATCAATATCATAATGTTAATAACTTTAGTTTTCATATGAGGCGTCCGGAATCAAAACTCTCTAAATCCATTTTCCATGAAAAATAAGTTAATGACAGTGCTGCCATCTTAAAAAGATTCTCTATATGTTTCTAAATTATATTTGCAGCAAAAGTATCTCCATCCAATGAAAATTAAATATGAAAAGTCGACAGCGGTAACAGAACTTTCTCAGTCCTTCGTAAACACTGTTCCAAAACTCTTTTGTTCCATTCTTTTATGTGGGTATCAAAACTATCTACTTCCTATAGGAAATTATCGTATTACTGCCGAACGATAACAAGACTGCTTACATTCTATCCTGCTTTTTCAGTTATTTTTTTTCGCTAACTTAGTATAACATTGGTTGTAATACTGCACGCATGTATGTCTCGTTATTTGTGAAAAGTTTTGATTTGTTTTTATGATAATTGATGTACTATGGAGAATTCCGATGTCCTATTCACACCTGGGAAAGGTAGAAAGAAGACAGCAGATCCCAAGAACTGGAAAGCTACGCTAGCAAAAAGTAGAAGGTATGTAGATCCGTTTCTTTACCTAAAAATTATTACATTGCTATGCATGCATTAGCTTCCTTTTTAAATTTGTTCATTTAGAGAAGTGCTTTTTGTAATTTTGGTACCTTTTTTATAGGTACAGACCCAAAACGTTGCCAACATTACCTCGATGCTACCATAAAAAGAAAACATTTGCCTGTGCTAATCTGACCATGCAGGAAATCAGGAAATTTCATACAGCTTTTTATCAGAATAAAACAAAGATTGAACAGGACAACTTTATTTTGAAGCATACTTCCCAGAACGTCCCGCAAAGACGACGTCTAGTGAAAGGCACACGCAGTAACTCAATTTCTTTAGGTTATTTTATCAAAACCACACACGGAATGCTGTCGATCTGTAGTAAAGCATTCTTATCCATTCTTGGAATTTTTAAGATTTAGAGTTCAGAACTTAAGTAAAAGATTTTTATCAGATGGTAGTCAACCTAAAGAAAATCGAGGAGGTGACAGGAAGAGCAGATTTTATGTTGAGAAAAAGCAGATGGTCACAAATTTTATTAAGAAGTTGAAATGTGTAGAGTCTCATTACACAAGGCACAGATCTGAACGTCAAGATATGGCAAGTGATCTGAGTATCAAGAAACTTTGGAGAATTTACTGTAGTGAGAATGAAAACGTAAAAGTGAAATATGATTACTTTAGGAAAATGTTTACAAGAGATTTCAATATAAGTTTTCAAACTCCGGCTACAGATGCTTGTTCTGAATGCATTAGCTTGAAATGTCAAATAGCAGCTGCTCTAAATGCTGAGACTAAGACAGAATTGATGGTAAAATTGCGAGTTCACAAACTTAAGGCCAAAGCATTTTATGACCTTCTGAAGCAGCCAGAAGAGGGAACCATTAAGTTGAGTTTTGATTGTCAAAAGAACCTAGTGTTGCCCCGCGTTCCAGACCAGTCAGCCTATTATTCCAGACAACTTTACTGGTACAACTTTACAATATGTGAAGGTCACTCTAAATCCAATGAGACTGCAGATACTGTAACTGCTTTTACTTGGACCGAAGACATAGGCGGCAAGGGATCCAATGAAATAGTATCAATGGTTAATCACAAATTGTCTACTCTAAATCTGGCGGAAGTTACCTATATTAAGCTGTTTTGCGATGGATGCCCTGGACAAAATAAAAAATCTATTATGATTGGTATGCTTATGCATTGGCTTTACTCTACAGAATCTTCAGTTCAAGAGATTCACGTGATATTTCCCATCGTAGGGCATTCGTTTCTGCCGCCTGACAGAGTTTTTGGAAGAGCCGAGAAAAAGGTGAAAAAAAGGAGGTGATCATTCATCCAAGGGAATACCGAGGAATATTGTCTGAGAATGCAACCGTACTTGATCTTGAAAAAGACTATGATATTTTCGACTGGAAAAAAGCCATAGAGGTTTGTGTAAAGCCGCCCAATCAGTGGCATTTCCAGTTTGCAGCAGCCAAGAGAACATCTTTGAAGAAGCATTGCCGACAGGCAGGAAAAAGTATTGTAGTTAAAGGAGAAGTTAACTTTAGATCAGATCTTGGTGTATACAAATCGGTGCTGAGAAAAGGAAAAAGTCTCGCTTTAATCCAGCCTGAGCCATTGCCGAAGATTCATTCTATTAAGCCAGCTAAAATAAAAGATGTTGATGCCCTATTGAAAAAACACTTTGGAGTGGATTGGAGGAATACCCCTAATGAAGACCTAACTTTCTACAGGAATATTATTGACAACGACAGAGCTGTGGAACTAGAGGAGAACGCAAATGACAGAGAAGCTATTGTCGATAATATTGAAGACGACGGACTTAGAATTAAGTTTTTTTATATTATTTTATTTTGTATTTCTTTGGACATAAAACATGGCTTAGTAAAAATATGTCGTTTTATTACATGAAACGTCGATTCTTTCAACAATGAAGTTAACAAAACTCTTTCAATCCACTGCTTGGTAACAAAACTCTTTACATCCAAACTGTTTTACCAAACTGTATCTTATATTACGTCCAAAAATAGTTTTTTCGTTGAAAAACTTCGTTAAGAGAGTTCATTCTCCCATATAATTGATATATAAAAGGTACTTCACACATAAATACGACAGTGCGGGTTTTTTGGATTTCTTGTGAAACTACTTATCTTGGATTTAGAGAGTTTTGATTCCGGACGCCTCATATAAAAAGTATTATTATCTATAGTCTGTCCTGTCGAAAGGATACATATGACAGTAACAGAGCTGTCTCTGTCTTTCTATTTACAAGTAAATTATATAATACGACCCAAAATACACATTTTTGTGCAAATACCTAATATTAACGCTTAAATTTATTTAAGAAGAGAAAAATTTTTGAACCTAACCAAGATTTCGTATTTATAATGGTTTACAGTTTACAGTATTTTTGTTAAATTATATTATTCTCATTATTGGTGTTCCAATGAAACCTGGTACACAGGTACAGTACCAAGCTTATTATAATGCTTTTCTAAGCATTAAATCAAATGTTTTTTGGTGTTTGCGCGATCCTTACCGCTTTTTTTTCTCGCTAGCTCGTGCGTCAAGACATGGTCAAGGCCATGTCGTGTCAAGGCCGTAGTGTGTAACGGCCTTGAATTTTTACTTCCATCGCGCGTAAAGAAGTTTCACTGTTTTCAAAAAATATTATTGGCAAGAGAAAAAGTAATTTTTACGTACAACTTAATCAGGAGACGTGACAACATTGCTTTAAGCGGGATTTCGTTTGGGTGACAAGGCCTCCGCGCCGTCCTGTCATGTTTCATTATATTTGTGGGGTGTGTTAAAGAAAAAAACATAATAGAACATCTTCCCCTTACTGTAAGGTACGGCAAAATTAAGTTTCTATTTATGACTATTTGATTTAGCAATTTTTTCGGCGAATCCTCGCCTGACAGCTCCAAAATACCATTCGTCTCACTTTCCACGTTTGTTGTGCAATTGTTTAATGGCTGGCGTACGTCTAGTTGTTTAGATTTTCCTGGTCGGGCGATCTTGTTTTTGGTTTATGGTAGGTGACGCCGATAGTAAATAGTTCGCAGAATTTTTATACGGTTTTGTGAAATAAAAGTGCACAGTGTGTTGACGAAAGTGAGTTTTACCGCCATAAATAAATAAGTGATGTGGTAGGAGTAGTGAAGAAATTACTTGGAAGAAAGTACAGGATCATTGCGTAGTTATCGTAGAACGAAAATACTTTGATTCTCTTGTGCGTACAACCGAAAAGTCTACGTTGTCGTTTTTTGTAGGTCAAATTTAACACGCCTATGGTTTTGCGCTGATTTTTACGTTCGTCCGGTCAGTACAGGAAAAAAAAGATCAAAAAATTGATTCCGAGTTTATTTCGGGTAACGGAAGGCGTCATAATGCATCCGACCGGGAAAACACAAGCCCCTCGCGCTACACCTCTATTTTTAGGAGAGATGCTGTTCACCTTTCTTTATTCCTTTGGAAGTTCTTGTTGTTTTTTGCGTCTGGCGCGCATCATATCGAAATTCCTCGCATTCCGGGGTAATGCACCCAAACACGCTCTCTTATTTTGCCTCGTTCAAGGTTGCTTTTTTGTTTTGTTAGTTTTTTGACAAGTTTTATGCGCGATAATTTAGTTTTTGTTCCTTTTCAGGTATACAATGGGGCCAAACCAAGCCAGTCATTTCTTTGCACAGTAAACAATTTAATCATCTACTCAAAATCTAATCCAAACCTGGTCTCACAAGGAAACTACAATAAGCAACTGATATAATGGACTTGTGCAAGTGGTAAAATGGATTTTGGCTCTGCCAAATCCTTTTTCTATCAACCCTCGCCTTTTGGTGGGTCTACCAGGAACAAACAGGCAAAGAAAAAGGACACTCTTTTATATTTTTTATTTTGTAAGTTTCATATTTTTATAATTTTAGTAAATTGAGTATGTATAGTTCCTTTAACTTCCTATAGTCTATCCAACGGGGGTTCCATGACAGTGACAGTTGTGTCTGTCATTTAATTCACAGGCAAGTTGTATTTTTTTGTCATTTTTGGAGGTCATCTTCCATGGCTTGTTGGATAGACTATAATTAGTATCAGAGTATTTCCCTAAAATAAGACCAATGTCCAATATTAATTTTGTCTCACCCTGTCCAGATATAGGGATGGTTTCATTCTAATTTTGGCACTGATTTTTCTTTACTGAACATTTCTTATGAAAACTTTGCAATATGTCACTTAAATGTCAAAAACTTGTGTCCATTTCTTGGACCTGTACATAAGTTAGTAGTTTTTGTATTTTTAATCAATATAATATTTTGATCCAACCATTTCCCCATAAAATTATTCATTTTGTTTTTGTGTATGTATCCACAGTTCAATATCACAAAACATTTTCAGTAAATTACTTAATTTAATGTCAAGGTCATCTCTAGAAGTGATTATCTAAAAAATGCACATTAAAAATTATTTATTCTGATACCTACCTACTGTAGTTTTTTTTTTATTTTTTCCTATTTTTAGATTTTTGAGATATGTTATCAAAATACATCAGCTTGAAAACTAGTCTGACCAAATAATCTTTATTATTTCAGTTGCATTATCAGAGAATGTTAAATATTAATTTTGTTTAAATACTTTCGAGAAATATCTGATAAATTTTTTTTTAATAGAAAAATGATTCAAAGTTCAAATTGAGAGCTCTATAAAAGCAATTTACTCAGGGTGCAGATATAATTTTATTAATTTAAACATTCCAGTAATTTTTATAAAAGGACAAGAGATATTTTTGAGTAGGAAAAATGAGTTAATTAGATCTAAATTTAGATACAAACATTGATAAGTGCGGTAGTTCATAATTTTGATAAGAATACATATAATATGAGCATTTAACAGCGGCGACAATGGTGAATTGTTATGAAATATATAAAAATATAGAATGTTCAGCCATCGTTCAATGTCATGTCATATATTGTCAAACTCTCTCAATCACTTGCCAACCAGTTGAAAGAGATTGGTGACTTCATTACGTACGGCATTTCGTAGATTACTGCATATTCTTTTTAGTAATTGTCATTGTCATTTGATTTGGGATTATAATTTTATTGACGGACGTTGATCAATATCAAAATTAAAATTCGAGTGTTGCTGTAAAACAAAATTTAATTTTTTTTATTGCAAAAATGCCTCAAAGATTTAACCAAAATGAACAAGAGCTTATTCCTAAGCTTATAAATTATTTTTCTCGAGAAAGAGGCGCTGGTAGAACACTCTTGCCCGTGGACGCCGTATACCCTGCTGGCAAGCGAAACCTTGGGTCGGCGTTTACATGTATAGGAGTGAATCGCTATGGCAATCTAGTAAGTCGGAGAGAGCAAAAATACGAAGTATTTATTACATAACCACTTAATCTGGCGCTAGATTCTATGCGCTTGGGAAAATACTTGCCTTCTGTCTTTATTCAGTACATCTTATTTTTCTAAGCGTGTTGACCGTACTCTTCATACACACGAAAATCAATATGAACTAATCTCAGACACACCCAAGAACGGTAAACTAATAGGATTGCTCATCCTCATAAGACGTACGTTCGCCTCTTCCCGCGCTTCAGCTGACAGTTGTGACGTCATTGTAGCCCTTGTCAAAGCCTTCGTGGCCTTGTCATGATAGTGTGTATTATTAGTTGCCTATGGTAAACTTATAAAAATAACAGCTGAGAAATTTTGAGTTAATTATTTTGTCAATTTTAAATGTGAAAAAGGTGTCTTTAAAGTTTTTAGAGCTATAGAGTGTATAAATACGTTCATTTTGTGTTGTGGATTTGGTTTGGTGTGGTACACTAAATACGTTCATTTAGTGTTGTGGATTGTGACAAAGTGCATACTAAGTGCCCACGATTTTGTTTATTAATTATTTTAAAGCAAAATATGGAAGTACTCTAAAAAGAATGCTTGAACAAGGTGATGGTGGGAACTGCTGTTCTTAAAAATGCATTATCCGAGTATTTAATAAGATTTATACAGTTAATTTTCTATACTGCATACATATAAGGTATTTAAATAAATAAACTAAATAATGAACGTTTTGAATTCGGTAACCAATAATGCACGTGTGTGTATTATTGGTTGCCGGATAAGGACTAATAACAAACTAATAACCATGACAAGGGCTACAATGACGTCACAAAGCGAGTAGTTTTCGCATGCATCTGGCGGACACTTTTGGCTGAATGAGCAGTCCTATTAGGTTAACTGTTCTTGAGACACACTCTAGGAGTCATATTTGACATATAATAATGACATAACGGTGAACGATGGCTGAACAGTCTTTATATCTTGGATTAGTCTAATTAGATATGTATTAATAAGTATGATCATGAATTATTTCTCCCTTCCACACTGTATCATATGTACTATAGCTCATACCAATTAAATTTTTGGTCACGTGATTAAGCTTGACCGGCACAGCGTTGGTAACAACGAATTTAAAAATCGCGCCCTCGATTACTTAACTAAAAGTTTAATTGGTATTGCTTATATCTATGAAGTACTGTATTGTAACACATTGGAAAAACGGTATCAAGTAGGCTTGGAAATGACGTTGGCTTGGAAATGAGTTTTACCTTATAATTTTGCACCTAAAATGACAGCAGTTTTCATGTCCAGGCCAACTCTGATGATTCTAAAACACGTACATAGTTCTTTAATTAATAACATCAGAATTATTTCTTGTATTGATTGGGGTAATTATTGGGAAAACTGGAAATCGTCCGATTTTCACCAAAATTGGTATACACACTATTTTGAGGTCGTAGATTACGAATCTGAACTTTTTTCTTGGCGGTCTGTAGCCGTTTTTCAGAAAAACGGAAAATTATTTCAACATTGAATTTTTCTTTATTTCGACCCTATAAAGTAATAATTTCACTATATTTTCATTATATTATAGTTTATCTAAAAGCCACACTTGATTGGGGATAGAAAAATGTCCAAAATTTTACTGAAAAACACTTCTCTTAACAAAATAACCAAGAAAATTGAGACCAGATTGAAGTTTGACATTTCATATATCCTTCTTTCTCTCTCCTATGTAATGAGAGAGACAAATATATTCTAGACCTAATCTAGAAATTTGAAAATTTACAACGTTGCCATATCTTCTATTATTTCGGGCAATTAGGGATTTTAAATAAATTACCTATTATGAGATATGACAATAATTAAATCGTCCTATTGCGCTGCCAAAAGTCACTAATTAACATTTTCCGAACAACCAAAAATTCAATCACTAACTATATTTTGAAGCGGAGAATCGATTGAAAAAGTCATTAGCTACGATTTTTGGCTATTTATGTTTTATTTTGATACTGAATAGTTACTAACTATAACATCTTTATGCAATGCAATTCATCTTTAGACGAGTTTTTCTCGGAAGTAACAAAAAGTAAGTTAGTGACTTGGCAGCAATGGGACGAAATATACCTACCTATATCCACAAAGTTACGCGGAAGAGTTTTGATTACATTGGTTTCAACTTCTATGCGGAGGGGGTTAATCTTTTTTTTTTGTTATATTTATAACCACGAAGTTGCACGAAAGAGTTTTGATTGCATTGGTTACAACTTCCATGCGGAGGGTGTTAATCTTTTGTTGTTATATTATATCAAAAAAAGATTATCCCCCTCCGCAAAGAAGTTATATAAAGACTATTTATAACCACGAAGTTGCACGGAAGAGTTTTGATTGCATTGGTTTCAACTTCTTTGCGGAGGGGGTTAATCTTTTTTTTTATATATAATATAACAACAAAAGATTAACACCTTCCGCATGGAAGTTGTAACCAATGCAATCAAAACTCTTTCGTGCAACTTTCGTGGTTATAAATAGTCAGATCTCGTTGGTAAAAGCAGTTATGTGAAGGAGCCGTTCTTCTGACGACCGCCTTTCGTAATCCCAGAATGAGCGAAAAAAAACACCCAAAATTTAGGTTTAGCATTGGCAACGTTGCTTTACATGCCAGAAACACATAACCCAACACATTTGGAGATTGTTTACAAATTTATTTTAGCAAATTTTCCTCTATTATGCATAGAATCGGTTAAAAAAGTAACAGAAAATAGCAATAACATCATTGTTTATTGAATACCTAACAAAATATGTGCCGGAAAACTTTAAAAATATGAGAAATTAAGAAAAATTCAATGTTGACATAATTTTTCGTTTTTCTGAAAAACAGTAAGAGACCGCCAAGAAAAAAGTTCAGATTCGTAATCTACGACCTCAAAATAGGGTGTATACAAATTTTGGTGAAAATCTGACGATTTCCAGTTTTCCCAATAATTACCTTGATTGTTATTTTTTGACAGAATATTATGAAGTACCCACAAGTGGTGTCGATGCCCTCAGCAGTGTCTGATTGGTTAGAGGAACAACTGGAAGCCCGAGGCATAGACTCCGAAGTCTATACTCGCTATATTTTGAGCTTACTGCACGCCCATACCCTCGACTTAATTTACCCAGAGGAAGATTTCGCCTTTCACCCGATAAAAAAAGTAAGCAACTAAACAACATTCACATATATATTTATATTATATAAATAAAAAGTTAGTGCAAACAAATTTTACCAACCAAATTTATAAATATAAAACACCATTCACCAGAATATGATCCATTGAGAAACTTTCCTGTCAACCTGTCTTCATCTGTCACGATTGTCATTGAGGAAAAAACTAAGGAGGGACTTAACCTACAAAATTAAAAACCGTGGAGGTACATTAATAGAAAGATGGCAAAACTATGTAGTATGGCTGGCTGTTGGATGGATAATTGTAGTACAATTATATCTCTAAAATTGTTCAGTTAATGTAGAACACCAGTGGTGGGATTCTGTAAGCTTCGAAGCCAGATATTTCTTGCCTACCCTACGTTATTTTTCGATCACTAGACAGGAAATATGTTTACAGAATCAACACTGGAGATATATTTTTTCTTTATAATTGTGGCGGATTTAATAGCCGAATAATACCGGGTGTTTTTCAGAAGTGGCTTATCTCTATAACTTTTTTTTTCAGATAAAAATACGAGATTTGTTTTGATTTTTTTTTTGCTTAAAAATTAATACTTTAAATTTCAATCTAGAGTGCCATGGTTGTCATATAGTACATACTAACATAAAAGTAACATTTTACCAAATCTCGTTATTTTGTCTGAAACAAAAAGTTATAGGAGTGAGCCACTAAAAGACACGCGGTATATGACCACATCGTTTAGTGGGTGTATTATTAGTGTATATACAGTTCATGCCAAATAAACTTTTAGTCACGTGATTAAGCTTGACCGGCACAGCGTTGCCCACTGTTATATATTTTCTTTTAATCAAAATATTTTAGGAAACAAAAATAAATTTAATTATAATAATTATATAAACAGTTATTATTTACATCAACAAAACTCACCTTCTTAACAGCATTTAAGGGACATAAAGGGCCATTACTACCGCTTTCCCGTTCATAATATTCTAATAATGTTTTTTGCTAAGAGTTTGGTACGGCTATTAAGCTATCTTGTACACTTCGCACTAAAAGAGGTTCTAAAAAGAACAATTTTCAACAGAAAGGTCTGCTGGCTAACATTTTCAAGCTTAAAATATCACAACACTATTTATTTAAACCAAAAACTCGTAATACAAAACTAAAAGTGTCAAAACGAATGATAGTGTCAGGAAATAAATAAATAAATGCGGCAATTTAGCATTTTTTACAGCAGGGCTACCCCCTGAATCTCCAGCGCGAAATTTAAATTCCAGTTAGTCAGAACGGCGTCGAATATGTCCATGGTTGGCAACAATGAATTTAAAAATCGCTCCCTCGATTACGTAACTAAAAGTTTAATTGATATAAAATACCGTATGATCGAAAAAAAAACGGCGTCCGGTTGGCTTAGAAATGAACATTGATAATTTTTCCCATATAATTTTACATATAAAATGACAGCGATCTTCATTTCACAGCCATCGCTGACGCCGCTTTTTCTCGTTCATATGGTATATCAAAAAACATTGATTAACTGTTTGACATAATATGGCTCTCATGTTAAGTAATTTTATTATTAATTTTATTACAATAGAATAGTTTTTTTTCTCTGTTTTATCATTTTATCAATTATATTGTTCTTAAAAAAGTATAATAGGTTAGTAACTTAATTATCTACACATATATCTCTAGTGCAGCAATATAAAAAATAGTAATTTGTATCAGTTGTTATCTTAATAGTTTAGAGTTATATGCTCAGTGAAGTTTGATATTTTGACAAGAATAACGGTATGCACGTATTTTCTTTTCTATACAATATTAACTTAAATAATATTGTAAACATAGTTTAAATATGGATTACAGAGTGCCAGAAATTTTAATTTATTATTAAAAGGGCAGTTACATCAGATCAGAATTTTTATGAAAATTTACTTATGAATTCCTAGGTACATACTGATTATTATGATGGTAACGAAGTTTTGGTAATGAAGATTTTGGAAACTCTGGATACACTTCTTTAATTTCCACTAAATTACGAGTATACAGGGTGACCCAGGCTGAGCGAACTACAATATCTAGGTCGGAGATTAAAAATATTTTCAATATGGCGGTACTCTCGGAAATAACGGAAGTTGACAGCAACTTTCTTATTTTAAATGGGTACCCCCATATTTTTTTATTACATACCTAAATTCTCCGTAAAATTTTATGAATTTTGATATCAAACACTCTATATCTAACATTAACCGTTTTTGAGAAAAAAAAATATTTAAAATCCTTGGAGGAAAAATACTGCCTATCAAAAAAATCTGTATAGCCTAAATGACAAATTTAGTGATTATCACAGCCACTGTGGCATAAAGAAAAGACCACATGTCTTCTCTTTATATAGAGTATAGAGTGTTAGGTATAGAGTGGTTTATATCAAAATTCATAAAATTTTACAGAGAATTTAAAAATGTTATAAAAAATGGGGTCCCCATTTAAAATAAGGAAGTTGCTGTTAACTTCCGGTAGTTCCGGAAGTGCCGCCATATTGAAAATATTTTTAATCGATAGATCTCGTTGTGAAACATTGCTTAGTGAACACTTGATATTGTAGTTCTCTAGAAACTTCTAATGCACGCTCAGCCTGGGACATCCTGTATGTCATTGAACAGTCTCGTTGGTGAAATATCTTTTATTAAAAAAAAGATTGAAATTATTTTTTCCGTCAAGTTATATTTTTTTTTCAGAATATTTATCAATGACAGACAGTGACAGAATCCACAACAGTTATTAATTTTGACATATATTCAATTTTTATTGCTTTTATAGGTGTCGTCAGCGTGACTGACACTAAATAGTTCTGAGAATTTGGCTTAAAGTTTAAATGCTATACAAGATACTGAGATGCAATTAAAGTAATCTAATAGATATATTTCTTGGAAAACTATTGATAGTGTCGCATAAAATCATTGAATAAAAACCTAAGGAAGTCTACTATTTTTATATTCCTGTCTCAGAGACGACAGGTCTTTTGCCAGTCTTGTCATTTATTAACGCTTTTCTGAATTGAGCGTTTTTGTTAAATTTTTATTACTAGGTATTTGTTTTTATTAGAAATATACTTTTTTTTCAAGTCACAATTTTTTTAGTGACGCCATTAACAATATAAAAATGTTGTTATATGTATGTCACTCATTATAAATCGTCAGAAAATGTATTTTATACTTCTTTACACTCAGGAATTTTTTAGAATTTTTTGAAGTGGTGGAACAATATGAAAAAAATTAAACTCAATTTTTTTTTAAAATATTTTTTTTTTTTAAATCTTCTCGGACTGATTTTTTTTATAATAATCTTTATGTTTATTTCTGGCAAGGATGTATTTTTAATGAAAAATATATTTTCTACTCACTTTTTTAAACTAAACAAAAATATAAGTTAGTTAAAACAGAATATTTTAGAAAAAAAATTAGTCTAATTTTTTTTTTCATATTGTTCCGCCACTTCAAAAAATTCTAAAAAATTCCTGAGTGTAAAGAAGTATAAAAGACATATTCTGACGATTTTTAGGGAGTGACATATTTCACAAAGGTTAAAAAAATGAAGATTTTAATTTTCTTTCCTCGACTGAAAATCGGCTTTTCGTTTAAGAATCAAGATCATATTATTTTTTCATGTCTTAGACTTCTAAGGATTAGAAAAAAAATCATCGTTAATTAATTTTGAATTTTACTATAAAAATAAAAATAAAATTGAAAAAACAGTTTTTTTTTGAAAATCTCGAAATCCGTTTGAGTTAAAGAGATGAAAATTTAGGTGAATTATTTTGATTCGACACCAAATCGATCCCTTGAGTGCGAGTCAAAAAAGCCGCGGGGGCAGATTTCCTGTATTAATCCGACTATACCCTTTGAACGCCACTGGTAAACCGGAAGTCAGCCATATTAAAGTACCATCGCGCTCCCTCTAATTTTATTGCTGTTCTCCTTCCCTAAATATTTTTATTCAATGCTTAAATTACTCGGCGATATTTGTACTCGCCTGGTGTATTAGATCATTTGAATAATTTTGTTTTTTGCCATGGCGTGCCCCCAGGAGGAAGGGCGCGGCCACAAGCGGGTCCGTCGTTCCGGCAGCTGGTGGAGACATGCCAACGAGGACCCCGAACAGATCAAACGTTCGGCAGCAGTCGAGTGCCTTATGTCGGCAGCCGATCAGGTACTCGCCAGCACCACCTCTAAGGTCTATCCCAGAAACCTTTGTAATAATAAATATAATTGCATTATTAAGTTTCTGAATTCTTTTATTGAATTTAGGTACAGTCTCTGCATTTTATATACTAGCTGTGCTATTCTCAGTTTCACTTATACCCGATGTTTCCCAAAAGTGGCTTACTCCTATAATTTGTTTTTATTTTTTCAGATAAAAAAACGAAATTTGATATGTTATTCAATTACTTTCAGTCACTTTCTGTTTCACCGGAAATGACTACAACTTTTGATTTTTAAGTGGTACCCTTGGTATTTTTTAAATTTATACCGGATGCGTCTCAAAAGTGGCTCACCCCTATAACTTTTTTATTTTTTCAGATAAAAAACGAGATTTGGTACGTTAGTATATGACAAAAATTAGAATTGATTGACGTATTCAATTGCTTTCAGTCACTTCCTATTTCACCGGAAATGACTACAATTTTTGATTTTTAAATGGCACCCTCGGTATTTTTTTACCTTATTGGATAGAAAATGACGTTCTGAATAGAATGACTTATAATATGTCATTTTTTGACATTTTCGATTAAAAAAATAGCATTTTAAATTTCAATCTAGAGTGCTATGGCTGAGTTAAAACCATTAATTTTTAATCAATGGCCCTGGCAATCTAGAACGGAATTTAAATTGTTTTTTTTTATTAAAAAAGTTAAAAGTTGACATATGATCATTTTATTCAAAATCTCATGTTCTGCGAAATAAATACCGAGGGTATCATTTAAAAAAACAAAAGTAATTTCCTGTGAAACAGCTAGTGAACGAAACTGATTGAATACGTGACTCAGTCATTATTTATATTATAACGGGTGCATCTCAAAAGTGGCTCACTCCTATAACTTTTTTATTTTTTCAGATAAAAAAACGAGACTTGGTATGTTAGTATATGACATAAATTAGGATTGATTGACGTATTCAATTTGTTGGTCACTTCATATTTCATCTGAAATGACTACAACTTTCATTTTTAAATGCCACCCTGTGTGCAACGGTGCCCGGTGGCGTAGAGGTACAGGCTCTCGTCTACCAATCTTAAGGTGTGGGTTCGATTCCCACACCCGGCATTTCATCAGCCGACTATTTTTATTAAAATAAAATAAAAATAGTTTCGGTACCTAGGTCGATTCAGCCTTAAATGAGTGCTTGGGATTCACAATCCTGAGGTAATAATAGGCGGTTGGCGCCTAATTCCTTTGTCACAGCCGCGGCTTTGTCAAGCGCCGCCGCCGACCGACTGTGTCGGGGCGACTGCTAGGAAGATCGTACAGTATTGCCATTTCATAGAATTGCACTTGCTATTTTAGAATTGATTTCAAAGTTTTGCATGTTACTTTTCGTTTTAGAAAGAAGTTATGTGCCTAGAGAAAACATTCTTAAAATTGTTTCGTACTTTATTTAATATTTCATTAAGTAGGCAAGATAATGGGATTAGAAGATTTAGGATTTTGACAAGCCAACATAATTTCGATTTAATTGAATGGCAACACTGTCCGTCCTGTTTCTATTTTTTCGATTCTGTTCTATTAGTAGGCGGTAGCCCCCACACAAGCGTCTTAAAGACCCGCCCGGTGCCCCCTCTCGCAGGGGCTCTCTCGTCGTATCACTTCTATTATCACTTCCCCTATACGATGGTAGGGAAAAGACACTTTATCCGTCTCTGTTGCACTGCAGTGTATTTTGCAGCCTTACCATCTTTTTTTATTGCATTGAAAACCTCCTATTGCTAATATTCCTTTGCCAGCAGTGTATACGGGAGCTATTATTATTACCCTGTGTATATTTTTACTTCATTCGATATATTATTTGACACTCTGAACAGAATGACATATAATATGCCAACTTTTGACATTTTTGTTTACAAAAAAATCGTATTTTTAATTTCAATCTATAGTGTCATGGTTGTGTTAAAAACACTAATTTTTAATGAAGGAGCCTTGGAAAAATAGATGTGATCATCGAATGTTTTTCGTGTCTTGTCCAAACCAAACCAAAACATACCCAAATCGTTTTTTTTAATCATATCTCAATTTTTTCAAATGGAACAAGGGTGGCTCATTAACATATTTGGAAAAAAGCATGTTTTTACGAATAATTTGGTACCACACACTTGGTATTTCGAGTCAAATTGATTTTCGTTATGAACCGCATGTTATAATTTCAAATAAACCATATGACAAAATGTCAAAACTTGGCATATAATATGTCATTCTATTTAGATTGTCATTTTCTATCGAATTAAAATAAATACCGAGGTGTTGATTACAAGACATCAAAAGTTGTAGTTATTTCCGGTGAAACAGGAAGTGACTAAAAACTATTGAATACGTCAATAAATCCTAATTTATGTCGGAAGTTGACATATGAATATACCAAATGTCAATTTTTTATCTGAAAAAAAAATAAAAAATAGGAGCGAGCCACTTTGAAAAACACCCGGTATCTAATAAATGTACCGTATGATCGAAAAAAAAATGTTGTATCCAGTTGGTTTTGAAATTTCATTTAAAATGACTTAGAGTTTTATCAGAGTAAGTAGATCGCCGAGTAGCGACAGAAACCTCTTTTGATGTGGTGGGACCAAATTTTCTTTCTCTCTTTTGACGTGTTTGACAGATAGACTACGTATTTAACTGCTCAACTTATGAAGTGGTCCTATAAACATTGTATACACTGCTCATAATTTGAAGTGGAATTAATTATAAAGCTTTATACATATTTTTTATGTTTTGTTTTATCCTTATTTTTAAATTTGAATGTATGAAATATCTTACAGCTAATAAATAATTAAAAAAACGATTCGTTGCCTGAGGTATACTTGAAATAAAGTCACTTCGCTTCTTCATATGACAGATTACCTACTTATTTCGCGCAGCCGCAAAGAAAATTGAAAACGGAACTGTCGCTACTCGTCGGTTTACTTGCTCTGGTTTTATGTCCAAACCAACTGTGCCACCGTTTTTTCAAAAAAATTATACGTGCAGAAAGGGCGCTAGAAAATACACTGTAAATTTCAAGTAATCACTACATTTTGATAAACCCAGTAATTTACCTGTCTATTAGTGTATTTCAACATCTGAATTATTTCTTTATTGTCTTAACCTAAATATAGAATACCAAGAAAATTTTTGGGATAGGCCTTATCTTGAAGATCGTTCTGCTTGTTTATAATATACATTGTCTCAGTAAATAACGACCAATAATAAAAATAATTGACTAATTGTCCCGATATCAATAGGGATATAGGATATATATTGTGTGGCTTTACTAGACTAGTGCTAATAAATACAGGATGCTTATTTTTTTTGTATAAAGCATTGCAATTTTGCACATTTATTTTAGGGTTTTATATTAAATGTTATGTGTTTTAATTTTTATTTATATATTTCTGCATTTGTAATTGTTATGACTAACATGGAAGATACTACTGTATGATCGAAAGAAAAAATGGCGTCATAGACGGCTTAGGAAAGACAATTGATGATAATTTTGGCCAGGTCAATCTCTTAGACGTCATTTACAATACATTGACATAAAAATTGTCCAAAATGAACAGTAATTATTATAGAAAGATTAAAAAATGATAGAGCGTTTCCAGGCACACCTCTATTTCTAAAAAAAATGTTCTTGTATATAAAACTATACCATTTAAAAATCATTTTTACTCAATGTAAAAATAAATTACAACCGCGCCATTAAAAAATAAAGAGTACGGGTCAACCAAATGACGTCTAGGGTTTGACCTCGCGAAAATTATCGATTGTCATTCCCCGGCCATCTTTGACGCCGTTTTTTTCATCGGTATTACTAACGGCAAAACTATGTTTTATGTAGTTTAATATTCTACAGACAGAGGTTAAAATTTTTCAGATGAAAAGTGACGAGAAAATGCTATAACTAACAAAACCTTTATACAGGGTGTGATGTGTATACCACTATACAGGGTAGTCCGAACTGTATTCCGGAAACTTCGGCAGCACGTTTTGCAGATAAAAATTAATAAAAAAAATTCGTATAAATGTATGTCTTAAAATGCTTACTTTCAGAGATACAGGGTGCAGAAGTTTTATTTTTATGTCAATTTTTTCTAAATAATTTCTAAAGTAACGTCAATATTTGGATGAAAATTGGTGTCTGGGAGTTTTTTGACATGAGAAATTTGATTTTGGTGTCAATATGACTCCTACTAGTAGAGAGCACCACCTACATGTGTTTTAACTGTATAAACCTGTATAAAACTACCGAGCGAAAAAATATACATCTCTGTGACTTCTTACGTAAAAAATATCTCTTTCTAAAAATCGCTACGGGCAACCGTTCTTAAGATATTTAGAATGGAAATAGACAATACTTGTCATTATTGACGAAAAATAAACACGTTGACCAGATTTCACTGAAATAAATAAATTTAGGATTTTTTTATTTTTTTAAATTAATCATAAATTTTTCTGCAAAAAATGATGATAAAACAGTTTCTGTTGAACTTTTGGCACAAAAACATTTCAAATTTATGATTTCAGTCTAATAACTATTTAGTCAATATAATATGTTAATTTATGTCAATAATGACCGGCATTGAAAATTTCGATTCCAAATATCTCGAAAACCATTACTCGTAGCGATTTTTACCAAGATTTTTTCACGTAAAAAACGACGTAAATGTATATTTTTTACTCAGTAGTTTTATACTGGTACGGACGAAAAATTATTACTCTTCAAACCAGTTAAAAAATACGTAAGTGGCGCCCACTACCGGTAGGTGTCATATTAACATCAAAATCAAATTTCTCATGTCAAAAAGCTCCCAGATACCAATTTTCATCCAAATATTGACGTTACAGTCAGAAATCATTGGGAAAAAATCGAAATAAAAATGAAACTTCTACACCCTGTACCTCCGAAACTAAGCATTTTAGGACATACATTTATACGAACTTTTTTAATTATTTTTATCTGCAGAATATGCTGCCGAAGTTTCCGGAATACATTTCGGACCACCCTGTATATTATTAAATTTGTTGATTCCTCAGAAAATTCAATAGATGTGTTCTATACTTACTGTTTCGGAAAACTGTTTACCTTAGGCATCAGAAAAGACATTGTAGGATCGAAAAAAATCGGCTTCAAGTGGTATGGTGAACGTCATCGGTTGATGTCTAACCTAACTTGACGTCGTTTTTTTTCATATTATTATGGTCTCTGTTCAGTGTAATGAGAAACACTCAATTTCTAGCCATCGTTTTTTTTTTTCTTGCACCAATATTAACGCTTTTACAATGCTTGATATGCTTGTGAATAACGCTAAACAACATCATAAGATCGATATAACAATATCGCTTCTATTACAGAATTGCGAAGTAGAATCTCTTGTTGACGAGTTGTGCGAGAAATTGAAAAAAGTCGACTCCGAAACAGAGATCACTTCAGCGAAGCCCGCCGAGCCCGAGAAGCCCCAAAAGTCCCAGAAAGCCTCCACCAAGGAACTCGCCGAAAAGTAAGGAAATTTGAATGGTTTTTTCGTGTGTGTACGTAAGGTTTTAATCCGATTTATTTAATTTTCCTGTAGATATTACGCGGCGTTTCCTCCGCTCAACCAGAAGGAAGGCGATTCTTACATTACTTCCAATATTCATTTGGTCGTGGGGAAGTGGCCCAGTCCGGAAAAAAGCGCCGACAAAATCGATTTGATTGCTGGCAAGTGGACGTCAGGTAACATATTTATTTACAGACATGTATGGGCTTGGTGCATTTCAGTTGATTTCAACAAATTCCGACCGCAGCGCTTCAACGGCAAAAATCTGAAATTATCAGTACCTATTTCACGCCGCGGTCATGTTGATCGCATTAAAATAATATTGAAATCGTGGTTATGTCCATAATATTTAAGTATTTTAGTTTTTTGCTAGTTCAGTTATTGAGACAATAATAAAACACTCAGGTACGAGGTTTGTGTGATGTACTGTTTCGAGTAATAAAAAAATAAGTGAAAAAGAATTCGAATTAGGCGTCGTGATGTGTTGTGACAATTTCAAATGTGAATAAAATTGCCAAAAAAATGTTGACGTGTAAAGGAGAGCGTAATTAGGGCGTTGTTCGGTGCAATAACATTCAATAACCCAACTGTCCCAGATATTCAATTCTCCCGAAACAACATTTTATAGCTTCATAGTTTCTCACACCGATTTGATCAAACGAGTGTATAAACAAGTGTATAAACAAATTGCTCGTTACATAATCAAAAAATTAAATACATAAAAGAATATACTATGAGAATGAATAAAAATAAAATGAATGAATAAATCCGGTGATTCAAAAAAAAAACAAATATTTAATACTTTACTATCAGAATATAAACGAAAATAAAATAAAAAAGTCTTTGTCCTGACCCGGATTCGAACTCTGAATCATCGGTTCGTGGTCGGAAACTCTACACACTGCGCTATGGAGACATGTTCGATTTATATTCATTACTAGAATTTAAAGGACTAATAAAAATATAGGATCTTCTTTCAATGCGCAGTAGGGAACGCAACGTTTACCGGCAGCCAGACGGGCCGCATGCTGTTCTAGCGCCGGCTTTGCACACGTTCCGACAGTTGTATTTAATTCTGTTGTATTTGCCGGTCCACGACTATTTTGCCGGTGTTTGTGAAAGGGCTCTTAGTATCGATTAGACTTGCTAAATTTCTAAAATTGTCATGGTAACGAAATTTTTAAAATGAGAATATAATAGATTTTTTTTTAAAATTTAGTAGTTATTTGTTTATTTGCGGTTTTATCTCGCCTCTTTAATTTTATTCAGGTACTTTTATTTTGTGTCATTATAAATATCTTTAAAACGGGTCATCTCTGTCAATAATTTCTATAGAAGGGGCATTCCATGAACTGTAAAGCAATTTAACAGCCCTATACTGATCACCTGATACCTTTACAACTCTATGGATGAGGTTCAATTGCATTGTGGTCTAGGATTAAGTTTTATTATACCATACAATTGGCAGCATCTTCTCGTTTTGTCCTGGTTCCGAACTATCAATAAAAACAGTGGCGTGCATACCGGGTGCGTCTCAAAAGTGGCTCACCCCTATAACTTTTTTATTTCTTGAGATAAAAAAACGAGATTTGGTATTTTAGTATATGACATAAATTAGTATTGGTTGACGTATTCAATTGTTTTTGGTCACTTCCTGTTTCACCGGAAATTACTACAACTTTTGATTTTTAAATGGCACTCTCGGTATTTTCTTACTTTATTCGATAGAAAATGACATTCTGAATGGAATGACATATCATATGTCAACTTTTGACATGCTCGCTTAATAAAAAATCATATTTTAAAATTCAAAATAGAGTGCAAAGGCTATGTTAAAACACTAATTTTTAATCAAGGAGCCTTGGAAAAATAAATTTTATCGTCTAATGTTTTTAGTGTCTTGTTCTGACCAGTTAGAAAATGCTGAAATTGTATTTTTAATCATATCTGATTTTTTTCAAAGGGAACGAGCGTGGCTCATTAGCATATTTGGAAAAAGCATTTTTTTACGAATAATTTGATACCACACACTGGATATTTCGAGTCAAATTTTCGTTACGAACTGCAAGTTATAATTTCAAATCAATCATATGCGAAAATGTGCCATTTAAAAATCAAAAGTTGTAGTCATTTCCGGTGAAACAGGAAGTGTCCGAAAACAATTGAATACGTCAATCAATCCTAATTTATGTCATATACTAACATACCAAATCTCGATTTTTTATCTGAAAAAATAAAAAAGTTAAATGCTTTTTTTAACCCTTTACTCCGTGCACAAAAATTTAAAAATATGTCATTGTGACATTTTAGACTAGTGTAGGAGCATAAATATAACATAAATAACCTAACCGAACATAAATATTTTGTACCGTATGATCGAAAAAAAACGGCGTCCAGTTGGCTAGGAAATGACGATCGATGACATTTCCTTTATAATTTTACATATAAAATGACAGCGATCTTCATTTCAGAGCCATCGTTGACGCCGTTTTTATTCGACCATACGGTACTTTTGTTCGTTTAATTTGTTGTTACCATTTATGTCACAATAAATATAGTACCTAAATAAAAAATGAACTATAAAAAAAATTTAACTTACCTTACAAACTATCTCACCTCCATCTTTAACAGGCAAAAATTAGGAAGCACAAACATGTGGTCACTTTCCCGAATTTTTAACGGTTTTAGGGTGACAATTTAGGCAAAGAAAATGTTACAGAACAAAGCGGAAGAATTGGCAGAATTGGGTTTTTAATTATTTGAAGGCAATACTAAGCCATATTTTTAACTTATTTCCCAATAAATACGTTTGATAAATATGTTCGACTACTGGCCTATTCACCCTAGTTCTGTGTCCACCGAATATTGGCACACCCTGTATATTAAGTATGTACTATTAAGTAAATTCAAACTTTCTAAGTTACAATTATTGATGAGGAGTTTCTCATTCTTTATGTAGGTTCACCTAAAAAATCTACTAGGAGGCCAAAACGACAAACTAGCGACATAAACATGAAGCTGTCGAGGGGACAGAATAAGAACAAAATCGGCTACAAGAAAGCACACTGTGTTAGGGGACTGACCAAGGAAATGGAGGACAACATGGCGAATTGGGAATACGTCTACAATAACAATAATAATAATTACAATGTTAAAGGTAAAAATTCATTTTTTTGCAGTTTTAAACTGTCGTCGAGTCATAAATACAGGGTGTTTTTAAATTAACAATTATAGTCTATCCAACGACAAAATCCTTGACAGTGATAGATGTGTCTGTCATTTTATTTTCAAAGAGGTTTATTTTATTTTACAAAGAAATAAGTAGTGTGATATTTTTGGGTGAAAAGTGATTACTTCAAAATATTGTGAAAAAAAAACTATAAAATTGAAAAAATCTAATCGGGGTATTTTATTAAAAACAATAATTACAGTATGTGTTAATGCAAAACAAGCTAGGGTGTATTTAAAAAAAACCACATACCATAAAAAGATATTAAAAAGATTTCCTGTTTTCAAGCCGTGTTTCAAGCTCAAGCAACTTCCCGCATTTATTGTTACATTTGTCAATATAATTATTCAATATGATTATTATTTACCTATTGTGTGCTGCTATTTTATAGATACTACAGTTTTTGGTATCATATACAAGATAGTATACAAACTTTATTTGTGGCTAATACAATTCTCTGGCCATAATCTCTGGGCACCGAATATTAACTGTAAACTTTGAGTGATCTGGGTCAACACTTAATTTCCCCTTTGAGTTTTCCTCTACTTAATTTTAAAAAACACGAAACACATGTAATAACACAGTCCAAAATGTAAAATGCAAAATATTTATCATTTCTGTTTGACATAATTTGACACAAAATTATAACCTATAACCTATAACCAAATGGCAAGAGTTTGACAGGTCTTAAAAATTTTACGTTGAATTCATACGCATCGGCGTCCGTTTGTCGTTCATCGTTCCGTCAAATCAATAAAATTGAAATATGATCTGTCATTGTAGAAATAAACCAATAAAACTGGTTAAAAACAACAATAGATGACGCATCCATAGTTAACTTAAAAAATATTAGAAACTTTTCCCAAGTAGCATAGGAAGGAGAAAAAACCATCAAACAACCAACAAACCAAAAACCAACCACGGAAAATTAACCACTATTTGGTTGAATTTTACTTATATTTAACTTAATAAATTTTTTGTAGGGAATAAAGTGCGAGAAATCTAAAAATGATAAACTAGTTAATAATAACCTAAAATTATGCCTTTGAAAAGTAGCAACGTTGGAGTTAACTGGCATTGTTAAAAGCTAGTTACTGATAACCTATTGAGGGAATTAAGACTACAAGGACTTAAAGTAGGTCAAATGTTACTTTATTATAACCTCAAATTTGTGTCGGGGGTCGAAGGCATTGTTTTGTTTTCAAGTTAGGTTAAAATTTAGTTATTAATAACTTTAAATGGGACCTTATTTGGAGGAGTTCAAATTAGGTTGAAAATTTAAAGGTAAAAGTAACTTAGTTTTTTGACTTGGAAGAAAGTCAGACATGCGGCAGGTTAAAAATTACCTTTTTTAATTTCCTCGGGGTGATTTTCGTTTAAAATAGTTTTCGAGGGATTATTATGTCCTAGCACATTACCTTGTTCCCACTGGCGGAGAACGAAAGAATATTCAATGCGTTTCTTTTTTATTACCGACACAATAAAAACAAAAAGTCCTTTATAATAACACTCACAATCCCAAAACAGAAAACTTTTACAAATAATAAGCAAAGAAAACTAATCTGGTTTTCTAGTTAGTTAGTGTTCTAGTTTAGGCCAGTTCGGTAATTGCATCGGCTAGCAAAAGGATAAAAATTTGACATGTCACGTGACTCTCAATAAATATTCTCATTTTAGGACACATGATTACTGTGAAAAGTTAATCGGATTGCTGGAAGATGTAATTACCGAACTTAGTATAAAATATCATTGTCAACTGTCACTCAAAGAAAATAAAAGTTTTCTGTTTTACCGGCGATACTCCAAAAGTCAGGCCTTATAAATTAGGACAATTTTTAGTAAAATTTACCTCTATTTTACCATGTTATGACCTCAGGTCGGTTATTTTTGACTTCATAGCCCATATTTCATACAAGACATTATAACCTGCTAACCTGTTTTTAACTTTAAATTACTTTAGTTTTATTTCCCACTTTGGGAATTTTAACGTCAATTCTTGGAAATTTCGACCAATTTCCAGTTGGTCAATAATAGTCCAGGTGGTTAATTTAACGTAATTTTAACTTCAAATGTTTGTTGGGTTTTTAGTTAAATAAATGGATTGGTATGGATGTCATCTAATTTTTTTCAGTCGTCGTCTGTCGAAATCTTACCTGAGAAAAAAACAGAGTATACTGCCTGATGACAGTTACCTAATGAGCTTAAAACATTTTTTATTCACTAGGATTTATGTCCGGTAGTATTGTAAAACCAGGATTTTTCAAAAAATTAACTCCCTACAACAGTGTAGACATTATGTAAAAATAGTTTTGTTTGCGCTTACTTGTTTTTCAAAAGATGACTCACAAACGAAGCTAAATAACATTATTGTCATTAACTGAAAATGACAATACGGTATTTTATCAGATCTTAAAGTGTTTTTGAAATGTTTTTAGTTTTAGGACGGCCAATTTTCAAAGTTCCTTTTATAATCATTAATGAAATTTAGAGTTACGTAAATAAAGTTATTTAATCGTTTTTTTTAAATAAATATACAGAGTGTCAAAAAATATAAGTATCTAACTTCGCGACTCCCTGCAAATAAAGGGCTATTTCAAAAAAGAGCAGATTTGGGAAAGCTGATTTTTTAGGGTTCCGTACCCAAAGGGTAAAAACGAGAACCCTATTACTAAGACTTCGCTGTCCGCCCGTCCGTCCGTCTGTCACAAAGGTCTATCTTATGAACCGTTATAGCTAGACAGTTGAAATTTTTACAGATAATGTAAATATGTTGCTGCTATAAGAACAAATACTAAAAACAGAATTAAATAAATGTTTATCAATAAAAAAGTACTTTCACAAAACATTATCGTTTAAGTAAGAATTCTACATAGAATATCTCAAGTCCTCAAGTGGCCGCGTGGTTAAAGGCGTTGAGCCGTAGTGAAGCAGGTTCGAATCGTAGTCAAGGCGACTTTTTTTTAATCGTATCCAGGTCTTCTAGCCTGCTTAAGAGTCCCCATTGTATCCCTAGTGGTTCTTTAAATGCTCTATTTAGTGCTACATCCAGAACGATGTTAAAGAGTAGCGGCGAAAGTATACAGCCCTGTTTTACACCTACTGCAATAGAAATTTATTATATGTTTTCGCCGTTATAGTTGATCGGAAAAAATTATAACATTTAAAATTAGGTCCACAGATTTTATAAGAACGACATTGAGATGAACATACGAAAAAATATTTGTAATTTCGATTTTTGCCAAGTAAAACATTGTATTTTGCCGTGTTCTGACCGATTCACCTTAGCAAGGATGAGAGATAGGCTTCTGGCTATTACTCTTCTGTAGTTTATGCATAATACTATACAGGGTGGCGCACCTCATTCGCCTCGGTCGATTATACGAAAACGGAAAGATGTAGAAACAAAATATTTTATGGGTATATGTGGGGAGGCAATGTGCACAATTTAAAATTATTTTGAAATATACAGGGTGTTTCAGAACTAAGATCCATACCAAAGTTATATTTTTTCTTACGGAACACCCGGTATTTTATTTCATTTTTGGATTCTTGGGCCCCAAAAAAGCTATTTATTATAAGGGTTAAATATGTTTAAAATCTTTGGTTTTTGAGATATTTAAAGATATTTAAATTTGCATGCGACAATAGAATAGATTATTAACACCCTGTACATTACTTTTCAGAGTTAATTCTTGTGCTGAGTTTAAAGGTAGAGAAATAAACTTTACAGAAAAATGTTATTGCTTCCTTAAATGTATACAGGGGTATCAAAAATTGCTGGTCTATTTTAAATATTTATTTTACATAAAAACTTCGTTATTGCAAATGCAACACTATGTATTTTTGTAAATAAGAAGAAGCAGATTTAAATGCTCTTTCAAACTATATTAGGGTTTCCTATACCTATCTGGCTCAGATTTTGAATAAAAAGCGATTTTTCAATAAAATTATAATCAAGATGGCTAGTATCGCCATGGCAAGTTTCTAGTGACAGTAGCTATTTTCAAAATCGAAATTAGTTTATGGACTTATTTAAATTTATACCAGTTTACTTTTATTTAAATTACCTACAATAGTTTAATAAATAACATTTATTAAATATGTGTTTATTATTCTATCAAGAAAAACGAAGAAGTAGCTCTTTGAATTATTTTACGATAAATTGAAGGTATATGGTTTTTTTATAAAAGAGCCAATTCCTGCAAATTCATTTTATTCACTTCCAACGACAGGTCTAACAGGTTTTTTATTACCCACACTACCAGCTCTGCGAAATAGGACAAGTAGATTTTCAATGAAACGATTATCAGGAAGATTCCTATTTGGATATCTTTGAGCATAAGCCTTTGAGGCCAAGAAGCAATTTTCCTCACAAAATAATATCACTAGTAACATATCTATTCGTTCCTCCAGCAGATACTGCTTTATTTTTCTTGATAAAATGATGAATACTTACTTATTAAACTATTGTAGGTAAATTTAAGTAAACTGTTATAAATTAGAAATAATAATGTCCATAAACTAATGTCGACTTTGAAACTAGTTACTGTCACTAGAAAATTGCCATGGCGACACCAGCCGTCTTGATTGCAATTTTATTTAAAAATCGCTTTTTATTCAAAATCTGAGCTAGATAGGTATAGGAAACCCTAATATAGTTTGAAAGAGCATTTGAATCTGCTTCGATTTATTTAAAAAAATACAGGGTGTTGCATTTGAAATAACGAAGTTTTTATATAAAATATATCCTTAAAATAAATCAGCAACTTTTGATAGCCCTGTATAAATTTAAGGAACCAATACCATTTTTCAATAAAGTTTATTTCTCTACCTTTAAACTCAGCATAAGAATTAATTCTGAGAAAAGTAATGTACAAGGTGTTAATAGTCTATTCTATTGTAGCATGCAAATTTAAATATCTTTAAATATCTCAAAAACTAAACATTTTAAACATATTTAACCTTTATAATGAATGCCTTTTTTTGGGCCCAAGAATCCAAAAATAAAATAAAATACCGGGTGTTCCATAAGAAAAAATATAACTTTGGTATGGATCTTAGTTCTGAAACACCCTGTATATTTCAAAATAATTTTAAATTGTGCACATTGTCTCCCCACATATATCCATAAAATATTTTATTTCTACATCGTTTTCGTATAATCGACCGAGACGAATGAGGTGCACCTGTATAGGTATCATATACTTTTCATCCAACAAAATTAACAAAAGTATGAATTGCTGTTGTATTTCTTTATTGGGGGGAAATTTATACAATTCTATGTTAAATTTTATTAATAATAATAATTTTGACAACCAGAAGCGACAATAAATATCTGTTAGGAGTCCGTCTGCAGAGGCGGCTCAGTGTCAATTCAGAAAAGTAGGACCAGTAAAGAACCAAAGAAAAAACCATAATATTTTATGAAAATATGTATTAAAAAAAATATATCAATGACGTATTGATATAATAAATGTAACTTTCAAATGATCCGCCAAACCTTAACAGTTACTAAATTTAATTAAAATTATCGATTTTTATTCACTTGATCATCTTGAATAATAAGCCTAAAGGTGTTTTTTATTTACCTTCCAAAGCATAGAAAATATAACATTATATCATTATATCTCATATACGAACAAGATGGCATGTACCTCTTTTTGACCAAGTCTTTTAGGAAATAACAAAACAGTATGTTAGTTATTAAATTATTTTTTTTTTAATTTAAATTAATCGTTAAGAAAAATAATGAATACCAAAGAAATTGGTTTACTAGCCTATTCGGAAATGGCGCCAATTGATTACGTGTTCGTTGGTTGCCTGCCAGCTGCATATTGCGCGGTTGTCAAATCACATAATTTTTTATAAGATACAAATATTTTTTTTAGAAAAAACTAAGCTGCCACTGTCCATCTGTATTGATTACCTGTAATAACAGTAATGGCTTTTTTGGTTAAATGAATCCGCCACATCGATAATTGATATAGGCAATTTTTCATTACCTGTAATAAACCATTCATTCCATTGACATCTTTATATTACCTGAATGCAATAAATTTGTTTACGGTTGCGACCAATATAACCTGATATTGACTTCTTACAAATATATCTTTAAATTTTATAGCGCCTGTTGCAATTAGAAACCCCTACAAAAATGGGTGGTTTGGTTTGGTTGGAGCCAACAATAGCGGTGTAACTCATCTCGGATACGCACAGATAATCAAGCGATCGTATAATCGAGAGTTTGCTGTAGTAAGGAAGTTAGTTTAAAATGGGCATATTTGTAGATGTAGAATGGTTGGGGGGGGGGGTTAACATCTCTCACGACGCCTTTTAAATTTTTAGTTTATTGTCTAAATAAAATAACAGACCGTTGTAAACTCTTAATATTCACAATAAACCTTGCCCCAAAGACGATTCGTTTTCTATTTAAATTACATGGGAATTTGCCACTTTTTGCAAATATTTTTTTTTCTCTCGCTCTTGTTCTCTCGTAATCATGACAATCACATATGTACAGAATTGAACGCTCTACAAAAAAGGTATCTTACAATTTTTCGATAAACCTACTCATTCAAAAGTTATTCACGGTTAAAGTTTAACCGCTCGGTAAATTCCTAAATTCTGCAACTTTTTTGACAAAATTATGATTATTTTTGAAAAATTGAATCTATTACATCCTGATTAAAAATGAAGCGTTTAGAAATATCGAACTCTTCGTCATTATTCACTTTTAAAGATTCAACCATTTTCTGCCTGATAATATAATAAGTATTAGAATTAACTACCTGTTATGCATTCAATTGTTTTCCATGATTCAAAATTGTTTATCATGATATCATGAAATTTTTTTTTTTCAAATAATAGATTAAATTTTTCAAAATAATCATAATTTTGACAAAAAAGTTGAAAAATTTAGGAATTTACTGACTGGTTAACTTTAATCGTGAATAACTTTTGAAGGAGTATGTTTACCGAAAAATTGTAAGAGACCTTATTTGTAGAGCGTTCAATTCTGTATGAGAATATGTGATTGTACAGGATATGTGATTATCAAGATCGAGAGAAAAAAATGATATGCAAAAAGTGGCAAATTCCTATGTAATTTAAATGGGAAATCAATCGTCTTTGGGGCAAGGTTTATTGTGAATATTAAGAGCTTACAATGGTCTGTTATTTTTTTAGAAAAAAAAACTAAAAATTTAGGGGGCGTTAGAGAAATGATCAACTTTGTAAATAACGGACACCCTATTACTAATAAAAATTTCAGGCGTGTTAACACGTGTTACCAAATGTGTACACCCATTCGCACGTCGCAACACGTGGGATAGCGTGGCATCACGTCGGGTGTTGGCTAATGGGGTCCCGGCTTAAAGCTCTTACAAAACATAGGCACCCCAATTCTCATTGTCATAAAAAAAATTGACATATGATATGTCATTCTATTCAGAGCGTCATTTTCTATCGAATAAAGTAAAAAAATACCGAGGGTGCCATTTAAAAATCAAAAGTTGTAGTCATTTCCGGCGAAACCGGAAGTGGCCAAAAACAATTGAATACGTCAATCAATCCTAATTTATGTCATATACTAACATACCAAATCTCGTTTTTGTATCTGAAAAAATAAAAAAGTTATAGGGGGTGAGCCACTTTTGAGACGCACCCAGTAATGGTAAATTGGGTACTATGAACTTATTTTAATTACAAAAATAGGTAGTAGTTCTATGTCCACGGAATATCGAGACACCCTGTACGTAGCTGCATTTTTATTAAATATTTTTTTAAATTAAATGTTTCATTCTGATAGTCAATCCCAAAAATTGAAACCCCTTCTGACTAAGGAACCGCCACTGGCTACAGCTATACAAACACCCTGTATACGACATCCCTAGCCACTAGCATAATTTTTACCCCCACTCCGACCTTATAAATTCTCGAACCCTTCAATCTGCATATCAGTTCGGGTCTAGGTGAGGTAGTAGATACTATCATCACCTCCTTATTGCTCGAGTTGCTCCGTATTAAATAGCCGCACTTTTCGATTAGATCGTTATTCGACAGTTGTCAGAGAAGAGCCTATCCGCTTCGGTGAGGACTCCCACCCGACGCGGAAGAGCGTTCCCGACTTCGAGTGCTTTTTTGGGGACGACGTGGAAAATATCTACAATCAGTTGATTTCTGAGGTAAATATACTATATGGTGTTGGCACAGAATATCCAGTACCTGCCGGTCGATTTAATAAATCGGCTCAGAATCCGATTTGTTACAAAAAAAAATTGAATTTCAAGTTTCAATATAAATTGGCCGGGTGGTATTGAATAGGTTGTGGTATTTGTCTGTTTTAGATTTTTTTCTATTTTTGTTCTTTTATAACAAGTTGGTATTTTTAACACTCTTGTCTTTTTGTACTTTTGTTGCGCTTAATGGAGAGGTATGGCAACGGATAAGAAATATGCGGTATTAACGGACGCGTTATTTTGACAACTATGACAGTTAAACTGTCATAATAAGCGTTGGACGTATTTAGGTGGAGAAGACGCCGTGCGGTAAATTGACAGTTTCGGAACGTTATTTTATCAGTTTAGATGCTGTATTTTTTATAAAAGTTGTGATAACTCTTTTTTGGGCTAAATTGTACTCTTTTTTAGACACTAATTAAAACTCCTGATATATTTAATAGCTATTTTCTTTAGAAACCTAGGTTAAAACTAATTTTTTTTAGAAATGTTGGCATAATCGTCAAAATCAATCAACGCTATTTTGTGTTGCCATAACTCGAAGTTCGACAAACGTAAATGTCAAAATAACGTCAGCGCTATTAGCGGAATTGCGGCAGCATTGGAAAAGACGCCGTGCGGTAAATTGACAGTTTCGGAACGTTATTTTATCAGTTGAAATGCTGTATTTTTTTTATAAAAATGGAGATAACTCTTTATTGGGTTAAATTGTACTCTTTTTTAGACACTAATTAAAACTTCTTATATATTTAATAGCTATTTTTTTTATAAAAATAAAGAAAAATTATAAATATAGATGCTCTTTTGATTGACAAAATCAGAAAACTAGGTTGACTAATTTTTTAAAAATGTTGGCTTAATCATCAAAATCAATCAACGCTATTTTGTGTTGCCATATCTCTCTCAGCTGTATTGCGCGATAATCAAGAGGCTTCGAAAATTGTTATTTGATCAGTTTGCGATCTTTACCAGGCTAGAGAATGAAAAATTATGGAACAATTTTTCACTAAACCTAACACACTAAACTAGGAAATTATTAGGAGTGTCTTAGTTTATGATTTAACAAAAAAAATTCTTTGGTAAAGCGGAAGTCGGTCAGCCATATTGAAGCGTTGTTGCAGTCTAGCCAATTTTGTTGATACACTTTTTTCCTCTTTATATCCAGTCTTTTGCTTCAGTTTGATTGTTACTATGTAAGGGGTTATTTGTAGTATTGTTTTTTTTTTTGAAAAAAAAACATTAGGTTTGTTCCAAGCCCGCTGAGGAACGGTTCCGTTCATGCGCATAGGGCTAAAAGCGTTCCAACCTTGATGGGGATCGTTCTCGAACGATTCTCTTTGCGTTCCAACCAATTTTCTGATCGTTATTAAAACGGTTTCGGAACCGTAATTTCGATACTTGCCAGTAAGTAGGAACTGTTTGTACTGACATGCGCAGTTAGTAAATTTTATCAGCTGATTGACATTTGGGCCGGGGCGTTTGCTTGTTTTGTTTTGTGGATTTGTTTGGAGTTTAATGGGTTTTAGGGTTAACATTTTACAGTTCACACTTTTCAACAAATAAAAACGAATAGTAAACCAAGTGAAACTTACCAAAATTGTGGTTTGTGTCCATTATTTATTAATGTAGGTAGTAATTTACCACTTTTTACAGTTTCCACTGTGCTATACAATTAATAAGAATATCTGTGAAGAATATTATTAAGGTTTGTTTTGTTTACATCTTACATCAAACAAAAGTGAGGTTATTTTAACCGGTGTTTTGACAAGACAGATTAAAAACGGTTCCGAAACTGTTCCAACCAATTATCAATCTAGAATCGTTCAAAAACAGTGCCGAGTTAACACATGCGGATAAGACTAGTTTCAATGATTTCAGAACGGTTCCAGAACCGTTCTAAAACTTGGGGTTGGAACAAACCTATTAAAAATTACAATTTTTAGAAATATTTTTTTTCTGTTTTTCCCATTTTCCGATAAATAAGTGGTTGCTGGTTTTAAAGTTTTTTATTTTTATCATCTTGGAATTGGTCATAACGAATGAATGTCATTGAATTAAAAGGCTAGATAAAAAGTATATCAGTATACGAATATATTGTTAGTACCGCATTTACACAATGAGTGGAAAGTGAAGCCAAAGAAAAGAAATAGGAATACCAGTCTTGCATAAGTCTATCCTTTTCGTTCAACAGGATTTTCGTGCGCACGCACCAAATAAAACGATCTGATTCGTCTACTTCATCGCTGAACGCTGTCACCTGCTCGCGCACTATTTTAAACTCTAAATATTAATAACGTATAATATATTATTTTTTTAATAGTAATGGCATTATTTCATCCTGTTATTTTAGATATTCATCATATCTATCCGTTTCTTGTTTTTGTTTAAATATGTCAGAGATTAAATTTATAAGTAAAGGCGCGAATAGTCGGACGCTAAATTGATTTACGTGGTAGATAGAAACTACTTCTATTGGTTAGTATGAAATAAATCAACTAATCGAGAAGCACTTCTCACGCTTGCGTAGTTCAAAGCTGTTGAACGAAAAGGACCGACTTAATGTGGATTTTCTTTAGCTCCATCTCAAAAATTTGGCTTCAATTTCTTTCTTTCAGTTCAGAAAACAATATTGTCTAGAAAATATGGCAACATAGGCAGTATATTAAAAAGTATTATTAAATTAAATACAGAAAAATTTCATTGGTTCTCGAAATTTAAGGATTTTTTTTAATTTTCGAAGTAAAATAACTCAAATATTTTGGACAACTGTTTGAAAAATGGTAGACAGAAAATACAGGGTGAGATTGAAATGGTGTAAAAAAAATCGGGGGGTGATAGTACTTCTAAAAATTGTAAAAAAAGTTCCTATAAGTATAGGGCGGAAATGCAAATTAAGGGAGTTAGGGGCACTGAAAGGGTGAATTTAAAAAACGGTTGTTTTGAAATTGTAGACTTAAAAAACGAGATAAAATTTCGAAAAAAAATGCTTTGCCATAAATTTTGACCCTAAATCAAATGGTGATACTGAAAAATTATTTGGAAAAGCGGAAAGGGTAGTTTTTGCAAGGGTAGGGGGATGTTTCGTGAATAACTTCTTAGAGGTTATTTTTTTTGCAACGTGGGTTCATTTTTTGAAAACTACATACTTTTTTCTACACAAAAGGTACTCTTGTTGCACATCGCCCAGAGTGATGGTTTTCAAGAAAATTGAAGGCAAAGAGTTTGCTCTGATGGGTTAAAAAACTATAAAAAAAAAAAAATAAACTAATAATTTTGTTTATAAACTTATGAAAGTTATGGCGGTTCAAAAGTAACCAAGTAGTTATTAAATAATTAATTGGAAAATCAAAATTTCATGATTTCTAAAACATCTTATTGCTTTAAAAACGAAATAAACCAATTACCAAAATTCCTTATTAAAATAATGCATTCCTTAATTCATTCATAGTAAATGTTTAAAGTGACCACCATTCATTTCAATGCAGACATCTGCTCTTCTTCTCCAAGATCTGCGTACCCTGTGGGATATTCTTGGTGTTTATCCGAATTTGATTGGAACAGTCAATAATGCGTTGCCGTAGTTGCTCTTCAGTATTAATCCGCACTGAGTAAACCAAAGCTTTCAAAGTGGCCCCAGAAGTAGAAATCTAGTGGATTATTTCGTTTTTTAAAGCAATAAGATATTTTAAAAATCATAAAATTTTGATTGTTCAATTAATTATTTGATAACAACTTGGTTACTTTTGAACCACCATAACTTTCATAAGTTTATGTTGATACCAACCCATCAGAGCTAACTCTTTGCCTTCAGTTTTCTCGAAAACCATCGCTCTGGGCGATGTGCAACAAGAGTACCTTTTTTGTAGGAAAAAGTATGTAGTTTTCAAAAAATGAACCCACGTTGCAAAAATAATAACCTCTAAGAAGTTATTCACGAAACAACCCCCTACCATTGCAAAAACTACCCTTTCCGCTTTTCCAAATAATTTTTCAGTATCACCATTTGATTTAGGGTCAAAATTTATGACAAAGCATTTTTTTTCGAAATTTTATCTCGTTTTTTAAGCCTACAATTTCAAAACAACCGTTTTTTAAATTCACCCTTTCAGTGCCCCTAACTCCCCTAATATGCATTTTCCGCCCTATACCTGTAGGAACTTTTTTTACTATTTTTAGGAGTACTATCACACCCTGATTTTTTTACACCATTTCAGTGACACCCTGTATAGTTCTTTTATCGAGATCTACCCGCTCTGCAAATATTTGCATTTATTTAAGACCCATCCTGTATAATTATCTATCTACTAGTGAAATGTTGTTCTATTATTTTTCATGTTTTTTTTTATTATAAATTAACGCAGACAAGCAAAACTGTGCAATTTTTTGGTACATAATTTGGCGGGTTTATTTTACATTGTTGTTTTGTTTAGGAAAATCAATTTACTACTTCCCCCAAAGAAAATGGCAGCGTAAGAAATTTCCTAGAAATAGGATCGCCGGTTTCCAAAGTTTGGTCTCCTAGTCGGCATATGTGCACAAGTAAGTTTTTCTTTAATAATATAAATGTCACTGTGACTTAAACAGTGAATTTTCTATTTTATGGCAGTTTTAAGCTTGATTTTCATGCATTCGTTGTCCGACCCCATCCGTTGTTTAAAGACTTCGATTGGTTAGAAAATAACGCAGTTTTTAAATTATTGCATTTTCATGCCTCCGTTCATCGGATATACGATCATACGATTTGCTTGTGATTGGTGTCATTTTATATTTTCATTTCCATTACGATTTCACCGTTTTGCTTATAGTCTAAGAGCTAGCAACGGTTTCGAGAAAGAATTTTAAGAAAGCTGGATCTTTAAAATATCTTATATATCTTCTGCTTTGCTCTCCTGAACAGAGTGCGGGCCGTCTGGCTGCCGGTAGATGTTGCGTTCACTACTGCGCATCATATCTGTATTCAACATCTGTTCACTAATGCGCATCACAAATTTGCATTGTATTCAGGAATTAAGGAAGGAGGCTAGGACCAACCTATGTGTAGCAGATTTAGTTTCATAAAAAATTAGCTAAGTAAAGTGAAAATCGCATCATTGTATCTCTACTCATAAATGAAAAATCTCATAAAACACACGAAAATGGGATATCCTGTATAGATGTGATAGTGAACCGCAGTAGTCTACCGGCAGCCAGACGGCTCGCACTTTGGTCAGGAAAGCATAGCAAAGAACAAATTAAAGAACCAGTTTTCTTAAAATTCTCGTTTTCCCGATGGTGCTAGCTCTTGTACTATTATATTTTTATTAAGGTTAGATTAAATTTGTCAAAAAAGTGCCAAAACGTCCGTTATCGTACGATCTTTCTCCGTTGACGAGGTGGAGTAAAAAATTTAGGGATGAAAAGTGGCGCCAAACGCTATGACCAATCAGAGCGGAGACCATCGTATCAACGGATAACGGACTCATGAAAATCAAGTTACACCTGACTATGTATCAAATTAGTCTGAAAGATGACGATTGAATTAGAATATATTCACATGTCGAACCAATATTTCAATGTATTAGACTGAGATAACTTTCTAATTCATTGTCGCATGTCGTAGGACTGGGGATGGTTCTGTCACTGGATTAGACGAAGATAGACAATCTTTTTTGTGGGATTTTATTATCGGTGTTAACCAACTATGCAGGTATCTGTTTCATTCAGGCGGTAATTGTTGTAGTGCAAGACATAATACAAGATCTATTGTGTCCGACTTTCTTGAGTTATAACTCATCATACATGGGTATTTTCCCCATGTTTGTTTTAGGTGGGACAAGGTATTTCCCATCCTCCTCTGACAACAGCGGTCCATCCTCCGAGGAGTGGACATCTACGTAGGTATACAGGATACCTCCTACGTAGGTATACACTCTTCCGCAGTTGGCGTTTAGCCCTCCGTGTCTTTTACAGTCAAGGAGCTTATCTTCGGCTAAGGTACCCTTGAAGTTGAGGCTGGATGATCAGTCTCCATTTTCTCCACCTCTTTAGCTTGGTCTCTCCTTAGACCTGATACCGGTGTTGTAACGGATCTACAGGGTGGTCCGAACTATATTCTGGAAACTTTGGCAGTATATTCTGCAGATAAAAATAAGTAATAAAGTTCGTATAAATGTATGTCCTAAAATAATACTTAGTTTCGGAGATACAGGGTGTAGAAGTTTCATTTTTATTTCTATTTTTTCGAAATAATTTCTGAAGTAACGTCAATATTTGGATGAAAATTGGTGTGTGGGAGTTTTTTGACATGAGAAATTTGATTTTGATGTCAGTATGACTCCTATTTATAGGGGGCGCCACCTACATATCGACGGTTGAAAGAAGAAACTGCTAATACGCCACTTTCGTGACTTTATAAGACCTGTTTGTCTGTTTTATTTTGAAACTCTGTCGCTTAAGGCATTATGTTTCTCATAATTTATTCAAAATTTAAAATGTTTAATGCGCCAAACCATAGGATTATTAGGATGAAACCTAAGTAGATCGACGCAGAAAAATTCGCTGATTTCGATAACTCAATTTCCACAAAAGTGTCCGTATTAGCCATTTCTCCTTTCAACCGTCGATATGTTTTAACTGTTTAGAAGAGTAATAACTTTTTTTTAATTTTTTTTAATAACTTTTGTTTAATAATTGACAAAAAATAAACACACGTTGAGTAGATAGTTATTTGACTGAAATAATAAATTTGGGAAATTTTAATTTTTTTAAATTAATCATCCATTTTTCTACGAAAAAATAGTTTCACTTGAACTTTTGACACAAAAACATTTTAAATTTATAATTTTAGTCTATTAACTATTTAGTCAACATGTTTAATTTTTATGTTAATAATGACAGGTATTGATAACTTCGATTCCAAATATCTTGAGAACCATTATTCGTAGCGATTTTTACCAAGAGATCTATTTTTCGTAAAAAAAGTCGTAAATGTATATTCTTTTACTCAATAGTTTTATACAGGTACGGACGAAAAGTTATTACTCTTCTCTATTAATATGTCGGTGGCGCTCTCTGCAAGTAGGATCGATCTAAACTCGTTTTCTACAAGTAAGATCGATCCAAAAAATCGATTCTTTTGCAATCGTCATCTTTCGTGAATCGTACTTTCGCTATATTATTGTTACTAATTTTGTATTGTTTTTGAATCCGCAGTTTGTCAGAAGCCTAAAGACAAGCACGAACAAGATCTTCCAATGCCTAACTCATTTAATTTTATGAGAAAAGCTAATCTGCAGCTGACCGGGCTTGGATCAATCAGAGGCGACAGGCCGTTTGGACACATAATCGGCGGTATGGAGTACGACGCCGTTCGGGAATATCAGGGTTAGTATTACAACGTTTTTTTTTAGTCAATAAAGTTTTTTTAGTCTAAGTTAAACGATTTTTTTTGTTATGTTCCCATATTAACTTTCAATAAAAAGGTTAAGGAAGGAGTATAAAACTAACTATGGACCCAGGGTGGGAATCCTTGACAGTTCTGTTTGACGATTCATTTGACACATTTGAATTTGATTTGAAATTTTGTGGAATTGTCAGTTTTTACTGACCTTATTTTATGTTATTTATTATTTATTCTACTACTGATAGTTGTTTAAAGGTAGTCAATCTAGCAGTGACGCTATTGCGATTTATCGAAAAACACTGTAAAATAGTTGGTTGTGTAGCGTGCGGTAGATCTCGGTCAAAATCGAGTTAAATAATGGAATAAAAAGTTTCCGACCTCAACGTGAAGATGGCAGCACTCGTAGATAAAAGCTAGTGAATTTTCATTGTTCATATGTAGACAGTTATTCATCAAAGTTTCAACCATTTTGGATGCGCAGTTGTTATGTAACAGTCGTTTGAGTGAGTTGATGTCAGTATTTTTGTGAAAATGGACAAAATCGAGTATCGAGCTGTCATTAAATATCTGGGTTTGAAAGACAATACGCCTACAAATTAAACATGAGTTGGATTCTGTGTATGGGGACTCTGCACCATCATTTACCACAGTGAAATTTTGGGCGGCTGAATTTAAACGTGGCCGTAAGAGCTTGGGAGACGATGAACGTTCGGGACGTCCAAAATATATAAATGGTGCTAGACGTCCGCCCAATTAAAGTGAGAGAGATAGCAGAGGTTATGAACATATCAAAAGAACGTGTTTGTCACATATTAAATCAAGATTTAGGCATGAGAAAGCTGTTCGCGCGTTGGGTGCCGCGTTTGCTCACGTTAGGCGCAAAACATAGTGGTGCGACGAGGAGAGCAGCGAGCAAGCTGCACGACGTCGCGTCCAAAACAAACCTGTGAAGACAAGTACGCGTGAACATAGTAAAGCGATCTGCTCGCCGCTCTACTATGTATTAGCACCTCGAGGCTCGATATCGCGCTGCTTGCTCGCCGCTCTCCTCGTCGCGCCACTATGTTTTCAGCCTTAGACCAAAAACGTGTTCGTATGAACATTTCCAACACTATGTTGGCGCAGTTTAGGCGCAATAAATCCGAGGTTTGGCGTCGATTAATTACTGTAGATGAAACTTGGAAACAAAAAGACACCAGAAACAAAAATACAGTCCAAACAGTGGACGGCAAAGGGAGAACCGGCTCCAAAAAAAGCAAAAACTGTTATTTCGGCTGGGAAAGTGATGGCGACTGTTTTTTGGGATAGTCATTGAGTTATTTTAATTGATTATCTTCAAACAGGAAAAGCCATCACAGGAGCATACTATGCATCATTACTTGACAAGCTAAGAGCAGAACTTACGGAAAACGGCCACATTTACAGAAAAAGAAAATCCTGTTTCACCAAGATAACGCACCGTCTCACCTCAGCGGTTGCCATGGCGAAAATCCACGAATTACAGTTTGAACTGCTTGACCATCCGCCTTACTCACCAGATCTAGCCCCTAGCAACTTCTTTTTGTTTTCTCATTTAAAAATTGCGCTCGGAGGACAGAGATTTTCGTCAAATGAAGAGGCAATCACCTTCGTGAACCACTATTTTGCAGAGAAAAACGCCGAGTACTATTTAGACAGGTTACAGAGATGGGAACGTCGCTGGGAAAAGTGTGTAGAGTTACAAGGGGACTATATTGAAAAATAAAAAGAATATTCAGAAAAAATGTCTTGTATCTTTGTTAGGTCGGAAACTTTTCAGACCACCCTCGTAAGTGACTTATAATATATATGCGTGTAGTAAACCGATCATTTATGAAATTCACTTAAATTAACCCTTAAAATTATATATTTTTCTTGCATTTTTGCTTTTATTTACTACTTGTCAAAGATTAGATGTCAAAGCATTTAGATACGTCAATTTGACTTACCTACTTCAGTAGCGTATCGGATGTTTGTGTTAATAAATAATTATTATAACTTATCTATTTTTATTAGAATTGTATATTTTTATAACAATTTTAATAACTACCAACATTTATTCACAACGTAAAATAAAACAACAAATTATTGAGTCTACCCCACGTCTAACCTACATCATAGTTTTACACTTTTTAAATAAAATAAGAACCGGAATTTAAGTCGGCCATTTTAGAGTCCCTTCGCAGTCGATCTAAGATTTTTGATATGCTTCTTCCTTAATCTTTTTATTCAAAGCTTCCACACTATTTTCCTTAAATTTTTTTTAAAGGAGTTAAAAACTTGAAAGTTGAAAATAAATTACTTAAAATTTATTTAACAATACATATTCTTATTTAAATTTATTGTGTAACAATTCTTTTGTTTATAATAACTAATTGATAAAAATATTGGATTCCATCACATTACTCTTAGATATCTATTATTTTTTCTAAACTTTTTATCACACAATAAATATCAATTTAGTAAAAGATAAGCAAATTAATTAGTGTATCGCACAGACTTTTTGTCGTATACAGAAAATATGAGTCGCGTTTCCAGTAATACAAGTGTATTAGTAGAATAAGATTTAGTACTTACAGACATTTTGTGTGGATTTACTCGAAAAAATGTTTTATTATTGTTATTGATAAGGTCAATTGCCTGTTGTAACCTTGTGACAATAGTGATTCATGACTTTAAAAAAATTGACGGTTTAAAGCATTTCAATATGAAATTATTTTTAAATGGGCGTTCTGTTTCACTTTGCAAAGGATACAGGTATGAAGATACAAGTAAATTATACTCTGTGACATGTAAATGAACTTTTAATGTCATTACACATTTAAAACCAATAAGAAATAAAAAAACCAAGAATTATCACTTTTCTACATGTGTTAATCTGTGGTTAAGCCATACTAACAGGTTGTAAACAATTGTTTAGAAAGTATTAAAAATTGAATTTTGTGTAAAAAATGGCGTCATAGTGTTCTTGAAAATTGCAACAGATGTTAATTTTATCAGCCAAACCTCTGTAATGTTTAATTTGTGGTTGGCTCTTAGTCCGAGTATTAGTCCTAACCTTATCCTTAACGATGTCAGTGCTAGGGTTAAGTTTTTATGTCAGTTGTATAAATGAATGACTTGAGGGCTACTCGACGTTTTTATTCGTGGATATGCCCACTCTGACGACGTTTTTATTCGTCATGTAATATTCACTCTAAATGAACTGATACCCTTCTAATATTAATATATATTATATTATATGCTGAAAATAGAAAATTAAATATATTTAAATTTGATATTCATGGTTATTTTTTGGTTTTGTTTTAGGAAATGCGTTTCCTCACGGAAACCAATGGTTTGAATTTATATCGACCAATGGTACCAAAGTAAGGAACTCTTTCTCCTATTTGGAAAAACTAAGGTTTGTTTCCTCTGAAAACTGGAATAAGGCCCAAGACACCGCTTCGAAAACTACTAACGCTGAGAAGCTCAATGTTGAAAAGGTAAGTAACGCTTATAGTATTCAAGTAATTTTTCCAGTGCTTGGCTGCACAGGTTCAACTCTCAAACGTTCCGCATTATTCTGTACGAGAACAATGTCCATCTTTAAACTTTTTCAACATAAAATCTCACTGCTAACTTTTCGATGAACTGACTATAAATGCGCGCAGTCTTTTTATACAATACATTGTATATACATTCTTTTTTTCCAATTGAACGTTTATCTCCGTTCATATTCTTGTTTTATTAATTTTAGACTATGTATGAATGTCTCTATACAATGATCTTTATCAAAACTATGTTGAGCAACGCAAGATTTATCTACTTTACCATATCTGAGCCATATGTTCTTTAAATCTATAGTTCATATCAAATAAAATTTTAGTCGCGTGATTAAGTTTGACCACCACATTGTTGCCCACTTTGACATATTTTCTTTTAATAAAAATATTTTAGGGAAAAGAAATAATTATAAATATATAAACAGTTATCATATATACAGGGTCATTACTACCGCCTTCCCGTTCAAAATACGTTTTTTACGGCTATTAAGCTATCTTGTACACTTCGCACTAAAAGAGGTTCTAAAAAGAACAAAGTTCGACAGCAAGGTCTGCTAGTAAACATTTTTAAGCTAAAAGTATCACAAATTTATTTAAACCAAAAACTCGTAATACAAAACTAAAGTGTCAAAACGAATGACAATGTCAGGAAATAAATAAATAAATGTGGCAACTTTGCATTTTTTACAGCAGAGCTACCACCTGAATCCCCAGCGGGAAATTTAGATTCCAGTTAGTCAGCACGACGCTGAATATGTCCATGGTTGGTAACAATGAATTTAAAAAACGCGCCGTCAATTACGTGACTAAAAGTTTAATTGATATCAAATATAGTTGATATTAATCTTCTAGTAGGTCCAACCAAACAACTGTAATCAACTAATGAGTTTAAAAAATTAATGTTATAAATAATTTAATTAAAAAAATTATGTAATGTAATATTTTTTGTCCTACTTGCAGGAACCTAGCGCTTTTGCGAAATACATTCGTCCCGTCGATCCCCCACCCAAACCAGAGTCCCCCTACGTTCCCACGGGGCCGCAACCCTACAGTCGTGCCTTCGGTAGACCGGTGAAAGGACCCCCTCTGCCCTCTCACGTCGTACCCTGCAACCAGGACAACGGCAACGGTGTCGACGCCGCGCCTACGGAGGATATGTGGGGCCAGGCCCACTTGTACTTCAGACCAATCAAGTCGCCGCCTTTGGACAAACAACGTCGCAGGAGTAGCAGCAGCAACCAAAGAGTATATCCAGACGGCGCTACGTTTGCTATCGACGGCAACTGGGATCAGGTGAGCGATCTTAACTTAAATCTTGCTTTCGTGTAAATCTCTATACTATAGCTGTCCTCTATTCACGCAGTTGTTCAGCTCTGAACTGTTCAAGAACGCGATACTCTCACTCCATTCAATTGAGTCATAAAGTTCACACCAGGCTATCGCGCACAGCTCCTTTCAGAACCGTTCTCGAGTAGCCCAGGGCGTAAAGCTCTGGAACTTGAAATTCGCGAATGGAAGACAGCATAATTAGATTTGTGTATGTTACAGTAAAAGTCGGAAATTCAGTGATAGTTAACATGCACTAGGAAATGCTAGCAATTACGCATTGGACCAGCGAATGTGGCATTTTAAAGAGAGATGTCGACTTTTCCTAGTAATTTCTAACATTCACTATAGTGAAAGTAACATTTACTAAAGGTTACCAGTAAAAGTTATTCTATTGCACAGGGCAAATGTGATGAGAAAGAACGTTGATGAAAGTTAGAATAAATAAAAATTTTAAGAATATTGGATCTCCTCAGTATTCAAGCTGATCCACATATCCTAAAATTACAATTTACTTCTTTGATATATTTATTAAAAAATTATAGAAAATAACGACATAACCTTCTAAATATTAAAAAGGAAAATATAGTAAACATTTTAAAGCGTACAAAGCAATAAAAAAACATTTATAAACATAAGATTACTTATTGGTACAAGGTTTTTTAATAAAGTTCTTCATCGTGGACAAAATAAAGTATGCCCGAATTTTCTTCAACGAGAGTTATTCGCTTTTTCAAACCCGCTACTTCAAGCATATCAAAACGTTTAATAAATTCATAGTCACTAGGTTCCTTAATATCATTTTTTCTTGTACGCTTAACTTTTGCTATGACTTCATAATATTGCAAAAATGAAAAACAACCACTATTACATTCTTGCGAGTGCCTAGTTTACCTTAATTTTGCACAGAAAATTTCTTCTATAGGGAAAATACCGCACAGCACTTTTTATAATGATGAAATAATGAAACAAAAAAATTATACATAACCAAAAAAAAACGAATTTACGCCAGATGTCTGATAACGTTGCCAACGTTTAGCCCAATTTCATGCTATCCTTATATTGCCTATTATTGAACTCATCCTTATTTATCCTTATATTTTACAACATATGGCAACCGCGCTAACTTAATCTTTCAAACTCACTGCTATCGTCCAAGGAATGCTATCATTTGCTAGTAAAAGTTGGTTTCAAAAATAGCTATTGAACTTTTACTGGAATAATCTTAGCAAATCAGTGAATGTGGGCTTTTACTAGTAATTGTTAACAATCACTGACTTCCAATTTTTACTGTAACGTATACAGGTTGTTAACTGGACAGTTACTTATAGGGGAACAGAATGGCAACACTGCCTATTGAGAACGCATGCACTTATAGGGTTTTCTGCCGACTCGTCCCGTCGCGTCGCGCGTCGTCTATCGACGAGCGGGCCGAGGTTGCCATATTTCAACCATAAAGCTCTTGCCGCGAGTAATAAACACTTTAAATGTGATCTTTAAAAAATACATACACGTGATTAATATTTATTTTTTACATTGTATAAATTAAATTTTTGTTTCAGGTGAACTATCAACGCAACTCTGACGGTGAATTATATCTGCTATCCGAAACAGGCGAAAAGAAAATATATCAGCACTACAATATCCATAGTCCCACTAGAAATTTGGAAAGCTGCCTCGAACTTGATTCCCCAAACAAACATTTTTCGATCAAATTTGAAGTTAAACAGCTAGATAAGGCGTGTCAGTGTTCAGAGGAGGACTTTGTTGGTCTGTTAACAACGGTACATACTTTCCCAGAACCAAATTCGTTTCAATCATTCTTCAAAGAGTGGGACTGTAAGTAATTTTTAAATACAGAGAAATCAAAAGTTGGCGTGCAAAGTTATCAAAGACGTTTTCTTTGGCGAATTTGAAATTAGATCTGCCCTTTCTTTAGTTGAAACTGCGATTTGCATTGCGATAAAATGTGAAAACTACTAAATAGTCGGAATTAGCAACTTGTCTCGTCTCTAGTCAATTATTTTGGACAGGAAATGTTAACCCATTAGTAATTTACATTTTTCATTCAATTAGAATTTGTAATAATCATAGACAAAGAAATAATGTAGATATAAGGCCAGTGATACCGGCACAGCGTTGTCCACTTTTATATATTTTTTTTAATGAAAATATTTTGGGAAACAAAAATAAATTAATTATAAATATATATAAACAGTTATTATTTCATCAACAAAACTCATCTTCTTAACAACACTTAAGGGAGATAAAGGGCCATTACTACCGCTTTCCCGTTCAAAATATTCTAATAAAGTTGCCATGAGTTTTTTACGTATTTTTATGTAACTAAAAGTTTAATTGATATCAAATATAAAAAAATACGCGTATTTTATCTAAAATTGGGGTGAAGAATTGGTGACAAAATTACCAATTTTATTTCACACTTAAAAATTAAAGTAAAAAAAGCCTTGACAACATTGCGACGTGCATTCGTCATATATATTTTAATGACGTGCATGCCAACTTTTATTAATTTCCCTTTACGTTGTAACTTTGACGTAAAACTAAATATTTCATTATTTTTAGTTTCGCATCGACACGTTAGCCATCTTCTTGGAACTCAAACTTTAGAAAACAACGATGAACTTGTTGCCGCTGCTGATGGCTACCCTGCCGACATATCCTTTGACGATTTTATCGTCAAAACTATTCTGGAGACGCTCCTGGATGACAGCGACCCCTGGCCGGACGAAGTTGAAAAGGATGCTACGGACAGTGCAGACTCTAGCGGGAACCAAGATCACCTCAAAATGTTGTGGTCGCAGGTGGAGGTGAGTTCTAACACAGTTCTGGCCACAGTGGCACTAACAAGCAATAATCCACAGGCCGAGTCCTCATACCAAATCCGCACTCGAAATCTTCTGGTGTATGGGTGGGCGGCTATTTGGACTTTTTAAATGAACTCTCTTATAATAATTTATGTTGCAGTTTCAGGGGGAAACAGTTTCAAACGACATAAGCCGGCCGGACATCGCTAGACTGAGGGAAGAAGCGTCTGTAGAAGGCAACCTCCTCCTGGAGGAGGTCGGTTGCGCCCAGCAATTTTTGCGGAGTTCGCTCCACGATGATTCTACCGACGTCGATGATCAGGTCAGTCCCGGAAATGATCGGGAAAATGCCGATCAGAAGCATAAATATAGGTATGTATTTCAGTGATGTATTAATACTTTACAAGAAAATAAGGGAACATAAAGGCCAAGGATGTCAAATACTTTCTTTATTTTCATATTCATACAATGGGTCCATGATTTCAATTTGAATCGGTTTCAAGGGTACATACCCTGCTGGTCATTAATTTATTATGTGGTCTGGATTTTAATGCTTGTGACGGAGAATAGTATAAATGACCGGTTGACAGAGAGACAAAATCAAAAGCGGCATACAGTGTTGCCGGTTTTTACGTTTGTAGGAAAAAAACTTTTAAAAACTTTCATGTATACTACTGAAATGAAGATAATATATCTAAGCTAAATATAATCTATTATATCTGTAGTAAAATGAGTAACTAATTGTGAAAAACAAGGTTCCAACCCTAGATGCAACATTTTCCATAAACGCCTACTTGTGCGTAAATAATAACTGTTATAATAATTAATTTATTTTGGTTTGCTAAAATATTTTGAATAAAAAAAAATATGTAAGTAAAAGTGGGCAACACTGTGCCGGTCAAGCTTAATCACGTAACTAAAAGTTTATTTGATATGAACCATAGTTCTTTTGCTTTTAAAAAAATGCTTTTTACATGTTCAACCCTGATATTACATTGTCCGTGTCCCTTCTGTATGATTAGGTAATTCTGTCATTTAGTACCATTTTTTATATCAATATATATTTTTCTTACAGTAGTATGGGCAAAGATGGAATATGGAGCTTCACATCAAAAATTGAAGACGACTGTCTGGTCAATATGTTCACATTCCCGGCCAGTCTGCAACCAGTTACCTTGTAAATCCGGTGCCCGACAAGCAGGCAGGACTTAGATAGTTTTTTTGTTTACTCTGCTTGTTTGCACAAGCATTGAAATATTTTCAAATCGTAATTTTAATAGAAATTCTTAAATTTTACTCGAAAAGTTTTTTTTTTGGTAAATTCCACATTTCAACGCTTGTACAAACAAGCTAAAAGAAGGTATCTCAAAGGATAGATTCAATTAGTTAATCGCTTATATACTTTTTGAACGTGCTAAAGTAAAAAAAAATAACGATATCTTGCCTCGTAGATGTCTATCCTTCGCGTATACCGTGTAGTAAAAATTTGGCTTTGATAAATTTAGATTTGGACTTACAGATTTGAGGGGACGGTGGCATTTTTGCGGCCGTCGCACACTAAAAGATAACTGCCATATTAGTTTTAGCGCAGAAAAATTGAAATGCTCTACGATCTGACCGAAGAGGATCAGACGAATGAGTGGAATCTGTACCGGTCCATTGAACCAACGCTTCTGTTTTTTTTTCTGTCCGCGCTATATAGATTTAAATTGTGTACATTTAACGGAAAACATTTTAATTTGTTTTGTTTCGTTGAGCAATCTCGTCCGTTTCCCCTAAGATTGTTTTTAAATGTTGATTGTTGATTACTCGCAGTGTAGTACAGTCAATCTGGCACTTTAATTCCCATCAACTTACCCCCTTCATACTTTGCCAGTTGTAAGTGGTCCACTGGAAAAGCTTAAATTCGAATATTCGTATCTCTCCACCCCACCGTTTTTGAGAAACTCAAAAAAATTTTGGATTCGATTTTCTGGCTGAACCGTAGGTCCCAAGAACGATAAACTAATAGGATTACTCATCCTCATAAGACTTACGTTCGCCTCTTCCCGCGCTACAGCTGGAAGTTGTGACGCCATAGTAGTCCTTGTCATGATAGTGTGTATTATTGGTTGCCTATGGTAAACTAATAAAAATAACAGCCGAGAAATTTTGAGTTAATTATTTTGTCGATTTTAAATGTGAAAAAGGTGTTTTTAAAGTTTTTAGAGCTACAGAGTTTATAAATACGTTCATTTTGTCTTGTGGATTGGGACTAAGTGCTTACTAAGTGCCTACGATATTGTTTATTAATTATTTTAAAGGAAAATAAGTAAGTACTCTAAAAGAATGCCTGCAAAAGGTGATACTGTGAACTGCTGTTCTTAAAAATGCATTATGCGAATATTTAATACGATTTATACAATTAATTTTCTATACTGCATACATATAAGGTGTTTAAATAAATAAACTAAACAATGAAGGTTTTGCATACGGCAACCAATAATACACACACTGTTATGACAAGGACTACAATGACGTCACAAAGCGAAGAGTTTTTGCATGCACCTGGCAGACACTTTCGGCCGTATGAGCAGTCCTATTAGGTTAACTGTTCTTGCGTACGTCCCACAGAAATTTTTATGGAACAAAAAATGAAGAGAATTATATTCTCTACATTTTCATCTCTAAGTAACAAACCTCTAAAATCTACGGGGACAAAGTTAGAGGGCGCCAAAATCACTAAAACGCAGTTTTTTGCATTTTTCTGGGTGAAACAATTTTTTATTGTCGTTACTGGCAAAGTATAAGAACGGGGGTAATTTGATGGGAGTCTAGACATTTTTTGATGCCAGATTGGCTGTACTAGTGTTGATAAAATTAAATATTTTGTCAACACAATGAGTAATTTAATTGACCTTTCGAAGCACTGAATATTTACGAGTTGTTTGTAAAATAGAGAACAACATTTAAGCTAGTAGTGTAAACTAAAAAAAAATAATAGTCGTAAAATATAAAATGCGCAGAGGCATAACTAACGCGAATAATATGTGCTGTTTTTGTATAACTAAGAATACAAGAGTTATAGTGTACATAGTAATTAAAGTATGTCTGGTGTTATTTAAGCCGGACTTTTTCGTTTTTGTACTAAACGGTTTGCAAAAAGGAAAGAGTTCTGTTTCTTTAACTTAAGACTTTAGGAAATAAAATAGGTAGATATTGATTGGGTATTTCTGAGGGCAGGATCTTTTAAGATTCGTATACGGTTCTAAAAATAATTGAGACTATTTTCTCCCTTTGATTAGTTATGATTATCAGAGTAACGACATGATACGCTATCATCGAGAGATAAGGCGTAATAAATGGAATAAAGAGGAATAATATGTAAACCTCTTTAAACAACATAGACAATTTGATAAAGACAATAAGAAAGTACTATCTGATTAAAAAAAAACAGCGTCAGAGATGGGCTTAGAAATGAAGGTCGTTGTCATTTTATATGTAAAATTACTACTCTGTGCCGTTATGGTATTTATTGTTAAATATGTCATAAGTTATGTTTTCCGCATTTAAAAAATTAATGCAGTGACTTTGAAAAGAAACTTTTTACACGTTAATCAATTAAGGTTTATTTCTTCTTTATACCGTATGATGGAAAAAAAGACGTCCAGTTGGCGTGGGAATGACAGTCGACGACATTACCCATATAAAATAACAGCTATCTTCATTTTCAAGCCATCTTTGACGCAGTTTTTTCGATCACACTGTGTTACGTGTACCTATAAAGAGTTTCGGGTCATGGCTCTGTGTGACGTCACGTATAAGCTGTCAGGCCTTCACTTCTCGATGGTAATACTTTATATTATGACATTTAGAACTAGGTAGCCATTTTATACTTTATACAGAGAGTTGGTGATGGAAATGCGCTTTATTTATCGATGTATTATATAGATTCAAAAATTGCAATAAAAAGAAAAATGTATTTTATGAAAGCCTGCATTTTTTCTTTATATTTTTATTTATCCACAACATTTTTGGACCATAATCATTTCTTAAGTAGATATAATTTTTTGACTTAAGCACTTTTAAGTTCAAAAATTTTTATTTTTAATTTAATGAGATGGCACATTTGATTAGATACTTTTGATTGTTATTTTGGAATTCAGAGATGTCGAATCTTTCCACTATTTTACGTGATATCTAATGTGCATTCCTTTCAGCATCGTTTTTCCGATTTTTAACTAAATATGCATACGTTTTTTTGCGATTTACGTCAAATTTTGATGCGATTTATATGATCCTGTCCGTTTTAGCTCAGAAGGACCAAATCGATTGCTACCCACATATTATTTTAGAACTTTTAATTTCTATTTGCGTGTTTTCACATATTATATATTAGTATTCGGAACCGTAATGCTTGAAAATGTTTTTAAAAATTCTCGTTATCAAAAATTAGTTAATCTTCTACGAGGAGGGGGTTCGTTTTTGTTAGAATTTCTTTTAAGTTTATAACAATTCTTGTGATTTTACACGTTTTTATCGCCGAACGAGTTTTCGAATACGATTTTGTAGCAAGAATTGTTTTTTGTTTTGTTTCCTTAATAGCGAGAACCCCCTCCGTTGTTATTTGGTTTTATTATTTTTTTTCCTTAAAATTTTTAAAGATGTTTGTTAATTTTTTCGCATAAAGAATTACTACCTTGGTAGGTCTGTCGACTAGCGTAACCATGCTAGACATGTTTTTTAAACACACTGTAAAAATGTCACGATATAATTCAAAGACAGACCTCATAAAACGTTTTTGCAGTAAATGTGTTTCTATTTTTTCGTTCACAAATTGAAACTGAGAGCATTAAATCCAAGCTCTTACAAATTTTGTACATATATGTCATCCTTTTATCAGATATATATAAAAAAAGTTATAATTTCCCCCGTTTTGTTTTTATAATAATTCAAGTTAAGTTAGATAATATTATAACTATTATTACGTACTCTGACTAAAGGTTTTGCCGTATTCTTTTGAAAACATCTAAGATGTACCTTCTAATTTTTGACAAATCCTCATTTCGATCGGAATTACTCTTGCACGGCAATACCTTTAGTCAAATCTGTACAGACAAAACTTAAACAAACAAAAAAAGATGAAAGTAACAAAGAAAAAAGACAAAAAAAATACAAATACATACAAAAATTAAATAAATTTTCGTAGCTTTTAGATATGATTGTGTTTGGTAAAAAAATATTAAGAGATGCCCTTTGCCACAATTTACTACGGGCAGCTAGGTGTGGAAATATCACTATCATTTGGTCAGAAATGCTATTTTGTACCTAAGGATTTAGGTGTATATAGTTGGTGCGAATGGCAAATGTAGAATTTAAAACATTTTTTTACATGTAATACGTAGACTTGAGCACCGTCCCTGATTATTTTATTTTTTAAGTTTTTTTATCATTGAATAAAAAGAATAAGGAAAAAGTGTACTGACAAACAACTGATCTCCGGTTATTGATCAGTGGCGTTCGAAATTATTTTAAATTGTTAAAATATAAAGCAGGATTGCAGGATGTTAGTGGAAGCATATTTCTAACTTACTAGCGAAAAATTCTTCTATTACTTTTCTTGCTCTTAGTTTGGAAAGGGTCTTTCTAAGATCTCAGTGTAATTCAACTTGTCATGACACAATGTTTTTCTGACAATTATAAAATAAATCCGAAATAATTCGAAATAAACACAGAAGATCGCAACAAACTCACATATATGCAAATTTATCAAGAGAGAGATCAAATAAGACTTGTCTTTTTATTCAGTGGTATCGCTATACACAGTTTAAAAAAAAATCTGTAATAACATAATTTCATTAATTTTATGTCATGCTCAAGTCTTCGTCTCATTTACATCGTGACGTTCACTATATTATACTCGATATTTTTTATTACAAATTACATTTTTCTAAGAGGAGTTTATAGTGAACGCGCACGATACGTCAAATATAATTTGTGACGTCAGAGGTGTGTGTATTACAGCGCGGTTGGTCTTATTTAGCTTATATTATCACCCGTGAACTACTATAAAGAACAATTAGCAAAATAAAAAGGAAAGTCTTAATCTTAAATTTAGTGTATTGTATCGCGAGCCAACCCGCTGACGTTGCATTAGTTTATAGTATCGATACTGCATATTTTTATTTTTTAAACTAATATAACTTTTATCATGTATGCCTTACCGTTAATTCTAACTTTAGGTTTAAAAAGTCACTGATCGAGGCTTTTTTAGATGATGTAGTTGAACCGTTGCACCAGGTCATCGTCATTATTTGAAATTTAACATATAAAGATCCGGTGATGTGTTATTAATAAACGTAACACCGTTTTTTTTACATCTGGCAGTTTTTTTGTAATACTAGCTTTATCAAATATCTTAATGAGTTTATTTAGCAATGTAAACAAATAGCTTAAAATTTCTCAAAATGGGTCAAATATCTTTGACAAACTTTCTCGGGTCTTGTAGGATTTAGGTATGTCGGATTTTGAAAATTCTCTATACAGAAATGAGAAGAGGGACATTTATGACATTTTCTGACGAAAAAAGTGCGGATTATCCATAAATATCCCCAGAATCTTACGGATCGGGGAGCGAAAAGGGATGGGATATTAATAATTCACATATCAAATTTTTGCAATTTTCTGAGGAGAAATGTGAAAATAGGCACATAGCATGCATTCTAAACACTAGAGGATAGAGTATGCTTGACGACGGACGCCTCTTGTATTGTGATTCTATTCTCAATCTTTAACACAGATCGAAACATAATATCTATTCTTATCCGCTTAATATCGCTACTGCTATTTATCAAGTTTAATAGGAAAGTATAAATAAAATTTATCTCAGACACCAGATTTTCAAAATTGCATCGTTACCGCCAACGATATGCGCAGACGCGAGCAAAAGACAAACAAACCGGAATATGTCTTCTTAGTCACTCTTATTGATCTTAATAAAGAAAGAAAATGAAAATACATTCTAAATTCTAACCTCACATTTGGGCAAAAAATAATATATAATTTTAATTATTAACTGTAAAATGATCTCAAACATTTAACCGATTATCCGCACTTAAAACATTAAAACAATAATTGTAGAGTATATTAATATAAAATTTACATCAATAACTTCAATATTGGCGACCTACCTAAATCTTACCTTCACCTTCACCTTTTTTCCAAGCAATTTTACACTGTTTTTGTCAAATAGATCGTTTGGGGTAAAAAAAACCTTTTTGAATATCACCAATCCAAAATAAACTCTTTCATTACAGTAGAAACATTTTTATTTGATGACCTGGTGCAAAACCAACCTAAACGTGCCTATAAGAATAGGTTCTTGTGTTAATTGTCTTTTTGGTATGCTGTCATTTTTTTGGATAGATTGCGTGGATTAGAAATTCCATTGTAACAAAATTAGCAGTTTTTTAACTCTCGTATTCTATAAAATGTTTTTTATGAATGATACAAATCAGTTTACCAAAAGAGAATTAACCCCTCTTGGACCTTGTTTCATTTAGTTATGTTAATTCTTATTTTTAAAATAGTATGCTATAATTAAAAATTGCTTTCATCAATCAGAACAACTGTTTTCTAGATGTTTTTTTTTCTCGTTTCATTGGTAAAAATATCTTCATTATTAACCAAAACTATGTTAGTTTAATCCGATAGGCTTAAAAACTGGTCTTACTTAAAATCTAAGTTATCAAGGATCAAGGAAAATAACTTGGCCGATTTTTTGTATTGCATTATTAAAACGAAAGAAGAAAACGAGAATTATTCCCTTCGAAAAAAATAGGGAAGCATGCTCATAGGGGTCATTTCACTAAAGTCCTTATTTTATCGGTAAGGCTAATTTCTTTCGTAGTTTCCGCGGACATTTCTGTATTTTGGAAATGACTTGCTCTTGTCTGAATCGATTTCGGAATGTTTGAAACGATTTTTCGACGTGAAGTGACCTCCTTGAAAATTATAGCATTGTGGAGAATTATGTAAGCAATCTTAATAATTGAATAAACACACAACAATAGTTAAGGTTTTATTATTTCGTCCCAACTTACCTGGAAGAATAATTTTTGTACTAAATATTAGATAATGAGAATACTATGGGTTTACACAACCCTGTTTACAACGTGATCAGAAAGAGTTATGATCATGCGTGCATTAAAAAATCAAATAAACCAAATAAGAAAAAACATAAAAAATAAGAAAACAACTATTTTTAATTATCTTGATTTAGACCCTGTTGGTATAATAATATAATCTAATGTTTTATTCCAATTTTTTACATGCTACTATGCATAAAATATCAAAGAGATCTGTAATAATGCAGTCATACGAACTTCTTATGAAGTATACCAGTGAAGAAATAACCTGAAAATCTTACATTCTTCTCACTAAAAAAGCGTTCCGTCAATTCAAATTTTACCTTTGGCGCGTTTAATTAATTGCAGCGCCATTCTTATTTAGTGAGAATCTTTGGAACTATCGTCTAAATGACTGTGGCGCCACCATACGGAAAGTTCTAAAAATAAGCAAATATAGGTTTCTGCTTTTGCTATGTATCGGTGGCGCCATCGTGGGTTGAATATTTAAGCTAGTGATTTATAGATTTCTACAAAAAACAGACAAGTGGTGCTATCTAACGTTAAATAGTTAAACTTCGGTTAAAATTTTCTTAGAATTTTAAAGAAATCTATAAGTTTTGGTTCCCAAAAAGTATCGAGTGAGAGTCATCTATGAATCAAATTTTATACTAATTTTGATTCTAACCCTCAAAAAAATATTTTTTTGTATTTTATATCGGGTAAAATATACATAAAATAAATAAGTTTGATAACAGGTCTACAGGTTAAATTATAATGTACGATCGAACGAATATACTTTATAATTATTTTTTAATATTATTTATCTACCATTCGTATTTTTAAGTGTAATCTGGGGGTGAAGACTGAGTTTATAGACTTAATATTTTTTATTACAAATACGGATATGTAATAATGCAAACATACGAGCTTCTTATGAAGATAAGAAAGGCGAATACACCAAGAAAAATGGAAGGAAATGAGATTTTCTTTTGGGAAGATGTGTACTTGCATAAGAAAGCCTCACCGATTGTTTTCTGCTGTTCAATGAAAGTGTGGGCCAAAAAAGAGTAAAGCTGGAGCAACAAAATTGGAATCCTTGAGATGATGTCTGCTTCTAATTGTTGCTTTCAGAATCGTTCTTCCAAATAGCTCTTCAGAAAATAATACTCGAACATTCAAATCCATGAACTCGATACTGTACCCTGTACCTCCCGAACCTGCTTTTTTCTTTGATATAAAGATAATTTAAATCTTGATGGTTGTTCTACACTGTTAGAAAATGTAATATTGTTATGAAGAGATGCAGTGTGTAAGGTAATTTTTTTTGCATTGTTTCATTGCTGCTCGTTCGCAAAACTGGATTAGCCTGTATAAATATCTTTTTTACTTCTTTCAGAAATATGTGCGAGTTACTGGAAATATGAACATCCAGTAAACGTCGGAAAGAAAATTTAATAGAAGAATCAACAATCAATACAAGGACTATCGTACCTATTTATAAACTAGTTTTTTACTAATAAATTTTAATAAAAAAGTTTTAATTCATTGAATCCCTTGAAGCAGAGAATATATAATATTCTGTCCTTGAAATCTTTAATTTAATATGCTTTAAATTTAAGGTAACCTGCTAACATTAATCTTGTTCGTAAAACAAATTATTTAAAAATAAGAGCAATAAATAAATATTATCTAGTTGCCTTTAATATTAGTACATTAATTTAATAACATAAACTTTTTCATAGGCCCCCTTAGAATTAGAACTATGCGTTATTCTATAAAGATAAGATTTTATTTCTTTTGCCTCAAAACAGCCATCCCTAGCAGCAAAAATTAGCATTTTTAAATTATTTTTCTGATGTGTATTAAAAATAAAATCGTTGGCCAACGAGCTCGAAGAGTTAGACTCATTTAGAAAAACATTAATTACGCAAAAACTAATTAACATATCGAAGTGCCCTTAGTATCAATCGATAGGGAATTCAACCCTCTATCTGTACACAAAATGTCAACTCCCTAGGACAATCTTTATTTTTTGAAGCAAAAATGAGCAAAGGGGTTAACCTTAGAAAATTTTTGGCCCAAAAAATATAGGGTGTCGTAGGGGGTTGTAATTTTGTGTACATATAGAGGGTTAAATTCCCTATCGACTGGCACCAAGCGCGCTCCGATGTCTCTTTTAACTAAGGAGTTATTAGCTTTTTAATTTCGAAAACGAGGTCAAAGTCTTAGAGTCAACAAAATTCAGCATTTCTTGGTAGTGCTAAAAAATTATTCGAGCTCTTTAAAAATTTGACACGGGGCAACTAAATCTTGTGGATTTTTGTCATCAAAAATTTAATTTTGAACAGAACTGAGGTATATTTTTCAGAATCATTTTTCTTAACGTATAGGTGTGTAGGTATTTTATATTGCGATTATATTTTTGGTTTGCCATTATAAATTTTAAGTTGCTATTTTATTTTTTTCTTGTTATATTAATAAGAGCTCTAAGAGTTTCTATTTTTCTTTCGATTGTTATAGAAAAGGTATTTTGCTATAAATACACGTACGTTTAATATATTATTATAATTATTAAAAATATTTGAATAGGACATTCATGTTGAATGTTTTTCTCTATTACTATTCATATACCGTATTATCGAATAAAAACGGCGGCAACAATGGCTATGAAATGAAGATAGCTGTCATTTTATATGTAAAATTATATATGGGAAATGTCATCGATCGTCATTTCATAGCCATCGCTGGGGCCGTTTTTATTCGATCATATGGTATTTCTACAAAAAAAATATGTAGTAGAACTTTAAAATTATTAGCTTTTGATTTTGAATATCTGAGGAAAAGGATGTTATGTTAAAGTAAATAAGGTAAAATGAAAATAATACAATTTTACTATAATAAACATTTTTTATTCAAACCTATATTCTTACATAATATACATAGTACAAAAAAAATTTGTTCCCCAACAGGGGTAAAAGGAAAACACTTTCTGTACAAAAAAGCTTAATCTCTAAAACTGTACAATATAACTCGTAAGCGCAAATAAATAACTGTTTTTTAGAAACAATATACATATATATACGGTGTCTCAAAAATTAAACTATACAAAAAAACAGTGGCGTCTTTGGACGCACACCCGTTACACCAACTAACAAAAACAGTTTTAAAACGTACGAAAATCGTTGTTTAGTTTAATAAAAAGAAACAAAAAAACGAGATCACTTTCTGAACATCTCCCTCACGGCGGCGCGCGAAAAGGAAGAATACTTGTTTAGTTTGCCTATAGAACAATTTATCTCAATTGGCACTTTTGAAATAGCACTTTAGCCTCGGTTAAAAATACATATTTTTTTAATCTTGAACAGGCACGATATTAGGAGTTTTTTTAGAAACGACACTGGTACTTTTTGAAACAACAATGATATTTACAACGGAGATGTCCTGTCACGACGACAGAAACAACATCGAGAAGCAGACATGGAGCGCGCTACACGTAAAACCAGGCTGGGACCGATCACGACGAGTCCGTATCGGGTTGCGACGCCGCGTTGCCCAGCTTTAGATTCACAGCCGCTCCCAACGAACCCAGCGCGTCCTTGACCGCGTGGTAAATGATGTTCTTAATCTGTAGCTTGTCTTCGTGGTTCGAATGGGTATCACTGAGACCGCGAAACTCCTGCGTCAAGTGGAAGCAGTGCGCCACATTCTCCGGACTGACGAAGTCCTCGGCCACTTTAATGCAGTTGTGCAGGTTGCGCACTTGATGCGGAGCGCCCGCGGGGATGAATACCGCGTCACCTAGGCATTGCACGATAGCGTATCCTTCAACGCCGTACTCCTTGTAAAGGCGCTCGCGTAAGGGTCCGTCCAAGTACCCGCTCTGGTCGTGAATGGGATCGTTGTGGGGTTCTAAACGTCCGCCTCGTTCCACCGTAACCTTGTTGAGCAAATCTCGGATCTTGTCTGCGTCTCGCGCGGCGTAAATATGCCACAAAGCCCCGGGTAGTTCGCCCTTGTCCCGTACCCGCCGCCTGGTCAGAATATCGCAGCCGGCCTCGTCGATGGCCCTGAAGGCCTCCTTCACGTGCTCGTCGCCGGTGCCTCCCCTCGGCACTCCCACGTATACCATCACGTTTACGGCGTCGCTAACGTCCAGATGCAGGTTGGTAGTCCCGCGAGCGGCGTGTAACGCTGAACCGTAAGCGTTGTACATTTTGGGTCCCAGGTCGGGTCGTACGAAACATTTAGGCAGTCTCGAGGCCAGATTCAGGCGGCCTCTTCGTCGTGTATATTCTGGTAAGGGTAGTGCGTGCATAAGGTCTTTGAAGCGCGCGGGCAATAGCTCGGCGAAATCCTCGCCTGGAGGCCAGTCTTTCAGTTTGAGCAGCATAGGCTGGCCCCGTTCGTCTTTTAACCTTTTGGCTGGGTCTTCAAAACCCTCCCAGAAACGACGCATCGGCTGATTGGGGACTAGGTTCCCTGTTAAACAGTTCACCAAATCGTTTTTCTCGTCTCCGAAATCTCGTGCGAAAGCATCAGGGTTCCAAAGGTCTTTGTTTATAGCTCGGCATACGTCGGAGACTATAACAGGCTGACCGCGTTTCCACTGATCCTGGAAAATTTTGTAGTTATCGGCACAGGTCGGATCGCTCAGCCTCAGCAGTTTTCCGTCGCACAACCATGAATGTGGGACTGTAGGATAGAGAATTTTGCTCTCCGTAAGTGTCATAATTCGAATAGGAACCTGCTGTCGTCCTTTGTTCTGCCAATTATAACGCCTGATGTAATGCTTTAATTCCATCTTTTCTTCGGGTTCCTCTTTTTCCGGCACCGCAGGTGAATCATTTAGACCCATGTTTGCCAAAGGATCAGATTCGGATGTTTCGGACTTAGACGATTTTTTCTTATCCCCCTTAGCGACAGGAGAGGCCGCTCTAGAAGATCCGTTAGCTTTGTAAGACGGGCGAATCAGCAATTCCCTTAAAGTCGAGAAATTTCCCTCTTCCTCGCTGCTGGATCCTTCCTCTTTGGGCTCTTTCTTGACACCTTCTTCGGACTTTGACAAGGCCACGTCCGCCAACCAGTTCAGATTCGACTGTTTCTCCTCTTTGACTCCGTTAACGGTTCCTTTCAACTCCTCCTTCACTTCCTTTTTCACGCCGTTCATCTTTTCGGCCAAGATCATTTTAACGGCTTCCTTAGTTTCCGCGTTGTTCGTTTTCAGGTCTTTGGAGCTGGGACATCCGCAGAATTGTTCGATGCCCCACAGGTCTCGCATTTCGTGCACCATATGCCCTAGTTTTACTAAGCAGTCGTCGGCGATGATCTGCGTCAACATCAGCTTCTCTTGCTCGTGGGAGGAACGATTTGTACATAACAGCCACATAAACTCGTCTCGATCTTTGCCCGGTTCGCTCATCGATTTTACGCTACCGTGCTTTCGACTCTGCAAAATAATAAACAAATATTAGGATTTATATAACAAAATATAAACTAGAGTACTACTGTGGAGGCTAGCATATATATGAGTGGATTTATTAAAATCCTTGTGTAATTTGCTATGTTATTTATTACTAGTTTAGTAGTTTATCTGTTTTTTCCTTTAAGAAAATTTTCGTAAATTTCGCATTTTTTTGGTGTACTCTGGTTACTCTGGTCACTAGGCAATACAAAAAGTTGCAAAACTATTTAAATAATTCCACTCATATGTAGACCACCTAAAAGATTATATAGCTTACCTTATAACAATCGAGACACACCACAAATCCACACTTGTTACACGTCCAATGGTAGTTGAAGAGAGTCGTTTCGCACACGTCACACATTTCCCTCACTCCTTGCACCACCCTCTTCCACGCTATAGTTTTATCTGTAATGTAAATATCGCTTAGTTATATGATCGAGTCGAGATCATTTTCTCGCTTACCGTCAGACATATGCTCTGCATGAGCCTCTTTCTCTTGGACTAGAAGATCACAGAAATGGTCTCCGACTTGCGTCAGTAGGAATCGAGACGTGTCCAAGTCGAGATCGGTAGGTGGGTTATCAGGATTCGGTAGCCACAACTTGATATCGTCCTATAAAAACCAAACAACAATATAATAACTGTTCAAAATTGAAGTGTTTGAAAATTTAGTCAATGACAAAAGAATATAAGGACGCGTAACTCAAAATCTGTGATGTAAAATTATAGAGCGAAATTTTTTGATGACAAACAAATGAGATGACACCAGTGACACTTTTAGAGATTTTAATAGTTTGCTGTGTGTAGTGAGTTTCGTATAAACTAATCCAGTTTATTATAAAAGGCAGACATTGGCTTCTGGTGTTATTGGTCTATGTATTCTTTAGTCATTGGTCTAAATATATTATTACCTCTAGGGCATCTTTGTGAGGATCGCTGAAGCCGGCTATGGCCAATTGGCCGTTTTTGGTATATCGCAGCCTTCTGAAAGCGTAGAAACGACAGAAGATGTTCGGCATGTTCTTGGATCGCTGATTGGGAGTCCAGCGGCATTCCCTGCACTTGGCGAGTTTGGGAGCAACCTAAATTACATAAAGAACTTTTCTTGATTTTCGGTTAAATAATTTAATAGGTTTAGTTAAATTTTACTTATAAGACAAAATAGTAAGCAAAATCTTTAAGTGATAATTCTGGATTGCCTCCCGTATTATTTAAAATAAGTGAACCAGAAGAGCAACTATTCATAATTTTCGGTTAATATTTAAGAACATATAATATAAATCTTAGATAATTCAACTATGCCATGTACTAAAAACGACTGTAATATACAGGGTGGTCCTAACTGTATTCCGAAAACTTCGGCCGCATATTCTGCAACTAAAAATAAGTAAAAAGGTTCATATCTTTGAATAAGAAGACTAAGGAAGGAGCATAATGCTATCCATGTATTCATGCATGGTGGACGGAAAAGCCACCATAAAAGCTCTCTAGGGTGGGGATCCTTGACAGTTCTGTTTGACGATTCATTTGACACATTTGAATTTGATTTGAAATTTTGTGGATTTGTCAGTCTTTACGGAGCTTATTTTATGTTATTTATTATTTCTTCTACTACTGATGGTTGTATAAAGGTAGTAAATCTAGATGGAAATTGTAGCAGAACTTAAATTACCAGTGACACTATCGCGATTTATCGAAAAAGACTCTAAAATAGTTGGTTGTGTAGCGTGCGGTAGATCTCGGCAAAAATTGAGTGAAATAATGGAACAACTTTTCGCTAGTAAGTGACTATATAATATACATACGTGTAGTAAACCGATCATTTATGAAATTCACTTAAATTAACTAAATTATATATTTTTCTTGCATTTTAGCTTTTATTTATTACTTGTCATAGATTAGATGTCAAAGAATTTAGATACGTTAATTTGACTTACCTGCTTCAGTAGCGTATCGGATGTTTGTGGTAATAAATACTTATTATAACTTATATATTTTTATAACAATTTTAATAACTACCAACATTTATTCACAACATAAAATAAAACAACAAATTATTGAGTCTACCCCACGTCTACCCTACATCATAGTTTTACATTTTTTAAATAAAATTAGAACGACACTGATAAACCGGAATTTAAGTCGGCCATATTTGAGGCCTATCGCGGTGTACCTAAGATTTTGATATGCTCCTTCCTTAGTCTTTATCAAAGGTTCATATAAATGAGAAACATAGGCCTAGTTTCGAGATACAGGGTGGAGAAATTTAATTTCTATATTTTTCCACTTTGGTTCCAACGTCACATTTGGATGAAAATAGGAAATATTGAGTTTGACATGAGAAATTTGATTTTGGGGTAAACATGACTCCTACTTGTAGAGGGCGCCACCTACATATTTTTAACTGGTTTGAAGAGTAATAACTTTTTGTCCGTACCTGTATAAAACTACTGAGTAAAAAATATACATTTACTATGTTTTTACGTAAAAAAGATTTCTTAGTAAAAATCGCTACCTACTCGTAATGATTCTCGAAATATTTTGAATTGAGATTATCAATATCTGTAACCATTTCCATAAATTAAACATGTCGACTAAATAGTTATTAGACTGAACTCATAAATTTGAAATGTTTTTGAGTCAAAAGTTCAACAGAAAACTGTTTTATCATCATTTTTTCGGCGAAAAATTTATGATTAATTTAAAAAAAGTTCCCAAATTTATAATTTCAGTTAAATAACTATCTACTCAACAAGTTTGTTTTTTCTCAATAATTACATGTATTGACTATTTCCATTCTAAATATCTTGACAACAATTATTGCTCGTAGCGATTTTTCCCAAGAGGCATTTTTTACGTAAAAAATTACGGAAATGTGTATTTCCGTAATTCCCTCAGTAGTTTTATACCGGTACGGACGAAAAGTTATATACTCGTCAAAACAGTTAAAATACATGTAGGTGTCGCCCTCTACAAATACGAGTAATATTGACATCAAAATCAAATTTCTCATGTCAAAAAACTCCCAGATACCAGTTTTCATTCAAATATTGACGTTTCAGAAATTATTTGGAAAAAAATCAAAATAAAGATGAAATTCCTACACTCTGTATCTCCAAAACTAAGCACTTTAGGACATACATTTTTAGGAACATTTTTACTTAATTTTATCTGTAGAATACGCTGCCGAAGTTTCCGGAATACAGTTCGGACCACAGTATAATATTTTAGATTATCATTTATTTATATTTTTTTAAACATAGAAAATCACAATTGACAACATAACGTTTTCGAAATGTCAAAAAATAATATAATAATATAACACGTTAACTGTCAAAGTTGTCAAAATAAAACCTCCGTTAATACCGCATACCGTTATTAGCCATGTCTCTCGATTAAACTGAAATTTATAGACAGAACGCTATAGTCTGTCCAACGAGTCATGGAAAATTACGACAGATAACATTCAAAAAATGACAGAAAATACAATTTACTTGAATACAATTACTTGAAATTTACAATTAACTGAATTAAAATTACAAGCACAATTATAACTGTCATGGATCCTCTTGATGAACAGACTTTACTGTATTATTAGTATATGTACTAATACGTACCTCAAAGCAGGGTCCGTCCTGTAGGAAAGTCTCTCCAGTCTTCTTCAGCTGGCCCACTGGTGGTTTGCGAAAGGGGTCGCGCGGGGGCTCTTCCTTACTTTTTTTCGCGCGCGGCTCCTCGCCCTGCGACAACAAACACGTTTGCAACGAGATTAGCTATTTGATGGCCGCGGCCTTTAAACTACTATAGTCTACCTTGTCGTTTTTTGACCCCTTGGGTCTGCGGCCGCGCTTTCTCGGCTCCTTGTTCGGCTTTTTGCCGCCGCCGCCGCCGCTGCCGGACACCGTCGTGCTGGCGCCCGAGTCGCTGTCTTTGGCGCTGTCCGATTCCTTGTCGCTATCGCTACCGCTCTCGCTTTGCGGGGGCTGAAAAGAAAGACAGAAAATTTAAGTATACTAGACCACAACTGACTACCGTAATCTGTCGTTAGGATATTATAGTACGAGAGCAAGGAAGGTCTGGAGAACAAGTATTTTAAGAAAGCTGGCTCTTTGATATATCTTTTACTATGCTCTCTGGACCAGCGGGCAGGCCGTCTGGCTGCCGATAGACGTTGCTTTCACTACTGCGCATTGAAAGAAGTTCATATAAGTAATAATAGCTCTCATATATAGCGTTTAACGCCATGGGAGTAGCAAGGTACAGCTTGCCATACTGGAGCCGGTCGGTATACAAGGAAGGTAATGTGGCTAGCACTACGCTTCAACCGCCTATTATTACCTCAGGATTGTGAATCCCAAGTACTCATTTAAGGCTGAGTCGACCTAGGTACACAAACTATTTTTATTTTAATAAAAATAGTCGGCTGATGCAATGCCGGGTGTGGGATTCGAACCCACTACCTTGAGATTGGTAGACGAGAGCCTGTACCTCTCCGCCACCGGGCACCTACTTGAAAGAAGTTCCTATATTTTTATTGAGTCTTTTAAATACTAGTATTGAATATGAATCGAATAAGTATCCATAGCGCTGCACGAAAACTTTCAGCCTATAAAGCGAGAAGTCCAGAGTTCAATACCGGCTCGGGGTAAACTTCTTTTTTATTTTATTTTCGTTTATATTCTAATAGTAAAGGATTAAATAATTTTGGTGATTAAAAAAACATTCAATACCCCGAGCCGGTATTGAACTCTAGACTTCTCGCTTTATAGGGTGAACGTTTAAGCGCCACGCTATGGAGACTTGTTCGATTTATATTCAATATTAGTATTTAACTGAATGAATTGAAAAAAAATATAGGATCTTTTTTCAATGCGCAGTAGTGAACACAACGTCTATAGGAAAGCCAGACGACTCGCACACTGTTCTAGAGAGCATAGCATTACTTCCTCGAAAACGTTGCTAGCTCTTAGACTATTATAATAATTTTAATTGTATTTTTTAAACATTGTGAATGATCGTAAATTTTTAACCAACTTTTGATTTTTAAATGGCACTCGGTATTTTTTTTTTACTTTATTCGATAGAAAATGACATTTTGAATAGAATGACATATCATATGTCAACTTTTGACACTCTCGCTTAATAAAAAATTGTATTTTAAAGTTCAATCTAGAGTGCCATGGCTATGCTAAAAACACTAATTCTTAATCAAGGAGCCTTGGAAAAATTGATTTGATTGTCTAATGTTTTTAGTGTCTTGTCCTGGCCAGTTAGAAAATGTTCAAATCGTATTTTTAATCATATTTCAATTTTTTCAAATGGAACGAGGGTAGTTCATTGGCATATTTTGAAAAAGCATTTTTTTACGAATAATTTGATACCACACACTTGGTATTACTAGTCAAATTGTCGTTATGAACCGCGCATGTTTCAATTTCAAATAAACCATATGCGAAAATGTCAAAAGTTGACATATGATATATCATTCTATTCAGAGTGTTATTTTCTATCAAACAAAGTAAAAAAATACAGAGGGTGCTATTTAAAAATCAAAAGTTGTAGTCATTTCCGGTGAAACCGGCAGTGACCGAAAACAATTGGATAGGTCAATCAATCCTAATTTATGTCATATACTAATATACCAAATTTCGTTATTTTATCTAAAAAAATAAAAAAGTTATTGGGGTGAGCCACTTTTCAGATGCACCCGGTATAGTAAGGGGGGGGGGGGCTAAATGTATTAGTTATATTTTTTGTCTTATGTTTTTATAGGCATTTGCGTCTTTAATTGAAAATTTTTTAATTTTTTTTTCAAATTTAGTTAAGTTGTAGACGTGTTTACTTTTTCATGACTTAATAATTTGATATTATTTACATTTATTTTTGTTTTCTAAAATATTTTGATTAAAAGAAAATATGTAAAAGTGGGCAACGCTGTGCCAGTCAAGCTTAATCAGGCGACTAAAAGTTTATTTGATATGAACTATAAGACTTTCAAAGTTTTCTAAAAGACTTTAAAATAACTTTATATTTCACTCACCAACTTTTCATTTTTCCGCTTCTTCTCCTCGGCAGTCTTCTTAGCCAATACCGCGCTGTTATTACCAGCACCTCCCCCTTTTTTCCTCTTCACTTTCGGAGGTTTCCTCTTAGGGGGGCTTTTACGACCCCCGCGTTCCTGATCCGAACTCGACGAGTCATCGTTGTTCTTGCTCGACGCATCCCCATTGACGTTCTCTTTAGTTTTACGCCCCACCGTTTTGGCTTGGAAATGCTTGCTTTTGTTGATGCTGTTCACCGCCATGCTGCCCACAGAGTGGATGGAATTGACCGGGTTCTCTTTCTTTGCCGGCGGCGGACTGGGGGAGCCTAGGTTTAGGGGAAGGGACACGCAACTACCTGAACCGACTACGCCTGTCGTGTCTTCGAGGTCTTCGCCTGTGTGCCTTTGTAGCCACGCCTGTAAGAGGAGATTTTATGTTTTAATATACGGGTCGGTATTAAAATGAATCTAAAATGTATGTTATGGATTTCAGAGAGATTCCCATCTGCGTAAATAATCAGAGATATATATTCATATGTCCCTACGACCTTATCATCATATTAACTAAAATATATAACTAATATAAATACCACTACTAAATTATTCAGTCAGTTAAACCGGAAAACCATTTAGAAAAACGAAAGCAGATCTCTGAACGGTCTTCTTAGACTTTTCCACAAAACATCCCCCTTGCCTGTATAATATTTTTAATATATTTTTTAAATTTACATTTTTTTAATTGTAAAGTAATATATTACATAACAATTAAGTATGTCAATTACAAGCTTGTTTGGTAACATTTTTTAAATAAAACGAATTATAAAATTTCAATATATGTTTATTTGTCGTAGGTATGAAAAAAGTAAAATATAAAATGGACAAACTCTTACTTACATTGCAATAAAACTGCCACTTTTAGTTTTGAATCTAAACGCAATATTTTTTTTCACAAATAAAAATATCCGAAAACACTAAAATCCCTGAATCTTCCGCGGCTGACAACGAAAAGTGAAAAATATAAGAGCACTTTTTGTTTTGAACCTGCATATCAAAATTACACTGTACCATTATGTTTTTGTTTTTGAAATAATATAAATTATAATAGAATTGTCTAATTACTAATTATAACTTGAGAATTTTGATATTTTAATGATCTCTGACAATAACTAACTTTTAGTTATCAAGATGACATTTTAGACGGCAACTGTCACATATATGTCATAATATTTTAATTTTAAATGTATGTGATATAATTTTAATTAATATAATGCAACTTTATAATAAGAAAACATTTATACATTCACAAAATACAACAAAATCTAATAATATAGTTTGAAAACAATGAAAATTGAATTAAAATTAAAAAAAAGTTAAGCGCGACCCCTTGTGTCAAAATTAGATAATTAAATTTTCGCAATTTTTACACCATTTGATGAACAGTGGCGCCTCTAGTATTTGTTCGCACGGTTAGTCTTTTACTTCCGTTTATGTGACCATTAAAGAAAAGGTTCTAAAGGGGGATGTTTTATAGTCTCGTCTAGACATTTTTTCTAGACGTTTTACCATAGATAAATGAAACAAGTTGACATTGGAAAGTGCTAATAAAGATAATGTAAATACTATTTGGTGTTGTTCTTGTAATTATATCGTAAAATATTTTTTATGCCACACATAGTACCTAAATACAAAAAATTCTAGAACGTTTTGCTTTAATATAAATCAAAATCACCCACCTTTTTCAGATGCCTGACGGGATAAGTTCCGCCCGCGGTCTTCTGCGGTCCCGGACTATTACTTTTCTCTGAATCCACGGCGCTGGGCGGGATCTTAAGGGGTGTGCCCGGATTCTCGTCCGTAATCGGAGGCGTGCTACTCGTTCCCGGCGTGTTATTGGGCGTGGAACATCCGCCTCCGCCAGGATTGGGTGTGGTTGATAGAGGCGGTGCTCCTACGCTGTTAGGCGTAGGCGTGTTGCGCGCTGGCGGCGCCGGACTCGAACTGAGTGGTAGGCTGGGCGTGGCCGGCTTGGCGGGAGGCGTGGAATGTGTGGAATCGGTGCTCGCGGGGCGCGGCGCGTCTAAAGTGACCGTCGTCACGCTCAGGTCGGGTAGATTTTCGGTCAGTGATGTGGGTGACTGAGTTGGAACTAGGAGGTTTGTTGTCATTGTTGTTACGGGTGTCCTAAAAATAATAAAATCACATATGAGTGAAGTCCTAGAAGATAATTATAGAGAAAATGAGAAAAAGTTTTGGTTTGGTTAGTTATTAATTACCTGTAAGCTGCGAGGGTATTGACGAGGGTTGTAATTGTAGTTGCAGCGCTAGCTATGAGAGGGCTGGGTTCGCTGACCCTCGCCAGTTGAGGCTGAGGTGCCAAATTATTACCGAAATTCTTCAGATTCTGTTGTAACGTCGGTGTTAAACCGGGAGGTGTCTCTACTCGACGTTTCTTAACCTCCAAACAAACTGGCGTGCCCAGTGGCGTCGTTTTTCTTTTGGGCGACGTAGGTTGGTCATTACTATGGAAAATACATCATATTATGTTTAGATAAATAAATTTGAACTTTAAAGAATCTTACCTTGATTTATTTGAACTAATACCAAGATCAAGCGGTTGCGTTTGGACTTGCTGTTGAATACCACCCGGTCCCGGTGATATACTATAGCTAGGGTGGGGACGTGACGTACTAAGAGGTGCCGAAGACGCTGTTGGGGGCGACGTCCCTGGTTGGTGGAGTAATTTGACAGAGAGACTAGCCGGCGGCATTGGTCCGGAAGGATACATTCTGTCGAATCTAAAAAAATCACTAGATCAGAATATGTTTAAAATTTACTGGACACTAAAATATTCCCAGAATATTCTAGTGTAGTGCAGTTTTTAGTTGTTTGATAAGTCTTTTCTAAAACCTACCCTATCGTCGACGTGGTACGACTACTATGAGCGGGAGGAGGTGGGCAACTGTTGACGTTAGAACTGGAAGCCATCGCCGGAGGGTGGTACTGAGACACTTGCTGGTAGGGCGATGGAGACACGTTCGCGCTCAACGGAGGTTTAGGAACAGGATGAGGAGGAGCTTGGACCTCGTGCGGTCGGCTCACCGGTACCACGCTCACCGCGGACGGTTTGCCGTAGATATGCTGAGGCGCTGGAGAGGATACTTTGGGTTTGGAACCGGCCATCGAGGCTGTCGTAGCTAGAGTGTAACCGCCAGGAGTTGATGCCGTTGACATGAAAGGAAACCCAGGTTTGCCTTTAATAAAAATATCATTAGTTAGCATACAACCTGAAGTATCATTAAAAATGGCTTTACCTGAAGTAGGAAAGATCATTGTCTGCCCTGGTTCTTGCCTAAACCGTAACTCGGGCGACATGTGTTGCTGGCTGTGAGGGTGCGCCACCCCGTGAGGCGACTGTCTTTGGTGATGAGGGCTGGGCATCTGGTTGCCGGAAGATCTGTGGTGTTGTCCGGATTTGGGCGTTTCGAGGTGATGGTGAGGACTAGGAGCGTGTCCCATGTGATGGGGAGATTGCGTAGGGCTTCTAAGACAATTTCATTATTAATATTACTCAAATAGGCGCGACATTTTCAAGATATAGAGATCTTAATATCTACAGTATGTCCCCGGATTGTCTTTACAAGAGGAAAAACTTTTTTATTATTGACATTTTGAGAAAAATGCATTCTTCATAAACATTTTTGCTTGTTCTAAAATAGTTAATCCCGTTTATACTTTTCCAAATTTCCATACCGTTTTAATGAAAATTAAGAAAAACATGAAAATATGGTTGAATTTTTTCGAAGTCCTAAAAATTAATACGCGTTTCTATGGTAATATCAATTCGATTTTATTCTTTGATAGATGTCATATTCTTTGCTGTTGTTAAAGTATCATTTTTTTCGACAACTATCATCACCCTTTCCGTAGCATTGAACTAAATAAATTTTGTGCTTCTTTAACATTTTAAAACAGCAAAAAATATGACGTTAATTAAAGTTCTATGAATAACATAAAATTAGTAACTAGGGAAACATTAAAATATGTTGTGACATTGGAAAGTCAAAACATATTTTAATAAAATAAAATTAATGTCACTTTTTGTGCTTTTTGTTTACTTTTTTTTGACCCGTTTGACCCGTGATAATAAAGGGTTCATTTAAATTTAAACTCCACAACACTAAAAGTATGAAAATCTCTGAAGTATGTTCCATATCTTCAAAAAACTAGATATGTGTAATTTAAAATCGTTTTTTTTTTAAACGACTTTTATCCAGTGAAATATATATTTATGTTAGGTAACTTAATCACTTTAAACATTATTACGCAATTAACCTTTGTATTTTTTTAAATAATTAATATACTAATAAATATTAAACAATAAATAATTAATATTCGAATAAAAATATTATTTTCTATAATTTATATATTTATATTTTCTATTTTATGACATAAAAATGACATATATCCAAAAGAAAGACAGACGATTGGTTAGTCAGTGTCAAAGACAAAGATAATCAGAGAGTCGAATGTGGCTGATGTGTCTTCAACAAAAACGGAGCGAATTTACTTATCCACAAAGTTTATAAGATCTAAGTAACTAGAAAAAAACTCCGAATCCTTACCGGTACTCGTAGATATTCGACTTCTGCCCTCCCGCCCCCGTCGCCGTCATATAGTGTCCCATCAGTTCGCTCCTCAGCTTCGGACTAGGACTCAGAGCTATCGACACCCTAGGTTCCACGTGGTGCGACGTTTTCGCGTCGTGCTTCACGATCACCGAGTTCTTCATCTCGCTGACCAGCGGCGGAGGGTTGGGTAGCTCCCTCCCGTCCATCCCCGCCTTAGTGACTACTAGACCGCCCGGCGTGGTGGTTTTGTACAGGTCCGAGGACTTCTTTGGCTCGTAGTAGGCGTTGGGGGAGGCGTGCACCTGGTAGCCGTACATGGACAGGTCGCCCTTGGGCAGCATCGAGGGGTGGATGCCGGTGGCGGTCATTTTGTCTGAGGGTTTGCCGGAGATGAGCCGGCTGTGCGCGGGAGGCGGCGGGTACTCGCCTTTGCTAGGAACGTTCGATTTGCTCGGTACGGCCGCGTAGTATGACCTGAAATTACGTTAAAAAGAGAGTTGTAAAAACATGCGTAAAAGTTTGTTCCTCTAATTTCAATGTAAGCATTCAGAAGCTGAATGAAAAGTTTATCGTTTTATAAGGTAATTATTAGGCTTCGTTTATGGATACAACTGACTAATGGAATAAAGATATTTTATCTCACTTGTGGATAAAATAACACCTTAAACGCTTCATATGAGTGGATAAAACCAGGGTGCAATGATTTAAATAAAAAAATCAACTTGTTTAAAAAAACTTATGATAAATTGAAAGGTAATTGTTAAAATTATAAAAACTTTTCCTATTATAAAAAAGTATTCCTATATCAAATATACTCTATATCTATTCATGAAGTAAGTACAAAGTTACACTTGCTGTTGTAACGTTTAAATACTTTAATAGATCGAAAAATAATTGTAAAAGATTGTAACATATAACAAATATCCCTAATATCTATTCATCTATTAAAATGTTGGACCGATTTTTGAAGTTATTACCTGTAAATCCATAACACTTCTAAATGACAGATTTATTTTGAAATTGTGAAGTGCCAGAAATCCGGTATTTGAATACATTTCATTCCCAAACTCTAGCACAAAACTAGTTTCTTCTGATGTCAGGTTATATTTTTATTCCACAGGACTAATCAATGTCAACAGATAAGCTGGAGTCAAGGCTGTTTTATACCCTTTTGAAACAGTTGAATGTTGATCAAGCTAACTTCCCCCATCCCTAATTTATCTTCTAGTTCATTCCAAATTTCTACACTGACATTTTGTTCTGTAATAAGTACTTTGCACTTTGAACATTAGATGGTACTAATTTTATTCTCGACTTAAGAGATTACTATTTCCAAAAAAAAATCCCTTTTTCCCCAAACCAAAAAACCAAAATAGATTTTTTTCGCGGAAATAGGGGCATCGGCAAAGTTTACAGAATAAAATATATCGGTGATCGATGTGGAAAAACGACACGCGCCGTAAAAATGTTAATATTGTCAATATCGGACAGAGTTACAAAGATTTAACCATTTACGATAGGACTTTAAATAGAAAATTGATTAAAATCAAAAAAATCCGATTGAAATAAAAAAATCTGATTAAAATAGATTTTTTTTAATTATGATTTTATTTTGAACCCTGGATAAAACTTCCATTGGTTTTCAGTGAACTATGAACACAAATTTCTTTTAGAAAATGAAGGTTATTTTACCTTAAAAAAAACTTCTTAGGTTATTTGAATAAAGTTTGATGTGGAAAAACACGTTCCCTATAAAAAATATTCAAAAAAACATCGTATTTTATTTTCTACGCCATATTTCATAACCGATAACAAAGAATATTATAGTTATTATTATAGGGTATTAAGATATTCTTTGCCGATAATGAAAGAGTCATGGGCTTGTTTATATCCGTTTCTACATTTCTGTTGACAGTTGTGAAGGTTGAATTTTGACAAACGTTGCGGATTGTCACATGGTTGACAAACAGCTAGTAAAATATCTAGAATTTAAGCCTCAACCCTGAAGGGACTCAAAAATGTAATGAATTGGCGATCGATGGACCTTAAGTTAAGTTAACTATAGCTTTGATTGCTTTGGTTTCACTCTTTTTTTTTCATTACCTCTTCTTTTTTTTCATTTTTCTCTGTTAACAAAAATTTTACAGAAAATTCAGTGGAAATGGCAACACTGCCTTTTCCTGTCTCCGTCGTGTCAAATCATGTGTTAAAAATTCTCTGTAACGTCAGATATGCGTGAAAAGTACCAAACCCAAAACTAAATTAAAATATTATGAAATTCAGTGCAAAAAAAACTTTTTTATTAATGATATTTTTAAAAAAATGCATTCTTTATAACAATTTTTGCTTGTTCTAAAATGGTTAATCCCGTTTATACTTTTCCAAATACAGTTTTAGAGAAAATTAAGAAAAACGTGAAAATATTGTTGAATATTTTCATGTTTCCATTTCCAAAGTCCTAAAAATCAGAACGCGTTTCTATGGTAATATAACTTCGTTTTCATTCTTTGATCGATTGTTACTCATGGAATTTTAATTAACGTCATATTTTTTGATGTTTTAAAATTTTTCTCTAAAACTGTATGGAAATTTGGAAAACTATAAACGGGATTATCCATTTTAGAACAAGCAAACATTTTTATAAAGAAAGCAGTAGATAGATCACCGAACCCCTCCCATTTTTGTAAGATTGCTGATAAAACATATTAAAATATCTTCCTAACCTGTGATTAGGATCGGCACCCCGAGCCGCCGCCATGCCCGCCGACAGGTGTCGCTGCTGTTCGCGCTGGTGCATTTCCTGTTTCCGCTCGTCCTCGCGCGACTGCGTCTGCCTGCCGCCCATCAAGTTCCACTGCTCGCGTTTCTGCTGCGCGGCCTTCAACGATTTCTCGAAGTGGTTCTGGAGCGCCTGGTCTTGCCTCTCCTTCTCCTCCCTCTCCCTCTCCTGCTTTTCCCGTTCTCTTTCTCTCTCCAGCTTGTCGCGTTCGTGCCGTTCGCGGTCCAGTCGTTCCTTCTCTTTTTGCTGCTTCTCGATCTCTTGTTGTCTATAAATACAAACAAACCGCATTACAGTAAATCGCATTTAATATTATTCCTTCAACTTTTTTAACTATAAAACCTTATTTAACTACATATAATCTTAACTTATCTAACCTGATCATACGTTCCGTATGGTGCCTATCTTGCAAAAGAACCCTATTCTGTTCCAATAGTTGTTCCTCCGTGACGTGAGGGCCTTGCTGATTGCCTAGGAGGTGGGTGGGTACCTTGGCGTACCTCTGGCTCCAGATCATGTCTGGAAAAGGTGGGTGGTAGATGGGATGTGGAGGCAGATGGGGATGACCTCCCACTGTAACAATAGGTTAGAATTAATCTTACTGTAAGGAACCTCAAGATTAACTACAGGTTGTATAGTCTGTCCAATAGGAGGAACTCTGACAGCGACAGGCAGTTGTATTGTATTGTATGTATTTTCTTTTATTTTTCAATTCTTCCCTTAGTCGTTGGACAGACTATAGTAAATTTACACTCTTATATGAAAACAAACATTAATAAACAGCGCAAAAAAGGATAATAATAAGATATTTAATTTACAATAAACAAGGAAAGGCTATTAAAATGAAAAATCTGTGTATAAATATCAGCTTATTCACTGGTTTTCGTTCAAATATTTTGATATAAGTTGAACGTTACGCAGATGGCGAATTTATAGATTCATTACATAAATATTTTTTCTATTAATCCTCATAGCTATGTATCTGCCAAACGCTATTAAGTATATTTTAATACTGCTAATAAAATGTGATACCTTATTATATCTGCAGAATTGTTCATTAGGTAAATATTTTTATTTTATATTTAGCAATTCGCCAAACAATGTGTTTCTAATTTAATATTGGTACTTAATACTTGTTAATGTTGGTAATACTCGTAAATCTGTGCTATATCTGAGGAATGAACATAAAAGAAATATTTTTCAACACTAATTAGCAATAATTAAAGAAAACTGAGATCTCTGTATTCTTTAAGGTTAGAAATCCGTTATAATTTTTGGTTATAATTTGTTTAAAACATTAGTGAACTTTTGACATTGACAGCCAGAACGGCAGACAAAACCAGGCACACTGAAATAACTAGAAACTTAATAAAAAATGAATTTCAATTATTGGGGATACTGGGCATACTAGATATGCGAGAAATTCTAGTCGAGAATTCTCATGCCTCATGAAATAAAAAAGGTCGAAAAACCTGAATCCCTATTTGACCTTTAACTTTTCACCTTGAGTGAAATGGGGACTGTAGCTTAGATTAGCTAAGAACAAAGAGTTATATTAACTTACCGCTAGATAGCGCTGGGTGTTGGGCTAAAGGATGGGGTGCCATGTGGGACACCGTGGGGTACAGAGCTGCCGGGTGGCTAGTTGGTGCCGAAGTAGGCGGCTGAGGGCCAGCTGAAGGCGTCTGGGGGTGCGACATTAGCAGGGACTGATGCTGCACGCTATGTACGTGCCGCACTTGGGGCTCCTCCTGCAGTATGATCAAAAACTCAGTTTATAACATTCATTTAAATATACAAAACCAAAATAGGTTAAGACCAGTCCAGAATATGAGTGGAATTGTTGCAAAACTTTCTGTGTTGTTGATCTTAAACTGGGAAATTAGAAAATTATTTTTTTACAGAAAGTTGCAAAAGTATTCCAATACTTCAATTCATATGTGGTCCAGCCTACAGCCTATAAGGCTAGTTGTAAATATATTTAAAATACAGAGAAATAGTCTTAGAGTATGGTAAGTTAATACAACTTTAAAATAATTTTTAATTTAATTCAACATAATTTCTAGGATAATAATTAAACAAACAAATGTATAAATTCAATAGGAATACCATGTTACAGGGCATTATGATCTATAAAGTCCACCAACAATAGTTATATTTATCACGGGCGTTAGTATACCATAATGCCGATCGTGAGACTAATATCTGATTCTTGTTCTCTAGAATTTTTTGAAAGACAATATTATATTTTTTCGAAATGTTATATTGATCTTCAAACTGAATCTATTTTAAAAAATTATGCTTGCGTACTACTTGAATACACTCTTATAAAATATTTCTCTGCACTCAAGTCAGTTGAAACAACTAAGTAACTGCGCGCTTCTTAAAAGTAATTTGGTATCACAGATATAATTTTTTTAGAGACACAACATTTTTACATAAAATAACTATTTTATTTTGTAGATTTTCTTGCAGTGGCGAAATACCCATATAGAATTTTTTGGAGAGATGAATCCGCCACATAGGTATTATAGACATTTTTTATTGTAATTGGGAGATCATAAGCGATGTCATAAGCTTTTAAAACCAGTAAAAAATCCAGGATAGATTTACAATACAACCTTAAAATAATCATTATCTGAAATACGATTACTGTTATGCACTTAGTTGTTTCGATCGACACGGGCCAATAATAATAAAAGAAAGTGACTAACGACGTATCGACGAGGTACCTGGTGGAGTAGGCCTGGGTCGCGCCAGATGCGCACCGGCTCGGCGGGAGGGGCGCCGGCCGGGACGAAGAGTGGCGAGCGGGTGGCCGCGGGCAAAGAGGGCGCCGACGTCGCTGGGTGCCCCGTGGAGGAATTCGGCTCGTCGGATGAACTCAACGCGCTAGATCTGCAAAAAAATGAATTATAAAGTGTCCTGTAAAGGGAAGTTACAAAAAACAGTTTATAACGACAGCCTATTAATTTTTTTTTCCAAATATTAGGTTTTTTCCCGCAATATGCGGGAAACACTGAGACCTATAAGACCTACTATGTTTGTTCCCTTTTTATGTCTGCTTTTTATTTAGATTTCATCGCGATCAAACATCGTTTTCAACAAAAATCGATGATGACAAATTTCTGCGGATTGCGTTAGAAGTAAGATATTATTGTTATTAATGTTTTCTTAAGTACATCATTTTAGTTAAAAGGTTTGTTCTCACAGCGTGTTCCCAACATGTTTGTGACTTCTTCCAAACCGGTGTTAATGCGCAGGTCTCAAATAATGCAGTTTCTGATCGATTTCAAACTGTCTGTGAGAACAGCGAATCCCCTACTCTTCTTTTTTGATCTAATAATACAACTAATTTTAACTCCTACGTAATACCGAATAAAGAAGAAAACGAACAGGGAATTAACCAAAGACATCTTTTAATGTTTTTGGTTTTGTTCTTTTTAATATTTTAATGTTTTGTAATTTTGATTCTTGGGTTTGACCTGTTCCTTCATCAGCTCTTCTAGGTCTGTGTCTGTATCCGAAAATTCGGACGCCTCAGATTCTTCGGAAGGTTCAAAATCGCTCATTTCTTTTCTTTATTTTTTGAAGAAAAAACATTAAACAAAAACAACACACGTTTTGTAGGTTCAGTTTACCAAGTAATGACGTTGGGTCGCAATACGCATGCGCCGGACACTTTACTTGCAAAAGATCCGCAAACAGCTCTGACTGTCAGCTAACAATCAGAATTTTCTGTGTGAACAGCGTACTTGTTGGTTGGAAACCAATCAAAAATTTCTGTGCGAACGCGTTTTACCCTATTGCGCATGATTATCTGTTGGAAATATGTTTCTCACAGCTGTGAGAACAAATCTAAAATACATAGATTACAGCGTGAAATTATTTTTAGTTATCTAATTAAAATTAATTAGTAAAGTAACTGTGGCAACACTGCTTCACAGAGATTCTATGGTTTTAACGATAATTTTATTACTATGAATAGTATAAGTTTTGATGGATTCATTCAAGTTATGTTTAACAATGTTGCTGCGCGGTGTTTGTGAAATTTAGGATACATAGATTTTGTTATATTGTTACAATAAGTACTATACGAGGAAGGTATTCTATCTACAGGGTGGTCCGAACTGCATTCCGGAAACTTCGGCCGCATATTCTGCAGATAAAATAAGCAAAAAAGTTCTTATAAATATTTGTTCTAGAATGCTTAGTTTCGGAGATACAGGGTGTAGAAGTTTCATTTTTATTTCGATTTTTTCCTGATAAGTTCTGACGTAACGTCAATATTTGAATGAAAATTGGTGTCTGGGAATTTTTTGACATGAGCATTATTTTTATGTCAATATGACTCCTATTTACAGGGGGCGCTACCTACATGTGTTTTAACTGTTTTGAAGAATAATAACTTTTCTCTCCCTCTCGTATACCGTATAAAACTACTGACTGAAATAATAAAATTGGGAAATTTTTATTTTTTTAAATTAATCATAATTTTTTCTGCCAAAAAAAATGATGATAAACCAGTTTCTGTTCAACTTTTGGCACAAAAACATTTCAAATTTATGGTTTCAGTCTAATAACTACCTATTTAGTCAACATGTTTAATTTATGTCAATGATGACAGGTATTAATAATTTCGATTCCAAATATCTTGAGAACCACTACTCATAGCTAATTTTATGAAGAGACCTTTTTTACGTAAAAACGTCATAAATGTATATTTTTTTACTCAATAGTTTTATACAGGTACGGACAAAAAGTTATTTCTCTTCAAACCAGTTAAAAAATATGTAGGTGGCGCCCTCTACAGGTAGGAGTCATAGTGATCAAAATCAAATTTCTCATGTCAAAAAACTCCCAGATACCAATTTTCATCCAAATATTGACGTTACTTCAAAAATTATTTAGAAAAAATCGAAATAAAAATGAAACTTCTACACCCTGTATCTCCGAAACTAAGCATTTTAGGACATACATTTATAAGACCTTTTTTACTTATTTTTATTTGCAGAATATGCTGCCGAAGTTTCCGAAATACAGTTCGGATCACCCTGTATAACAATGTTGCTGTGCGGTGTTTGTGAACTTTTTAGATTTTGTTTGTTATATTGTTACAATAATTATTATACGAGTAAGGTATTCTATCAATAATTTCTATTAAGTAGTATACTGCTTCTTTAATAAAAACATCACTGTATTGAATAGGCCCTTTGTGAATGACCCCTATAAACCCTTCCATATTTGACTTGAGTAAATTTGGATCAACTCCAGTCAGGTAGGTACCTATTGTGTTTTAACTTATTTTATTGTTATACAGTTTCTTGACCTTGTTCAATAATTCAATAAAATGAGAGAAAATAGCCTGTTAGGTATATAGCTTTTCCAGGCTGAATAACTAATTAACAGGCTAAATTTAATATGTTTATTACGAAAATTACCCTATCCATAAAAAATTTATTGCAAAGAAAATAAAATCAAAATGTTACACAATATCTTAAGACTAATTATTATAGAATGTCTGAAAGTATTTTCCATATTTAATGTTACACAATGTGGCAAGGTTAAAATAACAGTTCCTTTTAGAATAATACTATTTATTATTTAAGCATATGCGCTTATTCTAGTTCAAAGAATATGTGAATATTTCAAAATGCGACGGAAGCCTTTACTAAAAATACGCCAGTATCAATAACCAGAAAAATCCGACAGCAAATCGTAAAATATTTTTCCACTAAAACTTGGGCAGTTGGCCAAGCATGAATAAACACTGCCATATTTTCGAACGGAAAAAAATAAACCGACTAGAATTTATTTGAGGGAATTCCTAGAAAGTTTGTACGCGAGCGTCTTGGAATTTTCTGGCTTTTCCTTCAAGGCAATATCGAATTTTATTTCAAAAACAATAAATATAGTATGATTTACTTATAAAACAAACGTGGCTTCATTTATTCTTTATTTAATACTACTTGACTTAAATATTAGTTACTTACACTTCTAAAGCTTTTTTTGAATCACATACTTTATTCATTTTCAAAATATAACAAATCCACCATTTTTAGGTTCAAAAATCAAAATAACAAATCACGTGTCTGTTGCTGTCATAAGTTGCTGTTGGCCGAATGCAGTAATGGCAAATGCCCATATTAAGTAAAAAGAAGAAGAAATCATATACCACATCATATATAAATTATAAGGCGACTTTTTGAGAAGTCTTTTTTTTTTCACATATTTAAGTCAAAGGGTATTATCTACTCTTTGTTTAAGTAACAAAATAATTATTTAATTACATAATGTATACTTCAGAACACATAAAATTAGCAAGACCTGTCCTGTTTTAAATATATTTAGTCAGTTATATTCACACATGTCATATTAAATTACTGTTCTTTATCAGAAAAACAGGAAAATTTAAAATTTGATTCATTGATTTATTACGTATTTTTCCGCTCTCCAGTATCAATATATGGTATATGGTATACCCAATATATGAATATATTTTTGTTTTTGAAACTATATCGATATAATTAAAACATCGATACATATTCGCCATTTCTAGCAAAATCTATCAATCATGTCACATGTGATATGTCAAAATTGTCAAATATATTTTATCTGTGATGCTGTGCCCGCAGTGAATCATCCTCTAATTTTTAATAGATTATTTTATTTAAAAATAGTAATTATAGTTATTTGTGTATATCTAAATAATTGTGCCTTGGTTTCCACATAAAATTTACTCTTCAGACGTATTACGATGTGCTTGTGTTTACACCATACGCGTGATTATTGTAATCTTGCTAGGTATAATAAAAAGAATCCAAGATGGCTGCTTGCTATGCTCAAGGTAGATATTATTTTACGTTATAATTGTATTGATTTTTATAAGTTTATCGGTTACAATAATGATTTTTTTAGTGTTTTTACCTGGATCCGGAGCGTTCATCCCCACTACCTGATCGCAGGGAGCTCACGCCAGAGTCACTGCGGTCATCGGCAAAACGAAGCGAATTTGGTGTTTCATTGAAGTCCATCCTGCTGCTGAGGGGCGAGGACGAACACAGTGGGCCGTCATCGTCGCCTACAAACAACAATAATAAGGTAAGATTAACAATTTAAGAGTTGTTTGTCAGTTTCATACGCGTACCTTACAGTACAATGCAATAAAACAGTTTGGGCACTGTCCAGAATCCACCAGTTGATACAAATGTTGTTAACATTTTTTGGGAATAAAAGATAGATAGGTTTTTGGTGCTACTGGCGCATCAACCTGTGAATTCTGGAAAGTGCCCTGTTGTGATCAAATGTGCTTTGGACAACAATGGAATAAAAAATCTTAGGGGAAATTGAAATTACATTATTTTTGTAAATTGTTATTAAGTGGTCTTGTGATTTACTTATCATTTACAAACATATTTTGTGTTATGTAATAAACTATACCTATTATTATAGAGAGGTATACTCAATTATGAATTTGTAATGATGCGTTACATAATGATAATTTTTAGTTGTAAAGTTGATATAAAGGGTGTCGCACAATATATTCCAGAAATATGTCATCTAAATATAAAAATATCAGACAAAACCAAAAAAATTATTGACATATAAGTTAACGGAAACGTACATATTAATTTACAGAAACATAATTGACACATATGAAAATTAATTAAGTTGTAACAGTGAAAGAATCGAAACGAGAAATCTGAGAAATTATCGATTTTATTAATTAATTAATTATTCTAATTAAATTGCTGTGTGAAACCGACCGAAAACCAATCAAACGTTTATTTATTCAGAGTTGGTTGGCTGGGAACATGGCGAAGGTCAAATGAATGTCATTGACTGGGTAGGCGATTCATGCAGTCATTCCTCGAGCGGTTATGTGAATTCGCTTAATATTTTTTTGTAGTTAATTGTTTTATATTGTTATAAATAAATTCGTCATGGCATTGGGTGCGTCTCAAAAGTGGCTCACCCCTATAACTTTTTTATTTTTTCAGATAAAAAAAACGATATTTGGTATGTATATGACATAAATTAGGATTAATCGACGTATTCAATTGTTTTCGGGTACTTCCTGTTTCACCGGAAATGACTACAACTTTTGATTTTTAAATGGCACCCTCGGTATACTATTTCTACTTTATTTGATAGAAAATGACACGTCAATCAATTTGATAGAAAAAAAATGTCAATCAATCCTGATTTATGTCATATACTAACTTACCAAATCTTGTTTTTTTTATCTGAAAAAATAAAAAAGTTATAGGGGGTGAGTCACTTCGAGACGCACCCGGTATAACATAGTACATATTTCAAACAAGTAATGTAAATTATCTTTTTATCAAGGTGAGGAAACAGAAAATACTGTAAATAGTAAACATACTATAAACAATCATTAAAGTCAATTTTTATCATATTTCAGCACACTGGTCTTGTGCAGATGTCTATTTGGCATAAGAATGGATGGTCACGAATATCTCTGACTGAAACCCATATTAATTTTAAAGATTTCTTTGATTTTGTAAGATTTTATTTAATTTGCAGTATTGGTATCTAAGTCAAAATATACAACCTTTTTTTAACAACATGATGTAAACTTTAAGTGTCTAAATTGTGTTTAAAGTAGCTACATCATGTTGCGAACCTTGCATATCTAGAAACTTAATTTTAGCATTTCATACTTTATGATGAGAACCCCAGTTGCTTATTTTTATGCAACTGTTTTGTTAATTTAGGAATATTGTTCAAATCCAAAAATAGGACCTTTTTAATTTATGTTTGCTTGATCTCTATTGAAATTTGAAATTTGTACGAATTTGTCAGATTTTATTGACGCCTACGCTGTTTATTCATATTTAAAAATTTGGAAACTAAATTTGAATTATATTTTGGACGATTGCCAATTGGCTCTCAGTCTCTCGACGGTCTTTGACTGGAAAATGTTGTTTGTTTCATTTTTTAATGACTTTAATTTATTTTTAAAACCCGTAGCTATTATTACACCTTTCCGGATAAAGGAGGACTAATAAATCTTACGTTTTATTTATATTTTATATTTGTTTTTGGTCGCTTTATATTAGGTCACGTGTGAGTGGAATTAGTGAAATACTTTTGTAACTTTCTGCGTAAGACTTAAGACCGAGAAAAATAAAAGTTTCCTTGATTTAATTAAGAACAATCGGATTGTCTCGCAGGGTTGGGTAACGACGCGTAGAAAATTAATTTTCTACGTGTATGTAGAAAACTGCGTAGAAAATGTAGAATATGTGGAATATTAAGTAGAAAATGTTGTAAAGTTGATATATTTATACACAGTTGGCTAAAGAGTATTTTTTACAATTTTCCCATCTGAGTGTATTTGAGGAGCAGACTTACTAAATGCATTTTGTCCATTTTTTAAGATTTTCAACCTAAGGTGGCATTGCAAACTACATACAGGGTGACCCATCGAAAACGTTCCGCAAGGCATAACGGCCAGGATATATTTTTTTTCAAAAATCCAAAAACACGTCAATTTTGTTTGTGAGGGGGACAACTTTTGCCCCCAAAATGATTGCAAAATCTTCAACCCTCTAAGCGGGGGTGTCATCCCCCAATTTTTTTCAAATGGGAAGGGGGGTCAAGTGGTACCGCAATGAAAAATCATCAATTCTCTATATTTCCCCGCTTCGTTTTTGAAAATCGGTCGAGTCATTGAGAAAATATGAAGGATTGAAATTTGAAAAGTTTATTTAAACATTTATCAGGGTAAATGATAAGGATAAATTCCTTCGACCAATTTGCTGTTTTTTCTTATTATTTCTAGATGTTTACGCATTTTTTCACTTGCCACAAACGGACTGCGCTATGGAGACATGTTCGATTTATATTCAATACTAGAATTTATAGGACTAAATTAATAAAAAAATATAGGATCTTCTTCCGATGCGCAGTAGTAAACGCAACGGGTATCGGCAGCCCGACGGGCCGCATGCTGTTCGAGAGAGCATAGTAAAAGATATATCAAAGAGCCAGACGTCTTAAAATACTTTCTCGAAAACGTTGCTAGCTCTTAGACTATTGGCGGTAGACAAACAAAGAGAAGTATGACTTTGTGTGCTGTGGACATACTGCTGTTTGTTTGTCATTGCCAGATGAAGAGTTTTTCTTTGTACAGTATACAACTTCTCTATTTTTTGAATAATACTACTTAAAATAATGAATGGAACTACGACTGGGAACCATGTAGATGGGGATACGGATCGTGGTAGCAACAAAAGAAAGATAAATTTCACGTCTAAAGGATAGTCAACAGTTTTTTTCATTTTTTTTCAGATACCATTAAAACTAGATTTTTCACATGTAGGTGTAGGTACTTTTTTATGATTTTTTGTTCATTTTTCAAGTATACTAGTTTTTCGGTAAGTTTATTGCAAAAAGCGTGGCGTGGTTTGCCAAAATTCGAAAAAATGGATAAAATGCATCGAGAAAGTCTGCTCCTCATTTCTACTCCATCCAACAAGCGACTTACCTCGTATAGAGCAGTCCGGGTCGGCTCCTTTACTCGGCGTGCTACTACAAACGTTCGCTGCGCGTTGCTGACTCTGACCTACGGCCTCCACCTCGTGGCTGGCCACTATAACGCAATCGTCGTCGCCTATACTACCGCCGGCCTCGTCCGTCGTTTTCGATTCCTCCGTTACTGCCTGATCACACATAGACGACTTTGCTGCTGCCCCTGCGCGCGCATCACCATCATCGTCTTCCCGCACTTCTTCCACCCCCTCACTAATACTACTACTACTATTTTGCACTTGTTCCGGCTCAGTTAAATTATCACAATTCGCTTCTTCTACTACTTCGACAACTGCCTCGTCTTGGACGCTACTATTTAAATTACTACAACTACTACCGCTCTCGTCACTATTACTAACGCTACTAATATTCTCCTCTTCCTTTACTTCAACAACATTTTCCTCTAAAGCTTTATCTTCGACTTCCACAACCTCATCTATAGGAGCTTCTTCGTCTTCTACAACTTTACTATTATCATTTTCCTCTTTCACGCTTTGTTTCTCCTCCGAATCCTCACTTTTAACAGCTTGTTCTTCGTCGAGTAACTGACTGTGAGTGGGCAGAAAGGTGCCACTCTGTAAACAGTCTTCTACCACGACCTCGACTTCTCGAAGTTTCGAGTTGTTGGCTTCTTCGAGGACTTTTTTCTTGTTGATGGATCGGTTGACGTTCTTTTTTCGCGACTGCTTGTTCTCCAAGTCCTCCTTGATGCTGTTCGCGTAGCGGGTCCTCGAAGATGGGTTGTCCGACTCGCTGGTTTTGCGTTTTCGGGTTTTGGGAGGAGGGGTTCCTGGAAAGAAACGAAATAAATTAATCAAAATGTTTTTGAAGGATGTGGAAGCAAATTACAAAATAATATTTAACTCAAGGTCAGACATATACTGCAATTTAGACCTTCTAGTAGTTTGGCGTCTCTTATCAACCGGACAATTTGATATTTTTATAAAGAGGTAAAAATATCAAATTCCGGATATCAAAAAAAATTCAAATGCAAATTAAAACAAAGTCGACTGTTCAGCCATCGTTCATCGTTACGTCATCATTATTTGTAGTATTATGAGTTATAGGGTGTGTCTGAGATCAGTTCATATTCTTTAGAAAATTTTAAGTAGGTTCCTATATTATTGATTGAGTGAGTTCCGTATTTTTCGGCATTTATTCATTTTTTCTTGGACTCTTCATCAGTTACAATTTACAATCCCTTTAATTCCAATCCTTGGGACTGTTCCTATTTCTAAAGCTTCAGCAACTCACTGTACTATATAAAAACGCTATCAATTTGTATTTTACATAGGAATATTACACCCTTGCGTTGGACTTATTTCAGATACGGCTTCCACGAACAAGAGTGTTCTACCAGTGTCTCTTTGTGGACAAAAATAATTTATAAGCTTAGCAATGAGCTTGACATTGATCGATGTCCGTCAATAAAATTATAACCCCAAATCAAATGACAATGACAATTACTAAAAGAAAATTTTGACATTGATGGATGTCCGTCAATAAAATTATAACACCAAATCAGTCATTTGATGACAATTACTAAAAAGAATATGCAGTAATTTACGAAATGCCGTAATGACGTCACCAATCTCTTTCATCTGGTTGGCAAGTGATTGAGAGAGTTCGACAATATATGACGTGACTTTGAACGATGGCTGAACATTCTATAGTTATTATTATTAGTTCTGTCATAACCATCAGTCGCAGTATGCAGGTTTTTTTATTAAAGTACAGAATAACAAAAAAAAACAAATAGAAACAAATAACGACTTATATGAAACAGAGCTCTGAGCACGATGAAAACTTATAGGTATAAGCGTTGTTTTACGGGGTTTAACTAAAGTTAGTGGTCAGAAAAGCAACAAGTAATTGTTTTAATTTTGCTGAAATTTTGTTCTAAAGATGCTTCGGACTTTGACCTCCCTGTTGACTTCCTGTGAGTTCGTCGCGCCTTATTATGTTTTAGTATTATTTCTTCTTTATTTTATAACTGGTTTTATGTGCGAAGACTATAAATCTGGAAAGACATTGCGCCAGGACTTGAATTACAAGGAAGACGCTTCGAAAATAGTTATTAATGTTTCGTGCGATCGTTGCCAGGCTTAATATATTATTGCTTTTACTACACCCAAATTAAAATGAGCAAACAATTCATGGCCCCGCCGCCGTTTCCCGTTTACTAAACTTAATATTCAGCCTCCGTCTTGATGACGGTTCGTTCGAAAATAGCCCGTCACGCGGAATAGGTAATCGCGCGAATCCAACCGTTTAGCATGCTTTCCGAACGCCTCTAGGAAACGTAGAGTGAGTACGTGTCTTGCGAGCGTGAAGCTACTACGTTCGTTATCTACGTGACCTAGAAAATGTCATCATCGTGGTGGTCGACAGTGATGTTGTAAAGAAAAAAATCGTTCTCTATTGACTTGGATTAAATATATAGAAAAAAATATACAGTATACCTGGTTATCATCTGCAAGATATGCGTGTGTTTGTTTATCGGAGAACACTGTTTTATTACAAGTCTAAATTTATAAAATTATTATAATCATGACAAAAGATTTTCAGTTCCTATTTAAATTGAGAATGTCAATACTGTACTATCTAGTCTTTATATCGAAATTAAATTTTACGATATTCATCTACGATCCATTTAATAACAGTGCTTTTCATAAAATGAAAAATATACGAAATAATATACATGTACTGATTTCTTTCAAAAATCGACAACTATGAAACTATGATCCCTTCCCGGACACAAACGGTACATTGTGAAACAGGAAATTGTAGAGAGAAACAAGCTTTATAACATAGGATACAACATTTTAATGAACAGTGCTTTCCATAAAATCAATAAAATGAAAAATATACGAAATAATATACATGTACTGATTTTATACGAAATAATATACATGTACTGATTTCTTTCGAAAATCGACAACTATGAAACTATGATGCCTTCCCCGACACAAACGGTACATTGTGAAATAGGAAATTGTAAAGAGAAACAAGCCCTATAACATAGGATACAACATTTTAATGAACAGTCCTTTCCATAAAATCAATAAAATGAAAAATATACGAAATAATATACATGTACTGATTTCTTTCGAAAATTGACAACTATGAAACTATGATCCCTTCCCCCACACAAACGGTACATTGTGAGACAGGACGTTGTAGAGAGAAACAAGCCCTATAACATAGGATACAACATTTTAGTGAACAGTGCTTTCCATAAAATGAATAAAATGAAAAGTATACGAAATAATATACATTTACTGATTTCTTTCGAAAATCGACATCTATGAAACTATGATCCCTTCCCCGACACAAACGGTACATTGTGAGACAGAAAATTGTAGAGAGAAACAAGCCCTATAACATAGGATACAACATTTTAATGAACAGTGCTTTCCATAAAATCAATAAAATGAAAAATATACGAAATAATATGCATGTACTGATTTCTTTCGAAAATCGACAACTATGAAACTATAGGCAGCTTTTATTGAAAGTTAAAAATTGTTTTTTATTTTTAGAAAATGTTAAATATTTATGTCAAAAACCTTACATTTTAGTCATATACTTCTCTAATAAAACTCAAGTTTATTTTTCTCCTAGAATCCGAAAATGAATTAATATATAGGGTGTTCCATTACAAAAAACATAACTTTGATGTGTATCTTTTTTTGGGGACACCCTGTAGATCTTTCTATATTTTTAAAACGTACTCTAAATCAACCTACACATGCTCACAAAGCTTCATTTCGAACAAACTCGTCGTTCTCCTTGGAGCATCCGCGTCGTATGAGAGGCGCCACCCTGTATATTATATTGAGGATCAAATGTATTACTTTTTTATTTCAGTAAAGGAAAAAATATTTTAGTTATAATACCCTGAGATAAACCCTTAAAATATCTTGCTTGAGATAAGACGAACAGCTATTTCTATTACTACATTTAAACAGAGAAAATCACGTTTTCGTTTTTTGCAAACTCCGGCAAAATAACGACGTTTTGACAAACCGAATTCATCGTCTTTTTTTACCACGTAAGCTAGATCCACGGTCGGGCCGAATCGGCATTTCGCAGCGCTAGTTGCTGACATTGCTGATTCGCTTTCACGTCAGCAGAAACCCATCTGCGATCGTAAAAATAAATGGCGTCAGAATGCTATGCCATTTTGGGAAAAAACGGTTTGTTTGATTATATGGCGAATGCGCCGGAATACGTTGCATATAGCCATGTTTACGATATTTGTATATTATTTTAATGGGTTGATTACTAAGTTGATGTTTTGGTACAGAGCGGCCAACAATGATTGAAATGTAATGAACAATCGATAACGGCTAATAAATAATCGGAATAATATATTATATTTATTAAAATTATTGTAAAAGGAAGCAAAAATGATTTTTTTTCAAACGTCACAAAAGTATTAATTTTTACGACGTGATTGACAATATAAAAAAGTCATTTTAACGCCTAGGCATAAAAGTAAAGCACTTTTACGCCTAAGCATAAAAGTGCTTTCGAACGGTGGCCCATCGAAAACGTTCCGCAAGGCATAACGGCCAGGGTAATTTTTCTTTCAGAAAATTCAAAAACACGTCAATTTTGTTTGTGAGGGGGACAACTTTTACCCCAAAAATTATTGCAAAATCTTCAACCCTCTAAGCGGGGTGTCATCCCCCGATTTTTTTCAAATGGGAAGGGGGTCAAAAGGGCTTTCTTTTCTCTATACTTTCCTGCTTCGTTTTTGAAGATCGGTCGAGTCGCTGGAAAAATATGAAGGATGGAAATTTGAAAAGTTGATTTAAACATTTAACAGAGTAAATGATAAGGATAAATTCCTTCGACCAATTTGCTGTTTTTTCTTATTATTTCTAGATGTTTGCAATCGGGTTGCGCAGATATTCAATGAACGCCATCCTGACAAACACTTTTATGGCAAAATTGTTCGCCAGTTAGTAGCAAAATTTCGCGAAACTGGTTCCGTTATGAATAAAAAGAGGCAGAGGGAAAATCCTGTGGTAAATGAAGCTATGGAGGTATTCGTATTGGGCCAAGTTGCCATAGACAGTATTTTGAGTACAAGAAAATTAGCCAGTGAGACCTGCGGGAATCGTACAAGTTTCCAAAGGATATTAAAAAAACACGTACAAAGTACCACCCGTACAAAATTCAGTTGGTACAAGAACTCAACGAAGACGATTTTGATCGTTGCTTGCAATTTTGTGAAACTATGAGTGAACGAGTGGCGAATGATAATAATTTCCTATTTAATGTATCTTTTTCAGATGAGTGTACTTTTTTGAACGGTGTAGTTAATCGGCACAACTGTCGGTACTGGGCTGAGGACAATCCCAGGGTTTTTCACGAAGTGCACACACAAAACCCTCAGAAATTGAACGTGTGGGCTGGTATTTTTGGAAATTCTATTGTGGGTCAGTTTAACGATATTGAGAAGAACTTCAACGTACAAGTCATAGAACAGCTATCTAGCAACTACCGCACCTGATCGTCCAACGTTGTGGCAAAGGAAAAAATGCGTAAACATCTAGAAATAATAAGAAAAAACAGCAAATTGGTCGAATTTATCCTTAATTATCATTTACTCTGATAAATGCTTAAATAAACTTTTCAAATTTCAATCCTTCATATTTTCTCAATGACTCGACCGATTTTCAAAAACGAAGCGGGGAAATATAGAGAATCTCTTTCTAATCGAAATATAGGGAAAGCTCTTTTCATTGCGGCGTCATTTGACCCCCATCTCCATTTGAA